TCCAGGCAGCAGATTATATCTCTTGGTGGCTCCCCTGGCGGTGGTGGTAGGCACAGTGCCCTGTGAGCCCTCACCAGCCCCACTTGCTTGCCCTGTTGAGGGCCCAGAACGTGTGTAAAGATTCCCTCAAGTATGTCAGGCAGCCTTTCACCTGGGCCTTGCTCTTGGACCCCACGTATTCGCAAATTTAGGCGGCGGCCTCTGTTGTCCAGGTCATCTACCCATGTGGTGAGGTGTGCCAGGTCGGACTCACAGTTTGTTGCTATCGTGCATGCCGTATTGACATCCTCCTGTATCTCCACAGTTTTGGACTCCACCACTTGCACCCAGGCATCCAAGTTTGTGAAGTCAGCTCTGAATAGTGCCACCTCGTACCGCACCACGTGGCCTAGTTGGTCTGCAAGGGTCATAAAATCTGCCTTTGTAAGCAGGTTCGGGATGAGGGCTCTAAGGTCCCCCTCCGTGGCATCCCTCTCTTCTGGTGTAGGTAAATCCGGCAGGGAGAATACTGACGGGAATGAGACCCTGGAGTTTCTCTCTAGACTCTGCTTTGCAGTGGCGGGCAGCATAGTTCTGGCCCTAGGCGTCTTGAGAAAAGGCCGAATAGAGGCCTCCGATCCTGACCCCGATGGTCTGGGGGTACAGGGGTGGTCTATGGATCTATTTGTGTGTCCCATCTTGCTCTTTCCTGCAGGGGATCAGGCGTTTATCAACTGTTTTTAGCGGTTTTCACGAGGAGCACCGAGCTTACGCTGCCATCTTGGTTGGCTGTCGGGCATGCCCCCCTGCATCTAAACTTTGCTCTCATATATAAAACCACCCAAATAAGCATTTATAAACTATATGGAAATATGAAACACATAAAGATCCATCTTCACAAGTTGGCTTAACCACGGAGAGATTTGCTGGGAAAACAAATAGTACAAGGACTTGCAGCCCGTCCTACAGGTCATGCGGCCCCAGGAATCTATCCTATGGGTAACGTGGCACAGAAGGTCTCTGTGTAATGAACGTCTAGAAAAGATAAACCACTTGTATGTGGAGTAGGCCAAAGGCACATTTGAGCCTCACCATTTGTTAATCAATGCTCAGATCAAATACAGATTAGTACATACAGTGCCAAAGATACATATGGCTTGCTAGGTTTCATGGACAGTGTTTCTTATGATAACACAACCATTTACACAATCTGTGACAAAATGGGCGCTTAATACTTTATATAGCACACATATATATCAGCAGCTACCACACTTTAGTGGGTATCTTTCTCACTCACTTATAATGACATGGACAAGCATAAACAAGGCGTTATAGGGATGAACTCCACATTTTTTCAGCATTTAAACATCTGATTTATTGACAGAGTTAGGGGTGAGTACAGATCTCCACATAAAGTGTGTAGAGCTCCACTCCAGAGGTTGGTAAATGCTGTGACTTCATCCCTAAAAAACCCTGTTATGTTAGTGTTTCTTATGATGCTCAACCTGGACTATGCATATCCCATCTACATATAAAATATAAGCTCACCCCCTCTCCTCCAGCACATGTAGCATTGACATGTTCTTGATGTAGGCTGCTTTCCTGTGCTGGGTGCACTAGCCAGCCTGATCACTGAAGTTCCAGCACAGAATGCAGGGACTTCATTAATTAAGCTAGTAGGGGCACAGAGAACAGGTTAACACTGCTCTCCATCTTGCCTACTTCCTCCTCAACCTCAGCAAATAAGGGGTTGATCAGAGATAACCTTTTATTCTGGGTATGGCCACACTAAAATATTTAGGGGGCTGGTACATTGAGAATCAACAATTATTTTGGGCTTGTGGATGTTATTTAGAATAATTAAGGTAAATACTCAGAATGTATTAATATTTCTCCCATTTTATGCCTCCTCAGGCCCTTAATATATTTGAATTGCATTGCAGTGGCAACTCAAGGTGTTATATCCTCACCTTACCTTTCAGGCTAGCAGTAGCAGACTTATTGTGAGTTACAGTATCCTCTCCACTCCCAGCAGCATCTATTTTTGCTGTATGAGTGTCTGCCACACCTGTGTATGGAGACAGCTGCCACTCCATTTCCTCCAGTTTGTCTAATGTGCAAGACCTCCTGAAGCGGACATTAAAAAGGACGTTAGAGCATATATCTGCAATGATGCATCACTTCCTCTATGTATTTGCTTTGGGAAGATTCCTTTATTTATGTATACTGAGAACGATCCATAGTGTTTAATATTACTCTTTCAGAATTACTTATTAAAGTGAAAATACAAAGTGTATTCAAAGAGAATTTCACATTTAAAGGCAAGAGTACATAAACTGAAAGCATATTTGACTTAGAGAATTTTTCCATTCCAGCTATTTGGACCTTAAAAATTTGAAATTCACCTTGAATTCCCACTTTAGTGAATGACCCTCTTTGTGTTCCATCTAGTTGTATTTCATATTCTAACACGTTATATTATAAACACGTTTTAAAGTTGCAACACCATTCATCTTACATTAGGAGTGAATTTGCCAAAATGAACAGTAGGTGGAGCTATAACAAGCTAAAACCTATAATGTCGTCTGTACTCGTTGATGGTAAGTAGTACAGTTTGTTCCTGTTTTCAACTCTCTCACTGATGGTTACTGCTTGTTCTTTTTTCTCTAATGTATGTCTTTACCAATAAAGTAATAAAACATTGAGGTCATTTGAATTCTGCTAATGTTCTTTCAGCAATCAAAAAGAATAATTCTAGCTCTCTGATTACCTTGTTCTGTATGTCCCTGAGTGACGTGTACTGTAATTCCTGTTTTGGTACCAAATACAGCGTGCTAATCACTAAGTGACATCCTTAGAGGAACACTTCACACTACAGATTGCTGGAGTGGTTATGGAACCAAGTGTGGTTTTAAAACAGTTTGACTTTTTACCTGGAGCCCATTTGGTGCCGCTACCCACCTATACAACTGAGATAGAGCAATCAGCTGACCAGCTGACAATTAGCCAATGAGTTAGCCCTATGTTGTGCCTGTGAGGCCCCAATAAAGAAGCAAACTATTTTAAAACGGAGAGAAAAACTCATCCCTAACTTTAGTACGCATGTATATGGTTTAATGATTCTGTCATATACTAAAGGTAGGGATGAGTTTCTAATTTTTTTTAGTGGTATTTTCACAATACAATCGATAATAGAGAATAAAAGACATGTATGTAAGAATGCATTTCACATTGTTGTTCAAGACAAGCTGGGTTACCACTTATTTCTTGGTAAGATGAAAGAAACAATGTTGAACAGTACATCATATGCGGGTAATATTAACACTTGTTCTGAGTAAGAAACATGATGAAGATGCAATTAAAACCAGTTGAGGAACTGTTATGAAATGATTATAAATAAATATTAAAAAATACATAGTATATCAGACGAAGAAGCGCCTACCAAGGAACGTAACCCTAAGGATTGATTCAAGCTAGATTAAATGGTAGGTGTTAATAAAATTAAAATATAAAAAACATGCTTGGCAACCTTCAGAAAAGTGTGTAATGTAAACCACCTCCTTCTAAAAGACGCACTAATACGTTTAGAGCTTTGTGTTATATAGTGCACGAAAAGGATCACTATAGAGTCAAAAGGAGGTTAAAACCACCATCTGGCCCCCCTGGGCCCTTCATGCCTCCATAAATATAGCAAAATCTTACTGTATTCAAGCCAGAAGCTGTAAATCTGCATGCTGTCTGCTTACATCATTAAAAGTGGTAGCCTGATCCAATCACAATGCATGAGACTGACAAGGAGGCAGATCAGGGGCAGAGCCAGCATGATTCAAACACAGCCCTGGCCAATCAACATATCCTCATGGAGATGAATTGAATCAATGAATCTCTATGAGGAAAGTTCAGTGTCTCAATGCAGAGGGAGGAGATACTGAATGTTTGGATGCATTTTAGGCAGCCATGACCCAGGAAGGATCTTTAACAGCTATCTGAGGAGTGGCCAGTGATGTTATCACTAGGCTGTAATGTAAACACTGCATTTTCTCTGAAAAGACAGTGTTTACAGCAAAAAGCCTGAAGGTAATGATTCTACACACCAGAACAAATTCAATAAGTTGTAGTTGTTCTGGTGACTATAGTGTCCCTTTAAAACAAATTGAACGAATGGGGCGATTGAGCCCGTCAGAGAGTCCATATCAGCTGATGCTACAAAAGGCCTCCAAGCACGGTGTATAAAGCAAGCTAGCTAGGCACGCATCCCGCCATCACCGAAGTCCATCCAGCTGGCTCTAGACCTCGGCAACAACTCTAACACAGTGTCCACTAACCCGTATAACTTGGGTGAGGTCCCAGGCAAGTCCCTGGTAAAGGGGGATCCCCAGTGTGCGTGGACTGTAATCAGGATGAATCTCCTTCTGCGACATCATCAAGGCCTGACTGCTTGTCTAGTAAATTGTCTTGAGATGCCCATTGCTGCATACATGTCCAGAATTTCGAACATATGAGGGTGGATCGTGCACTGAAGGCCTCCTTCCAACTCTCTAGCAGGTCTGCCACGGACTCCTGTGTGACCAAAAGGTCCGCCGGCAGAGTATGAGGCAGAGTATTTGGCACACCGCTGTGATAGTAGAGTGAGCAGGTGTGAAGATAAGGATCAGCTATTGTAGAGGTGGGGGCCGGGATGACCCCCACTGGTCCAAAAAGGGGGGGGGGGAACAGGACCACCAGATAAGTACAGCTGCCTCGCCCATCCAGCAGATCCACTGAGCCTCACTGGTACCTCCGAAAATTGCAATATTGGCAGACAAATTCGCGGTTTTTGGTACCTCAGCAGGTTCCTGGTTCAGTTAAGACTGAAAGTGTAGTGCTTTGGGGAGCTGGGAACCAGATATGTCGCTGAGATTAAGAGACAAGCTCAGGGCCGGACTGGCCCACCGGGATACCGGGAAATTTACCTGGGGGGGCTGGAGAGAGAGAGGGAGCCCTGCTCCCTATATTTTAATAATATCGCGGCCACCGGCCGCATGTCGGTGCCGCCGGCACACTCTGAGGTGATTACTCACCTTGCGGCCAGCGGACCCATCTCCTTGCTGTATGACTGCAGTCAGTATCAGTGAGTGTGCTGGGCGGCCGCTTAAGCGATCCAGCAGCACACTCACTGATAGTGACAGCAGTACAGCTGTCAGCACAGGAGGACTGAGGGAGGGGGCGGAGCTAACTACCATGCTCCCTTGGAGTTCCCATAATTCCCAGCATCTACACATCATAAAGTAATCACTGTGCCCCTCCCTCAGTCCTCCTGTGACAAGGTCAGCAGGCACACAGAAAAAGAGGGAAAGGGGGACAAAAAGAGGGGTAATAGAAACACAGGGGAAGGGGGGGGACAGAAACTGAGGTGTAATAGAGAGACACCAGGTTGGGGGGGACAAAGAGACAGAGGGGTAATAGAGAGACATAGGGCAAGGGGGGACACAAACAGATGAGGTAATAGAGAGAGACACAGGAGAATGGGTAATAGAGAGACACCAGGGAAGGGGGTACAAAGAGACAGAGGGGTAAGAGAGAGACACAGGGAGGAGAGGTGGAAGAGAGACACACAGAAGGTTTATTGGGGGGGGCAAAGAGACATACAGTAGGGAAGGGGAACAAAGTGACAAGATTTATGGGAGGCAATGCTGGGCTGGGGAAAAAGAGACAGAGTGGCTGAGAGAAGAGAAAGAGGCACACAGAGTCTGGAGTTAGAAAGAGACACAGATGAGATTTGGATGGGGAGAAAGAGACAAAGTGGCTGGGGCTAAGAACAACACAAAAGGGGCTGGGGGAAAGAGAAATACAGAGGCTGGAGAAGAGTAAAAATAAACCCACAGGGACTGGGATGAAGTAAAAGATGCACAAGGGTCGCTGTAAGAGAAAAAAAGGAGACAAGATACACTAAACGAAGTAAATGTAATAGACGTAAATTGATGTGATCCTGACAGTAATACACACATATATATATATATATATATATATATATATATATATATATATATATACACACACATATATATTGATGTGTGTATTCGTAACATAGAATTATGCCTATAATATTTACACATATAGTAATATACATTTATATATGCATAATACACACATAAATGTCATTAATATATAGATATATGTAATGAGCACGTATTGGCCCAGTCTTGTTGCATACTCATGCACAATAACATATTCAAAGTGAAGAGCGCACCCATAGAACTTCAAAATAAACAATTTCACTTCATTTTTTTTAGTTGTGCAACTGCAGACATTCAGCATTTCAGTACCATTACTAAAATGTCCTTAATAGGCCAAAGTAGTTGTACTGAAACATTGATTACATGCAAATGTACGTCTACTTAAAATAAAGGCGCTCTTTTGTTTATTTTGAAGCCCTATATGCGTTCCTTCGTTGGAGTAAGAGTTTTAAATATCAAGTTATTTTTTCACCCTCTATATCAGCACACTATGCTGGCGCAACGCATTATTGGGCTGGTAGAGAATTTTTAGTTCCAGGGCTGCTTTTAGTTCCCAGTCTGGCCCTGGACAAGCTAGGAGCTCACAAGTGCATCCATTTTTTATTTTTTTTTTACATATACTTCATTTATCAAAGAATGTAAATTTAATTTCAAAAATTTATGAAGGGATCATTATATTAAAAAATAGTTACAGCACTCCTGACACCGTAACTATTACAAAGCAATGTATAGGTAGTAGAGCTTGGAGTATTAATTTAGCTTGTATAAGTCTGTATGATTATAACCTATTTATCCTTTACATCTCTATTGCATTCACAGTTCGTTCTAAGTCTAACAGACCAAGCCAAGTCACCAGCCTGAAAGTGTTTTGTTCTCAGGCCTCCCATCCATCTCAGTTTTGGTGGGACAGACCAGATTTTCAGGTCTTATCCCACCGTCAAGACTGTTCTCTGGTGTCCTGCTTTTGTCCCCCCAAAAATATAGCGCAAGCGCATCATTAGATACCCTTGGCTACACTCAGGGCACCCGGACCCGGAAGAGAGCACTGAACAATACATCCAGCAAAATCTGCCCTCAGTGAGCTGACCTGGGTGAAGGACAGGCCCACCCTCCCCTGCCTCCTGATTCCCAGGATGCTAAAGATGGGAGGTATACAGTCTGCTATGTCTGTTTCTAGTCTGTAACCTCTTCATTGTCTGCATGCCAAGCTCATCACTCAACTCTCTACTAAAGATTAAGACAAAGGAACAGTAAATGGTAATGGCACTTGAAGCACAGCAGTAGTCTCCAGACAGGGCTGCCATCAGAAATTTTGGGGACCCTAATACATCTCAAGTTCTGGGGTCCACCCCCAAGTCCGCCTACACAGCCTGCCTAAGAGTCTATCCACAAGGATGAAGTGTGTGTGTAGTGAATATGGGGTGTGTATAGTGGATGTAGAATGTGTAAAGTGGATGAGGTGTGTGTTGTATAGTGGTTGCAGATTGTACGTTTATGTAATATATGTGGTGCTTGTGTGTATTAGATGCAGAGTGTGTGTTTGTGTAGTTGATGTAGTGTGTGTATAGTGACTGCAGAGTGTGTGTTTGCATTCACTATACCCAGGGCCAGATTAAGAGCCCAGTGGGCCTGGTGCTGACAATTAAGATGGGGCCTTATTACAGAAATGTCATGGCCCCCGGCTCGCCGTGAGGTGCGGTCGCACCGGACCAGCGCGCCAACGAACTGAGCTTATCTGCTCAGCGGCGAGTCGGGAGCCGCTCTGCCGGGTTCTCCCGGCTGCCTGCCCGGGTTCAGGATGGTGCCGAACACGCTGTCGCAACTAGATATAGCTCTGCCCCCCAGGGTCACACACACACGTTCTGCAGTCAGAGGCCAGAGGGATATTTAACCTAGGTTATTGCCCTGTCGTGGTTTTCGTTCCTGGTTCCTGAATCCTGAGAGTGCGTTTCCTTGTCCGGTTTTTGATATTCCCAGTATTTTGACCTTGGCTATTCCTGACTATTCTGATTCCTTCTTTCCCTGACTTGGCTTGTTAAATGGTATTGTATATTTCTGGCTCCCTTGACCATTCTCTGTTTTTAACAGCCATTCTAAGGACCGGTTTACGTTTTATCATTTTCTGTTCGGTCTATGTAGATGTTACATAGTTCTGCGTGCTGGACCACACTAGCAGTCATGACAAGAATCTTATCGACTGTAGACACTAAAACAGTCATACCTCTCAAGCGTCAAGTATCTAATGGAGATGGTGTTGGAGGGAAACTCAAAGGATGCAGCTTTAAGAAAACACATACTCTATGCTAATCTCGCTCTAATTTATGCTTTAATCTTTCAAGTAAATCCATACCCCCTAACAGCAGTGTCCAGTGAAGCAGGAAGTCAATGGGGACACTGGGAGAAATGGGGACACAGACACTAGGGACACAGAGACACAGACACTGGAAGACATGGGGACACTAAGACACCAGGGACACTGGCTGGGAGGCATGGAGACAAGCATGGAGACACTTGGGCACACTGGGAGACATGGGGACATTTGGGGACACTAGTGACACAGACACTAGAGACACTGGCTGGGAGACATAGGGACACTGGGAGACATGGGGACACTGGGGCACTAGGGGGACTGGCTGGGAGACATGGGGACATAGACACTGGGAGACTAGGGGACACTGGGAGACTAGGGGACACTGAGACAATAGGGACACTGGCTTGGGGACACTGTGTCCCATGTGTCTCTGTGTCTCAGTGTGTCTCCCAATGTCCCCATGTGTCTCAGCATCCCCATATCTCACAGTGTCCCCTAGTCTCCCTGCTGCCTTTACCCCCATCCTTCACTTACCTGAGCTGTAGGCTGTTTCTGTAGGCTGGGAGCTGCTGTCTGGCCTCTGTGCTGTGGATCTGTTCCCCTGCAGACCAGTGAGTAGAGAGAGGCAGGGAGTGATATGCTGTAACTTCCTATCCCTGCCTCTCTCCACACACAGTGACGCCTACTGGTTAGTGCTGGTATTGCAGAGTAATCTCCATTTATACTGAGAAAAATACCTGCATTTGTATTGCCGGTATTACTGCAATACCGGCACGGCCAGGCAGCCTCAAATATCGGCTGTGCTGGTAAAACACCAGTCAGGTGGCAAACCTAACAGTAGTTTGTGTAAAAAAAAAGTTACAAAAAAATTTATTTTCTTTTTTTTTTTTTTTTAAATGGGCCTATTCCATGGGCCTGGGCCTGGAGCTGCAGCTCCATCAGCCCCTATGTTAATCTGGCCCTGACTATACCCACTTCATCCTTCACAAACACACACTCTGCAGTCACTATACCCACTACATCCTTCACAGAGTGTGTTTGTGTAAGAATGTAGTGTGTGTAGTGAATGCAGAGTGTGTGTTTAGTGGATACATTATGTAGTGAATGCAGGGTGTGTTTGTGTAGTGGATGCATTATGTAGTGAATGCAAAGTGTGTGTAAGGATGTAGTGTGTACTGAATGTAGTGTGTGTATGGTAGGGATGTGCATGGGCAAAAAATTTGGTTCAGGTCTGCACTTCCGAAATTCGGGACTTCAGGAATGTGTTTGTGTAAGGATGTAATGTGTATGGTGACTGCAGTGTGTGCTTGTGTAAGAATGCAGTGTGCTGTATTAATTTTAAATTAAAAAAAAAAAATTTACTACAGCAGTTTGTGTGCAGATCATGTTTTTTGAGTTTCACTGCTCGATTCTCTGACATTTGGGAGTTGAGTCACTTATGTATTTGTTTATGCAGCCATAGCCACACCTCCTCTGATTGCGACTCACGGCCTGTATTGAAAAAAAAAAAATGAATTCACTTTCAATCAGATTTCTTCTTTAAAAGTTATTTATTTTTTCCCTTCCTGTCCTGTATTCAAGCTTTATTTACACACAGGAGGCTCCTGCAGGATCTAGAAAGCTATTAAAAGAAACCGTATAGGAAAAAAATGCATAATATTTGTTCTCCCCCTAACCGTAAACCTACTGTCACAAAGTGCTTTTTTTCTTTAAATAGTTTTAAAATGAGCTTTAGAAGTACCAGTTCTGGGGGCGTGGTCTGACCGTCGATGAGACCAGACGTGCTTCACTAGTGCTCCGTCCCAACGGCGCCATAAGCAGACAAAAGCGACCTTTTTAAGGCAATTTCTCCCTCACTGACCTATACAGGATGGAAAAGAGACTCCCCAAGAAACAAGCGAAGAGGACCGCGGAGTCCAGCGGCTCAGTTCTTGACCTGCTCACAGCCCATCGGCACGGACGGGCCGACAGCCAAGATGGCGACGGAGCATCTCCACAAGCGTCGCCCGGCGCAGACAAGGAGGCCCTATCCGCGGAACAAAGCACTGTTCTCGCAAAATTGGCGGAGGTGAGATCGTTCCTTGCTGGGGAAATAGCCAAGTCAACGGCTGTACTGCAGGCCGACATAAGTGCCCTGGGAGAGCGCACGGCAAAATTGGAAGACCGCATGGAAGCGACAACTCAGGCCCACAATGAGGCAGCCGACCGGATAAATCGCATGACAATGCATATGCTCGACATGGATTTAGCCCTAGAAGATATGGCTAACCGTTCTCGGAGAAACAATCTCCGCATAAGAGGCTTGCCTGAGGGGTCGGATGAAGACCTGCAGGGGCTCTTAATGTCAGTTTTTAGGCCGCTGCTCCCACACATCCCAGAGGAACAGTGGCACATGGAGAGAGCTCACAGGGCGATGAAAACGCAGAGGGCCGAAGCCAACGCCCCGAGGGACGTAATAATAAAATTCCTCTATTTCAAAACAAAAGAGGCCCTGATGAAAAAGAGCCGTGATGGGCCGATCCGGCACGCCGGAGCCACAATCTCGTTCTTCCAAGACCTGGCTCCCTCGACGTTACAACGGAGGAGAGACTGGCGGCCCATAACCGGGGCTCTGCGAGGAGCAGGCCTGAAATACGCCTGGGGCTTCCCTTTCAAGCTAATGGTGTTCCGCGAGGGGAGAGCTCACGTCCTGTCACCAGGTGGAGACCCGAAGCGCTTATTCCAGGGCTTGGGAATCCAGTCCCCCCCAGACCTACCTAACCTGAAGATGGGTCCGGCGGAGCTTCCACAACTTCAAACGGAGTGGCGCGGAGTGGGGCCCAGAAGCCAGCGCTAACGAATGGCAGTATCGTATTCATAGAGTCTCGTTCTGATTGTTTCTTCAGCCCAATCCCCCTCTATTTTTGGTGCTGGGGCCTTGTTTCCTTTTTTGTTGGGTGGGGGACGCGGGTGCAGGGCCTCGGCAGTACACGGGGCGCTTGGGGTGGGTCACCAGGTATGTCACTTGCCCTGCTCTTGGCCAGCCCCAAGATCCCTATATCGCTCAGTGGTTTTGCAGCGCCCCACTACACCTGTTATACCAGAAGCGCATTATCACATTGTTTGGGTGGGAACGAGGGGGTGGCGGGTCAGTCCCTGGTCTCCCCTTTTTTTTTTTCCTGTTTTTGTCCCGTGGTTCCCCCTCTTTTTTCTTGCCCATCCCCGCCCTTAGCAGGGATGCCCGAAGATCTCCTGGCCTCCCGTCGGGGCCATTGGGGCATTTAGGATCGCTGGTCTCCTTCCCTCACGGCCGGTCGGGCAGACTTGGGGGGTCCCCGGCTACCCTACGGCACCAGTGTACCGGTCCTCGGAACTGGGTCATAGTCATTTTCCCCCCCCCTATTTTTTTTTGTGTGAAGACATCTGAGAAGGACTAATTAGGGGTCTTAGTCACCCCAGGACAGTTGTATTGTACTATTGTCCTGCTGGTGCGACCACCGGAGCCGAGCAGAGTTAAATGGAGGACGCGGGAGGACGCGGGAGGGCGCCCCCCCCCTGCCTTTGGTGTTCTTCTCCTTTTTTTGTCTGTCTCTATCCTGCTCAATTTTGAATAGTATCGAAAATTGTTCAAACAGAGGGAAGGGAAAAAAAAAAAAGAGAGAGGAAAGGGGGAAAAAGGGAGAGAGGGGGACAAAACGGGGAAGAGGGTACGAGGGAGAGGAGAAAGGTCAAAAGTGGTTCACTACTTTCTAGATACATGTATGCGAGTGGTACCAAAATGAGTGCTTGATATTAGACAACACAATTCTCTTCACGAGTCATCCCTACGGGACGGGTCAGACCTGCAATTGCTACACCAATAGCCCCTCCCAGAATAAAGGTGTCGGCAGAATCCCACATTCCCTGTCTTAGCTAGCTACACCCCCATTATAAACACCCTTAACGTTGGTGACAAGCCCCTCTACATTTCCGTACAATACGGCTCTCCCGGGCACACGGCTAGGGAGATACAGGCTGGGAGTGTACCTTTGTTGGCCCTTTGGCACAATCAGCTGTTCCCTTGTGCGGCTGCTTGCCCCCTCTGGCAGGTCCGATGACCGTCTCGTGGGAGGCCGGCCATGGGGGGCGACCATACGGACGGGCGGACATTAACTCGGACAGTAGGGCGGTTTGGGTGTCCCCGGCAGGGAGTGAACGATGTGGTATTGGCACATAATAGAGTTTTACCTGTTTTCCCAATGTACGATTGTGCCATATGGTTCTAGAGGTGGACAATTGTAATGAGATGCAGGGGATTTTTATTCACGTGTCAGAGAGAACTCAATGCGATACACGACCCGTAATGAACGCACTTAGTTTGATCTGCCTGCACCACTATTATTAGCTTGACTGATACATAAGATATGGCATCCCTGGATGCATCCCTACGCATAGTTTAGTACAATCCCCCAAGCCATAACACCCAATCAACCACGGGGGACATGAACAATCTGTTGAACGTGATGAATGGCTCTTTAAGGGTATGAGGGCGGGATGGGGTGGGGGGGGCCTGTAGATGGGAGATAGACGGAAGCGGGAATGAGCGGTCTGAGGGAGAGGGGGGGAGGGAGGAAGAAAGAGAAAGGGACAGTGAAAATTAAAAGCAAAAAATAAAAACGCAAAAATAATGAAAAATAAAAATGTTATCAAATGGCAATATATCAAACAAGGACCAAATGCGTTTTATGTTACATATTGATCGAGCTGAATCTACTAGCCCGTAACACGCTTATTAAAATGCGATCTGTAAATAGTTTCATTGGAATATAGCGTTTCCTCTGTCCCAGTGGTGTAGCAGCGGGGAGGAGGGAAATGAACGAGGGGTGGCGACCCCGATAGCACAGGGCCCCGAGCCCAGACAGTTTTAGTTTTTCACTGGGCCCAGGCAGGGCGGAGTTTTTTCGTGAAGGTTCCACGGACAGCATCAGAACACATGGGGGGTGGGGAAGATACCCCAAATAGACTGGGTTATGCGGCTTCCTTAGCGGTTAACATAGAGGTCCAAGCGAAACACACGTGGCGCCTATGCGGAGGAGCGCTGGATCCCATTGTTCCTCCCAACGTTGATCGTGGCCGGAATGAGGGATGATGTCCCCCACAAAAATCTGGCGAATGGTAAGACCAGAATTTCAGTTCATCGGACGGAGTCCGGATGTAGTTCTTATTCTCTATCTTTTTTACTTTCTACCTTTCCTTCCCTACTCTTTACCTTTATCCTGAGGGGTGGTGGATGCGGGGGGCAAACAGTGGTCCTTTTTCAGGGACCTATTGGGGTTCAGGTTGTGTCTAAGGTCATGAGAAACACTTATAGCACCATAACGGCTTCGCCCGATGGAGGTTAAGATAATTTCCCTGAATACAAAGGGCCTCAACACTCCAAAGAAGCGTCGACTCCTGTTCCGAGAATTGAAGAGGATGAGAGCGGACATTGCTTTTGTTCAAGAAACCCACCTACCTAAACAGGCCAGTTTTCGGTTGAGGGACCACACATATGCTGGTTCATACGAGGCTAGGTCCCACTGTAAACGTAACGGGGTGGCAATTCTCATTAGAGGCAGTTGCCCCTTCCGGGAGACACATCATGAAGCAGACCCGGACGGTCGGTTTGTTGTTGTTTCAGGCATCTTACACTCACATCCCATCCATCTGATTAATATATACGCACCAAATCAGCCGGACCCAAAGTTCTGGGAAGGGCTACGAGGGACAATCTCGGGGCTGACCCACGGAATGATATTCTTAGGCGGCGACATCAATGCGGTCCCGTGCCCAGCGGCAGACAGGAGCTCACGGGGGGGTATTCCTAGATCACAGGGTAGGGGCGGCCAGGATCGCCTTCTTAAAGACTTCATGTCCGAGACCAGACTGGTAGATATATGGCGAGCTCACCATCCGGGGGATAAGGACTATTCCTTTTATTCAGCTCCCATGGAACGTATTCTAGGATAGATCTATTCTTAACCAACGCTGCGGGAATGTCCCGAACGGTAGGGTCACAGGTGGGTAATATATCTTGGTCGGATCACGCTGATATCTCCATCACATTAGGCAACCTATGCGTAGCCTCACCATGGACATGGAAATTGAACACGTCCCTGCTTCGTGACCCGACGATCCTGGAACAAACTAGGAAAGAAATAGCAGATTACTTTGAGATCAACACCACGCCGACGTGAACGCGAGCACGGTATGGGCGGCCCACAAAACGGTCATCAGGGGGACCCTAATTAAACTGGCCACCAGGAGAAAGAAAACGAAGTACCAGAAACTGGAATTTTTACTGGGACGACTGAGATCCCTAGAACAAAAACACCAAACTGAGCCAACAGAGGGCACTCTCAGACAATTGGAGGCGATCAGACGTGAAACCCGAACCTTATTACTTGATGATACGGCTAGATCTATGACCTGGTCAAAAAGGACCTTTTTTGAAAAGGCAAACAAGATGGACACCCTCCTGGCCAGGACGCTTCGACCGAGGCAGGAGAGGTCCCATATAACTGCACTTAAACACCCAGATGGCACAACGAGGTCAAACCCAGTTGAGATAGCAAAGATATTCGAGGATTTCTATCGACGGCTGTATAATCACACCCCAGATGGGAGTCCCCTTGGGGAGCACGAGGAGGAGTATATAAGGCAATATCTGGACAGGTTAGGAATGAAAAAATTGAATGGGGAGGTGGCAAACACGTTAGCGGTACCTATCTCAGAAGAGGAAATAGATAAAGCTATATCGAGCCTGAAAGGCAACAAAGCACCAGGACCAGATGGATTCGATGGCTCATACTATAAAACTTTCAGGGAAGAACTTACGCCTCAATTGACCCGCCTTTTTGACGATCTCCGGCAGGGTGGTCAACTAGCCCATGATATGTCACTGGCGACCATAGTACTGCTGCCCAAACCTGGAAAGGATCCACTTTACCCCGAGAACTACAGGCCTATCTCGCTGATAAATCACGATCTTAAGATCTTAGCAAAAATTCAAGCAGATAGATTGAATCCGCTTTTGCACTCTATAATTCATGCAGACCAAGTAGGTTTTATCCAAGGTCGGCAATTGTTCGAAAACACTAGAAGGAACATCGACTTGATTTGGAAACAAGTGACCTCAGAGACCCCTACATTAGTGGTATCCATAGATGCAGAGAAAGCCTTCGATAGGGTCAGGTGGCAATTTCTCTTTCCAGTTTTAAAGAGTTTGGGCCTCCCAGACGAGCACAGGTGCAGATATCGGGAGCTCTGCTACATCCTTTCAATTTGTACAACGGAACAAGACAGGGTTGTCCACTATCTCCCCTTCTTTTTGTTTTAGCGCTCGAGCCCTTACTTCAAGCGATACGCCGGCATCCGAACATTGCAGGTGTAAGGGTGGGAGACAAAGAGTTTAAGGTGTCGGCCTACGCAGACGATGTCCTTTTGACCATCACAACCCCTCACGAATCAATGGTGGCGATAAAGGATGTGATAACGGAATTCGGTATGGTATCAGGTTATAAAGCAAACATTCAGAAGTCTAGCGCCCTCCCGATCTGTCTACCACAAGACGACACAGCTAGATTACAGGAGACCTACCAAATAAGAATGGAGATGGATTCTCTGAAGTACTTAGGGATTAATCGGACAGCGGACCCCGGACGTCTATATTCTGCTAACTATGCTCCGCTGCTCAGGGAACTGACGGGAGACCTTGACAAGTGGACAGATAAACCTATTTCCTGGATGGGCAGGATTAACTCGGTAAAGATGAACATTCTTCCACGTATATTGTTTCTTTTCCAGGCTCTGCCCATCCGGGTCACAAAGACACAACTGATTCCCCTGCAAAGATCTATAGGAGACTTTATTTGGCAGAATAAGAGACATAGAATCTCTAAACAGATCTTATACAGACGAAAAGATAGGGGGGGCCTGGGCCTCCCGAATCTTTACTTCTACTATCTGGCGGCCCAATTGACGCAGATCGCCATGTGGCACTCCACGCCAGATGAGAGAAGGTGGGTAGACATCGAGTCTATGCTGGTGGGCGTCGATGTGCCACAGTTTACGATATGGGTTCCCAAAGAACACAGACCGATGATACGGGTCACATGCCCGGCGATCCTAAACTCGATTTGGATATGGGACACATGTAACACCAAATATGGGCTGGCGTCATCCCCCTCTCCCTTGACCCCGATCCTCCGCAACAGAGAATTCCCTCCCGGCATGGCCCCCAGAAATTTCCGCAATATAGAAAGAACGGGTCTACAACGGCTACATCAGCTCTATCAAAACGGGGAGTTTATACAATTTGCAGACCTGCAATCGGGTAACCATCTAACCCCCGCGGACTTCTTCAGGTTTGTCCAAATTCGGGATTTCGCGAAACAACAACATATTAAAACTGCTGCCCTGGGGAAACCCACCTTCTATGAGAAGTTATGCTCCGACGGGGTTACCCCCAAGGGGATGATCACGTTAATATATGCACATCTTAGTGAAGAAAATAGAGAATGGGGAAGATTGTCTTATACGGCCCAATGGGAGACCGACCTCGGGGAGGTTCTAGAGGGGGTAGAGTGGCAGGAGATATGGGAAGCGAACGCTAAAGTCTCAATATGTGTCACCCTCCAGGAGCAGTCTTGGAAAACTATGTTTCGGTGGTACACTACCCCAATTAAATTACATAAAATGCACAAACTGGAGACGGACGATTGCTGGAGGGGATGCGGGGTCCGAGGATCATACATCCACATGTGGTGGGAATGCCCGAAGTTGCAGGGTTTTTGGGGATCCGTGGAGGATTTGGTAAGACAAACTTTCGACCGGCCCCTAAAACTAGATCCGTGGATCTACTTGCTGAACAGATCGGTGGACTGGTGGACGAAGAGGGAACAGACACTAGTACACAAGATTACTTTGTGTGCACGTCGCGCGATTGCGATAGCGTGGCTCACTCCTGAGGGCCCAGAATTCTCAGGGGTTATCTCTAGAATCAAAGAGTGTAGAATCATGGACGATCTAACTGCAAGGGTGAGAGGGAACACTACGACATTCCAAAAAACATGGGAACCATGGGACAATAGCATAATGGGCTCGAACGAAGCTTGAGAGCCTCACACAAGTGGGAATGAACTCATGATATCCACATCCATACGAAAAGTGACACGTCTGTTAATGCCATAACCGTGCTGCCCGCCCCCCCCCCATCCATCCTCCCTCCACCTCCTCCTTTGCTTTTCCTTTTTTCTCTGGTTTTTTCTATCCAAACTTTTTCCTCACCTTTCCTTATTCTTCTTACTTCTTTGTTTTCCGTTTCTTTATTCAAGCAGGATTATACGGTCAGAGGATTGATGTAGCTAAAGTACTAGAGAGATAAACGTACATAAAGGCTAATTGATTTCCTTATCGGCCTGCCCTAGGTTAAAATAACTTACCCTAATAGACTGGGGGCCCCAAGGTTTTTTCTAGCAGAAAGCGCATGCAAGGTTCAGGTTGCGTATTATATATCTACAAGCTATGTAATTCCTTGTGGCTTCCAAGTGAGCCCAAGTGTGTATATATACCTGTTTTGTTTATAGTGAATGTAAAACCCTCCGTAGACGACAGGTACCAAGGTTTTCTTAATTCGAGGAAAGGGCCAATGTTGTATCGGTGGATGTACGCTACGTTCTCAAAACTTATATCCAAGTTGGCTTCTGCGTAAGCCCCAAAGTTTATGCATTCCTGATGTGTATATTGTGCAAACTCAAAGTTTTACAAAAACAGAAAATCCCTTGGCAGGTAGCCAAATCAGCTTATCGTTACCATAACTTACTGTCTATGCATTATATTAGCACCTGTATAACTACAATTGAACTTGCTTACTATTCATCGGGCTTTTGCATAAGCCGTCATGTTAATGTTACCTGACTACTATTGCCAAGATGAAAAAATAAAGAATTAAAAAAAAAAGAAGTACCAGTTCTAATCTTAACATTGATCAAATTATCTGCCGCTACTTTAATTGTGTGTCATATCTCCCTGCATCCTGTATTTCAGCCCGACTGTCCACCTCAAACACAGCATTCAGGCACTAGCACTAGAATATATATATACACACACACATACACACACACACACACACTTCCTCACCAGATTAGATATCATGTAATGTCATAAGTTTATTATAAATAGAGACAAACTGATAAATACCTATAGAACTTTGTGTTATTGCCATCTCTTTATAACTTTATCTACAGTGGGTAGTGAGGTTGGCTGGCAGGGGAGGGTTTAACACTGGGTAGTGAGGTTGGCTGACCGGGACTGGTAGGGAGGCAGGCAGGCGGGCTGGTTAGTGAGGTGGACTGGCAGGGGGAGGGGTTAACACTGGGTAGTGAGTTTGACTGGAAGGGTAGGGAGGCTGGCTGACTGGGCTGGAGGATAATTTATTACTTGCATTTCAGGGAGGGTGAGGAGCACATATGGGCTGTAGCTCTGTCTCTGCAGTTCAGTCTGTGCTGTGAGCATTCCTTACACTACTGAGAACAGCAAAAATTTTACAGCACTTCATAAAAACTACAGAGAATTGGAAGAAAAGAAACTAACTACATGTATTTCAGCTTGTTAACTTTAATTTAAGCTTAACTTGTTTAGTTACCTGGAGTGTCACTTTAACAGAGCAGAAGATAAGAAATTCTAAATTAAACAGAATTTGCAGTAAAGGAAGTGTAAACATTAGATGACTGCTTACAGGAAGTGCTGTGCAAGTCGCATGCAGGTAGGTGTTACTAGGGCTGTATAGACAAAGTGATTTGGCTCCTTGATGGTGGAGAGTTGGGCAGTGTGGCATGGTCTATACACCAAAACTGCTTAATTAAGCTTATTATTGCCATTTATACAGCGCCAACAGATTCCGTAGCGCTTTACAGTATTATAAGAGGGGGAATTTAACTATAAAAAAAAAAAAAAGAATGTAGTGTGTAGTAAATGCAGTGTGTGTTTGTGTAAGAATGTAGTGTGTAGTAAATGCAAAGAGCGTGTTTGTGTAAGGATGTAGTGTGTGTACACTGAATGCAGATTGTATGTTTGTGTTAGAATGTAGTGTGTGTAGTAAATGCAGTGTGTGTGTGTAAGAATGTAGTGTGTATGTTTGTGTAAGGATGTAGTGTGTACTGAATGCAGAGTGTGTGTGTAAATGTTGTATAAAATGTAGTTGGAGTGAAAAGCATTAGTTTTTTTCATTAATTATAATAAATTGTATTTTATTAACCCCTCCCTGCGTCTTACCTGTGTCCAGGGAGGGGGGAGATCACATTCCATGGTGGTCCGGTTGCATGGTGGAGTCCCCGGCTACCTGGTTCGGCAGAAGGGGCCCAGCACACTCCATCTTCACATCCCAGCATCTCCTCTCTGTCTAACTCTCGCGAGCCATGCAGAGCATTTCCATGGTAACCTGTGGCGATGGTCTGATGGTCGCGGGATTTAGACAGAGAATATCAGCTGGGAAGGGAAAATGGAGTGTGCTGGGCCCCCTCTGCAGTGAACAGGTAGCCGAGGGCCTACAGGTGCACATATATATATATATAGCGATCATCGATAGAGATATATATATGCACATAGGTAATGTGGGGCCTGGGACTCCCTGAGTAGTCCGGGCCCCCCCAGGACCGTTGGGCCCATGACAACCGTCATGCCCTGATGGTGGCCCTGTCTCCAGACATGGATGAAACCCATTACCTATCAACATCTAAAAACAAATATCAACACAAAAAGGAACACCTCACTAAATGGGAAAATATAATATGTGCCATTCTTTTAAAGAACTTTCCCACGCTGTGTAAAATGACACAGATCACTCTGATTGGTGGATTTCAAACCAACCAATCAGATTGCTGTGACAGGTAACTGTAGAGACTTACCTGTCAGTCTCTTCATTACCTATCAGAGCACTCTGATTGGATGGCTTAAACCACCAATTAGAGTGCTCTGAGCCTAATTGCAGGGCGGGGCAAGGCTTTATAAGCCTTCCCCCGCCTTGTAGAGCTCAGTCTGCGCAGAGCCCACGCTGGGTTATTTTTTTTTTTGGGCTATTTTTTTTTTTTTGGGCGTCGGTTATTATGGTTTTTTTATTTGGCCTTTTTTGGGGCTGAAAAAAGAAGATTTTAGAAGAAAGAAAACATTGAATGATAAGTTTTATTTTATTTTTTCTTTACAGGTACTTAAAGGTCCCCCCCTAATTATTTTTAGGATGAGGGGGGTAGGTAGGGGGATATTTTTTTTGGGGGGGGGAGGGGGTGACTAGGGTTGTGGGGACCCTTTGTCACCTGGGGGGGACATTTTTCTTTAGGGCCCCCAACCACCGGGGTGGGGGCCGGGGGGGGGAAGGACAATAGGTACCTCCCCTATTGGTATTTAGGGCCCCCACCCACCACTCAGGGGTGGGGGCCAGGGGGAGGAGATTAGGTCCCCCCCTTATTAGTATTTAGGGCCTCCACTCACCGCTCACGGGTGGGGGCCAGGGGGGGGGACCTTATTCCAATTTAGGGTCCCCAGCCGCCGCTCAGGGGTGGCGGCCAGGAGGGAGGACATTAGGTCCCCCCTTATCCCAATTTAGGGCCCCCACCTGCCACTCAGGGGTGGGGGCCAGGGGGGAGGACCTTAGGTCTCCCCCTTATTAGTATTTAAGACACCCCCTCTCTCTCATGTACACTGAACTTCATCCTATTTGTAGAAGACAAATCAAATTCGAAAAGATAATCTTCTTCAAACCTACGGATAGCAAATGTTATAGCTGTATTCACCCTCGTTGATTGAGAAACATTTCTATAATTCCCTTTAACAAAATGAAGAAGTATTGTTCTAAAGAGGAAGCATTTATAAAACAAGTGGATGTTACTGGAAATATCTACATGACAGAAAGAACTAAAACTCAAATGAGTTTAGTTTTTTTGAGTAATGTAATAAAGTTTGGATGACCAATATGAATGTCTGAAATGTGCCTACAATTTTACTCCCCATGCATAAATTACCATGCTAGTGCTCAAACACGTAACCCGTAGACTTGTGCATTAATGGTATTTAGAGGAACAAATCTAATTGCTTTTAATCTGTGGCCCAACAAATCAACCCATCCATGATTTTCCTGTATAAATGTATTAATTGCACAAGTCACCAAGTATATAACCATTACCACCTTCAAGGAGGTACCTGTTTTGATAAATCTGCCACTCTACATTTCAGTAATACTGCTTTCGATTCAAATTGTTTAATTTTAGTTCTCTGTGTATTGGATTTATTTAAAAGGACCGCCTTTTAACTTGAAGTGCTTTAAGTGTGAAGCATGTCTCCTTTTTTCCCCTATTAAACAAAATGTGCAGATGATTTCTAGAGAAAAACCTTGTTACACCCCCTGGCTGTCAGACATCCCCTCTTGTTACTTCCTGGTTTAGTTAACGCAGTTGAGCTAAACTCAAGAGGCAGCAATAGCCCAGACACCTGCCTTGCAAAGACTTCTCATTGAGCTGCATTAGGATGTCTGTATTTGGACAGCCACAAACTCTGAGCTGGGTGAGAAGGGGAGGGTTGCAAACAATATATCTATGTTTTTAGATATACATCTGAGGAGAAAAAAAAAAAAAAAAGGCATAATTGAATGCATGCATATTTTCTTTGGGGTATGTCTACTAAACAGGATTTTATTTTCTTTGTATTTGGGCAGTGAAGTGCCTATTAGCCTTTGCAGTATTGTTGTACAGGCACCCTGCCTGTATCATATGCCTAGAGTCCTTAGGCAAGGACGTGGAAGGAGTATAGATTGAAGGCTGAAAAACCAAGAGGTTCTGGAGGAGGGGTGGGGAGGAATGTTAGGTTGAGTTTCAGAAAATGAAGTCATACAAGATTGCAAAGAGGCAGGTTAATAAAACATCGCAGTAAAAAAATATAAAGACATATACGAGGAATATAATATATATATATTTTACCTAAAAAGTGCATAGGAATGCAAAGAAACTAATCAGCTCGCCAAGACATGCAGTTTAGAACAGAATAAAACACCAATGGAAATGGGTTCTAAACAGGAAGCCACCAGACAAAAAGAGAAACTAAAAGCTTTGGGGAGGTTAAAGGAGAACCATGAAAGAGCAGAACTTGGTGTGGTCAGTGTGTTAGATGCAATAGGGAGTTCAAATATTGAAATCTTTTGGTCATGAAAGCGGCACTGTCATGCCGAACTTACCTTTCCTCAATCTCTTCCTCTTCTCCCCCTCTCTCAGGATCTGTTCTTCTTTTCTTCCTGTCTTCTTTAGTTTTCTTTAAAATCATAAGACAAAGTAGAGACTCTTTGTCTTATGGAGGATTCCTCCGCTTGACCAGCTCTGACCAGCGGAGGAGCAAAGTGTGCTTCATTTCCGCTGGTCAGAGCAATTTTCCCATAATTCTCACCTTCCCTCTGTGTTCCCACGATGCTTCCTGTCACTTTACATGAAACTGCCGAATTGCGTTCTAACTGAATGAGAATAGTATGTTTGTTTCTTTTAGAACGCAATTCAGCACTTTATTCGGATCACAATTTCATTCGAATGAATGAAACTCTGATCCTATTCTTGCTGTGGCTGCATCTTGCAGCCGTTTAGTAGATAACTCGTTAATTCCCACGGTATCAGAGAGTTATCTACTAAAAGGCTGAAAGACCTAAATTGGTCTTTCAGCCACATTTACTAATACTGAGTAAAAATTACTTAGTAAATAATATGCCCCTACTCGCTATACCGCGAGTAGGGGCATGTCTGGTAAACAAAAACAAAAAACTATTGGCCCCCACCCCTAAACGACAGGTGGGGGCCATAAAGTAAAATAAGGGGGGAGAACTAATGTCGTCCCCCCCCCGGCCCCCACCCCTGCGCAGTGGGTGGGGGTCATAACGATAATGAGTGGGGGCTAGTGCCCCCCCGCCCCCACCCCTGGGCGACGGGTGGGGGACATAAAGATAATGAGGGGGGGGACCTTGTGTCCACCCCCCCCGGGCGGCAGGTGGGGGCAATAACGATAATGGATGGGGGCTAGTGCCCCCCCGGTCCCCAACCCTGGGCGGCGGGTGGGGGCCATAATGATAACGAGGGGGGGGGGGACCTACTGGCCCCCCCGCCGAATATAAAATAAAAATCCCGAGCGCAAAAAAAAAAAAACCAGACGAAAAAGAAAAAACCCGAGCGCAAAGAAAATAATCCGTCTTCACCCATGGAGGGCTCCGCGCAGACTGAGCTCCGCAGGGCGAGGGAAGGCTTATAAAGCCTTTCCCCGCCCTGCAATTAGGCTAAGAAGACTCTGATTGGTGGGTTTAAGCCAATCAGAGTGCTCTTTGTCATTTTACACAGCGTGGGAAAATTCAAAAGAACTTTCCCACGCTGTGTAAAATGACAAAGAGCATGGTGATTGGATGGATTTCGAGCCATCCAATCACAGTGCTCTGTGTCATTTTACACAGCGTGGGAAAGTCCCAAAAAATTAAGTACATACACCTATATGTGAAATATTTACAAAAAAAATCCTGTCATTTTCATAATCTAAGCAGCACTGGAACATCACTATTATACCTAAAATAAAAACCTGTACCATAAGTACAGTACACTTCACATTATGTGTATAGTGAGTGCAGTGTGTGTAAGGTATGGAGTATTAGTGTGGATATTTGTGGCATGGGCTGTGTTTTGGTGGGGGTGATTAAGGTGCAGTTTGAATATATACATATTTATTTAACAAAAAAAAAAGTTTAAGTTTATTAAGCCCCCCTCTCCCTGCTTCTTGCCCCTGGCCAGGGAGGGGATACACGACATTATGTGATGGAACTGTGGTACTCTAGAGATTCCTGCTTGTAGGTCTGCTGGGTGCAAACTCTTCTTGCAAGCCACCACTGTGCAGAATTGCCATGGTAACGCATAACAATGCTTTGCTATGGGGAGTGCCTAATACGTTCAGGTTAAGATGAAGAAGGCAGAGCGCCGACCCAGATCAAAACTGGAAATGAGTTAGTACAGAAAGAGTTTATTAACTATAGCGTAAGTCAGGGGTGCCCAAAATGTAGATCCCCAGATGTTTTAAAACTGCATCTTTCATAATGCTTTGTCAATCTAAAGGCATGCAAAGCATCATGGGAGTTGTAGTTCTACAACATCAGGGGATCTATTTTTTGGGCACCCCTGGTGTAAGTACGTAATACAGGTTTGTATTTTTGCATTTCTAACACTATAGAATCCGTTTAAAGTGTACGCTCCAGCAAAATAAATGGAGTCTGTGCTTTAACACAAGAAAATAAATAAAAATTAAATGTAGTTTTACATGATCATAATTGACTTGTGAACCAGAACAGGAAATATCTGTAACATTGCTACAATAAAAAAAATTAAAAAAAAAACACCACACATGCAAAATGCTTGGGTCTACCTTCACTCCTGTCCGCCGACGGGTTAGACCTAATGCGCAATGGCCGCACTCGCATTAGAATTTCCCCATAGGAAGGCTTTATACAATGCTTTCCTGTGGGGCTTTGGGTGACGCTGGACATCCCCATGCATAGCGTGAGTACGTCCAGCGTGAGTTAGGCGACCAAAACTAACAGCCCGGAAGACAGCCACTAGAAGTGGAGTTAAACCTGAAAGGCAATTATTATAATTTTTTTTTTTTTTTTTTTAAACTACAATACTTACCTTTGCAGGGTTAAAGAACCTGGGACAGTGCACCCAGACCACTTCAATGAGCTGAAGTTGTTTGGGTGTCTATAGTGTCCCTTTAACTCGGCAATGTCAACACTGCAGTTTCTATATTCATGCAGTTCTATATAAAAGAGGTCCAATGTTTTACCTTACATTGCTAAAAGGAAATGGACACTGCACCCAGACCTCTTCATTGAGATGAAGTGGTCTGAATGATTAGTGTCCTTTTAACTCGCGAATACAGACTCGCTATATATATATATATATATATATATATATATATATATATATATATATATATATATAAATAAAAGGTTAATTTAACAAATAAAAAAGACTATTACAACTTTTGACAGGAACAAAAGGTTGATGATGTGGTGGGGTATAAAACAGGAAGGGCAACGTGTGGTCAAATTGAGTGCATAAAAGGTACCTGTCCACGATGGACTATACCACCTGTCGTGTGCAGTGAGAGTCTGAGGCAGGTGGAAATTAATATATACACATATGAGGTAAAAGGGATAGTGAGGAAATAATTTTTTTTTATAAAGCAACAAATTCTGCAGTGCTGTACAATAGGTGGACTAATAAACAAGTACAGTAGTTGCAACAAGACAGGTTGGACACAGAGGAACAGAAGGTGCTAAGGGCCCTACTCAAACAAGCTTACAGTCTAAGGGAAATATGTAATACAAACTCAATCAATCTACTTATAACCATTTTAAAGGATACATACAAATAAATATTTAAAAGCTTATTCTAACAACCATAAATTCAGCATTTTCATATATGTATTCCTAATGTTGGTGTTACCTTAAAGGGATTTTATAGTGTTAGGAATGCACTCTAGTTCCCTTTGCCCCCACCTCCAGACAATTTGCTAATGAGCAACTACTGTGAGCGCATTAGTCCCTCCATATAGGAAAGGATTGAATAAATGCTTTCCTAGGGGGATTTTACTGACGTTGCATGTCCTCAGTCATGCAGAACGGGAGGATATACTGAGTCAGGCGACCTAACGTCCAGTAAGATCCTAGGAAGGGCCTCTAGTGTCTGTCTGGTGCTGCAAAGCAGTGGATTACACTGTAAGCCATGGTCCATTCAATTTCAGGGTGAACTCAACTTGGGAGAAAGTTTTGGAGCTCAAGTTGCCCCAACTTGTTCTCAAAGTGATAAAATGATTTACCACTTATACTACTAATCTACAAGAAGACATTGGCCATCTGAGGATAACCTGAACATTGTCTATAAAAAAGAAAAGAAAAAAAAAGTTGAAGGACAGCCAGCTCATCAGCAACAGAAAACGCCTGCTGTCTAATCAGGCTTGGCTTTGTACTGCCTCTCTCCACTATTGCGTCACATGTGAAACAGTTCCATGTGTTCCACCCCTTCCAGGCTCTCATATTATTCTTAGAAATCCTGCCTTTTCACACAGCCTGCTACCATCTTAGTTCCCTGCTCATTGCAGACTGTAGTTTAAATGCATCTATTAAGTTTGTTTCCATATAAATATTCTCTAGACTACTCATCAAAACCTGCAAGTAGCCCAATCCACACATCCTTAGCCACTTACAGGGGTTAGCACCAAATTACAATTCGATGCTGCGTCAACACTCCTGCTTGTACCCCACCAAACTCCATTAGGGAGTGCAGCTAAATTCAGGGGAACTCTGACTGGCAGGCAGCCTGTCTGGTAAAAACATAAAGCCTTGCGCCCTGTGCATACTGCCAGCTCAGGGAGGCTGCTGTATGAGTATGTGGGCACCAGCTCCAGCAATACCCGCATTGAAGGCTCGAGATACACAGCTCCTGTCTGTGCCCCTTGCAACCTAACCTAAACAGAGGATGTGAGCGAAAGAGCCGCCGGAGGGAGGGGCTACGGGCGACTCGCCTCCTCGATTGGCCCAGTCACCGAACGGGCCTGTCCTCCGTCTGGCCAATGACAGCAGTGTTGCTAGCCTCCAGCTACCACGTATAGGTGGATCCAGGTGCCACTTATCCGTGAGCTGGTTCGGTTTTGCTTATGTTAAACTGCAGGCATTAGACCTCAAATGCAGAGCTGGCTGGAAAGTGACTTTAGCTGCACGAACGTTCCAACACTGGATACTTTGTAACATCTCCTGGCGCTCAGTAAGTTTGCTGAGGATTTGTGGTGATCCATGGAGCTTGATAATTACCTCTGCGTGTGCGCCTGGTGCTGTATATGTGCCCTATATTATATATGTGTATACTGTGTGTGTATACTGTATTTATATATATATATATATATATATATATATATATAAGATTTATTTCTTGGTATGTTGTGGTGAGTGGCTTGTCAGCACAGTAAAGTGCAGCAGACACATGCGCCAATTCACCAGACGTTTTTAGAGTTGCACTTGAGATGGTGCTGGTCCACCTGGTTGTGGCCTCTGCAGATACTGGATACGTTAGGAACCGGATCAGAATTTTCTGCGTCATATTCCAGCTTCCCGAGCTTGTGGGGGAGAGGTTAGGAGCTGTATGTGTGGCTTTCTCAGTACGTGACAACTGTTCTCTTAAGCAGATTTAGTTCCTGCTTTCTGTTGGTTTTTTTTTTTTTTTTTCATTCTATTTACTAACAGGCGAGCACCAGCACTGCTATGATAAGATTTCTTCCGAGCCTTGTCAGAGCTCTAATCTATCTATCTATCTATCTTACTCACTCTGCGGCAGATACCTGCCTGTTTGCACACATTTTTAAAATGTACTTTTGATATAAAAAAATAATAAATAGCTGGAACCTAAATGTAAACAAATAGAGGGTGGATGACATGACACCAGGTAATTTGCTTATCAGAACTGTACTTTGTATGTCAATTGTGTGTGTTTGAAAACAAAAATACCCCCTCCCCTTGTCATGCTTGAATTGTTATGACATTTCCTTGTCTTTTGAAGAAGTGACATGAGTAGGACTGTTGGACTTTGCTACTGCAGTGTATTGGACTTCCCTATTGATCTTAATGACCTGTTTATGAAACAAACAAGCCAGCTGGACAAATGATTCTTATCTTTTTTTGTTGTTGTTGTTGCATAGTACATCCTATGTTTCCAAGCTGTGTGCTTTTGGTTATTTGAGGTCTATCTGTGTGATTGTATCACACAGGTTATCTGAAGATCATGCAAAACAGAATGTGTTATTTTTGGCACAAGGATAAAGCTGTTTTGACACAGATGTGTTTGACAAGTGACAAGGTAGTTCTGCTAGAAAGCATGGGCCACAGATCACATTCCTAACACACTGGCCCAAGAGGCACTTTCTTTATTCCCTTGGCCTTTTTTACAAGGCTAAGCCTGCAAGAAGGATATGGTGAAGGTTGGTTGCTAGATAGACATGTGCATGTGACTGTATTATTTACCAACACACTGTGACATGGGAGGAGTTTTTACCTTCTGCTGTACAAGCTTGAAGACGGAAGAGAACTAGTGTTTGTCTGTCAAGGGAGAAAAAAAACAAACCCTCAATGGCTGGCAGTGGGAGTAGATTTGTTGTGGCATCTTGCTTTTTCCATTCCATTTCCTTTTTTAACCTTTTTAGATGTCTTGTTTCTGAAAATAGACCTTTTCAGTATACTGGAAATAAATACACAGTTAAACCTTCCTTTTTTTTTTAATTTTTTTTTTTTTTTTAAAACTGCTTGGCGTCCAAATGTTCTCCTTAGCTGTAAATGTTTGTGAGAAATATTTAGGTCTGTTTTAAATCACACTGTAGAATTTATTTATTTATAGATCTGTTTCTGTTAACATTGAGTTCTATTTTCCTGTACAGGACTAAACATTTACATTGAAGGTACTGAGAAGTCTGCATTTGGTTTTGATTTCAATAAAAGCTAAATTTAATCTTAAAGTGTGGGCTCAGATTGATTACCTCTTGTCTAGTTGCTACATAAATGCAAGGCCTTCTTAAAAGCCCAGTTAGTACTGCAGCCTTGGCTCAGTACTGGTAACGCTGCAGTCTTTCAAATTCTCATATGTAGTGTAGTAGGAGACAACAACCCTTTTAGGCTTGTTTACTAAGATCCCAATTTTAGTTCTTTTATTAAGCTTGTTTTCAAGACAGAGTTTAAAAAATATTCTGTACTCCTAAAACAAATCTGGAAAAGCATTTTTTGTTTAACTCAAACCATAATAATCTGTTAATCTTTGTATGAACTGCATTGAAAAGGTTACTAAAGACTTGATTTCTTGTTTAGGCAGGGAACAGTCTAAACAGACCAAATCATTATCTTTTTTCTATACATCATGATCAATTGTATAATTATAAAAAAAAAAAAAAATAATAGTGTGTTTGTATGTGTATATATATTCATTCTCTCTGAACATCCTTGCACTCATGCTGTAATGTCCTATACTTGCCGGGTGCTCAGACTGGGACTTTGGTTTTCCAAACGAGGGGAATGGCAGCACTCCCAGTCTTCAATAAAATTACTTCTTTATTGGCAAGATTAAAAAGTGGGATCAATGTTTCAGTCCTTTTCAGGACTTTCATCAGGATCCTGACATTTAGATCTGATATCAGCAGAGGGAATCCTTCTAACACAATTGCTAGGGTTAGTATTAGGATTGGTTTATGATTGGTGTTATGCATAGCATTAGGGTGAAGTTTAGAATTGGGGTTTGGTATAGGATTAAGATTGATACTTTGCGGCTACCAAAAATTTACTGAAATCCTAGGTATATGGTGTACTATGTAAATCAGGACACATCATTTTCTTCAGCAGCACTAATTATACACACAATTCTTGTGGTATTTAAAAAAATAAATAAAAAAATAATAATTTTTAGTATAGCGTGTGTGTGTGTGTGTGTGTGTGTGTGTATGTATGTATGTATGTATTAGGGATCGACCAATATTGTGTGTGGTGTTTTTTTTTTTTGTTTTTTTGTTTTTTTGAGCCGATACTGATAATCTGTGAACTTTCAGGACAATAGCCGATAAGTTACCGATATTCTGTACATTTACCATTTTGAAAAAATAAACTATTTTGAAAGGTACATGCACAAAATATGCATGCCACATGTAGTGGATGCAGAATGTTTAGACAGGGGAGCTGTGTGTGTTTTGTGTAGTGTGTGTGTGTGTGTGTAGTGGATGCAGTTTGTGTTTGTGTAGTGTGTGTATAGTTAATGCAGTGTGTTTGTGTAGTGTGCATTTTATAAACACACTACACAAACACACTGCATTCACTATACAGAAACTACACAAACACACACTGCATTATATACAGTGTGTGTATATAATGTAGTGTGCATTATATAAACACTATACACAAACACACTGCATTATATACAGTGTGTGTGTTTCTGTAGGTATGTAATTTGGGGGGAGGGGGCATTTTTTTAAATTTATTTATTTATTTATTTATTTATTTATTATTATTATTTTTTAGTCGCCCCTCCCTGCTTGTTACCTGGGCAGGGAGGGGGGATATAGCATTCCCTGGTGGTCCAGTGGCATGGAAAGTACAGAGGGGCCTGCTTACTTACCTTCCCTTCAGCTCCCTGTGTAAATCTCGCGGCCAGTGTGCCCCGCGGAGCGTTGCCATGGTAACCTGTGGCAACACTCTGATGGCCGCAGGACTCGCGAGATTTACAGAGAGAGCTGAAGGGAGCTGCTGGGAAGGTAAGTAAGTGCTTGCTGCAGGACCACTGGGCTTGTCATGGGCCTGGCGGTCCTGTAATGTATTATCGGTATCTCTAGTGGCCGATGCCGATATTGCCGAAAATACAGAATATCGGCCAGTATCGTGTGTGTGTGTATGTATGTCTCTCTATATCGTTTCTCTATATCGTTATCTCTCTATAAAATCACCTGAGAAACTGCAGCTTAAAGGACCACTATAGGCACCCAGACCACTTCAGCTCAATGAAATGAAGTGGTCTGGGTGCCATGTCCCTCTAGTGTTAACTCTGCAGCTGTAAACATAGCAGTTTCAGAGAAACTGCTATGTTTACACTAGGGTTAATCCAGCCTCTAGTGGCTGTCTTATTGACAGCCGCTAGAGGTGCTTCTCACTGTGAAAATCACAGTGAGAAGACGCTGGACCTCCCTAGGAAAGCATTGAGAAATGCTGCTTTCCTATGGACTGTTTGAAAGCGCGCGCGGCTCTTGCGACCTTGAGGGTGGGGGGTGAGGGGGTGGGGGGACCTAAAGACCCTATAGTGCCAGGAAAACCAGTTTGTTTTCCTGGCACTATAGTGGTCCTTTAATATTTAGTATTTCTGGTGTCTATAGTCTGTACCTGCAGGATGAGCACTGTAAATTACTGGGGGGGGGGTTTGGGGGGAGGGGAGGTAGAGTTTACAAGGGTGTTGAAAAAAAAAAAAAAAAAATACTTCTCCAGGCACTAAAGTGTTTGCCCAAACTACCTGTCCACCATGACAATATGCTTGTCCTGATACATTTAAAAAAAAAAAAATCAAAACTGTATTTAAATAAGGTCTTTTATTGATGGTAATATAGGAGACAGACCTGGTATAGGTCACATAGTGTGGGGTGATAGGGATGTAGTATGGGTAAGACACATGGTGTGGGATAGGGATGTAGTGTGTGTGTGTGTGTGTGTGTGTGTGTGACCCATAGTTTGGGGTGGGATAGGGATGTAGGGCACATAGTGTGGGGGTGATAGGGATATAGTATGCAGGGTGAGGGGGTGACAGGAGGCAGAGCGTGGGAGGGGGTGGCAGAGTGAGGGAAGGGGTGATTGGTGGCAAAGTGTGAGTGAGTGGTGACAGAGTGGGATGACTGCTGACAGAGTGACTGAGGGAGGGGGTGACTGACAATGACTGACTGAGGGTGGGGGTTACTGGTGACAGAGACTTAGGGAGGGTATAACTGAGTGAGGGGGTGACTGGTGACAGAGTGAGGGTGTTAGAAATAACTTTTTTTTTTCTTTCCCTTATGGTCCAGTGTCCTAACTCCCTGGTGGTCCGGTCTGTCTCTCCTGTCTGCAGCTCTGCCGCATGTGAGCTGCAAACTGTGCTGTATCTCGGGATATCCAGAAGTCAGTGTTGCCGTGGTAACCCGCGGCAATGCTCTGATTGGCCAAAGGTCGCGGGATATAGCACAGTCTGCAGAACACACACAGTGGAGCTGCAGACTGGAGGGGCTAGCTCTCTGGGCGGACGGAGGGGCCTTGCACAAGTGTGTTGCCAGGCCCCCTCCCGATGCCGAGTCCTCGGTCATGGACCAAGGACCCGACAAGTCACTCTGCTGCTAGCCCGAAGCAGGACTGCAATAGGAGTTGCTCTTCCCTGGTTTATATTGCTGCCTAGTAACCCCTCTAGTGGAAGTCACTCAGATGGCCACTAGAGGTGCTTCTTAGTACAGTGCTGCATGAATGTGTTGAAAGTTCCCCATAGAGATGCATTAATTCAATGCATCTCTATGAGGAGATGCTGATTGGTGCAGCACATCATTTTCCTAGCCATGCACAATAGCCTCCCAAAGTTTTCCTACAGAGAAAGCATTGGATTGATTATCTCCGCCACGGAGGACAGGCGAGACTGGCACAGCGTAGGAGACAAGGTAAGTAAAATCACATTTCCCATTTGAACTAAGAGGGGGCCAGTGACCTAAATGGTTAAACACTATAGTGTTGGTAATACATGTTTGTTTTCTAGACAAGCTAGTTTTTCTTTAAGTAATAAACCAGAAAACTGATACTTTGTCCTTAAATGAACATTATATAGTGTTAAGAGTACAAATGTGTTTTTCTAAAGCTATAGTGACCCTTGGCATTGTATAGGTCACTGCTCTCCCCCACCCCCACAAGGGTTAAAAAGGTATAAACCTCTTATCTTCTGCTCAGTGCGCCAAATTGGACTCTCTGTAGCTGGCCCCGCCACCTTGGCTGAGATCATCAATACTGATCTCAACCAAGTCAATGTTTTCACATAGGACAGCATTGGAAGGCTAGTGCACATGTGAAGCTCCGCCTGTGCCTCTGATGTGAGTGAGAATGACAGCTAGACACATTTAAACCCCGCAATTTAACCATTGCTGTTACTGCAGAATGCCAATGTTTCACACTGCAAGATTAAAACGAGAGGGCATGGCATCAAGACATCTTCATTGAGGTCAAGTGGTTTGGGTGCCTATAGTGTCCCTTTGACGTTTTTATCATGCTGAGGTTTTGCCCAGTCACATTCTCCTCTATAGAAGTGTAACATAAACTATAAGATGAGGTGGGTTAAATGAATGTGCATCAGTTGACAATTTATTTTTCTAAAGCCAGCAAACAAACACTTCTATTAAAGAAATATAGAAAACAAAATAAAGCAAGATAAACTTTTAAAAGTATGTAATAAACCTTAATAAACTTGGATAGATTGCATTGCGCATGCCTCTCAGCTAGGGGAGTATCTTTAGCCTCCCTCTAACTAACCCATCTCGGTTTCAGACCAGTCTACTAATGACAGAAAATGGCTATCATTGTGCAGCAGCAGAGAGAAACTGACACCGGAGCCTGCTCTACATGATGACATGATCAGGATGTTGCAAGGTGAAGAGATCTTATACTGCACATGTGTGAATATGTCAGGCATGCCCAGTGCATTTTTCCAGGATTCCTAGGGATGTGATCCTGATTGGTTAAATCATAAGAAAGAAGAAACAGGTAAGTATAGAGTGGAAAAAATATATACTTTTTTTTTTTTTTTTTTCTCTCCAGACTACAGTGAGGAAACATTCTCATTCAAAGCTAAAGCTTTTGAATAAGACCCTTTTTCAAAAGTGATACAAGTCCTTCCAAGGAACCCTTTCTGCAGGGGGAGAATCACATTGCATCTGTTGCGAGGGTGCAGTACGCACTGACGACAGACTTAAAATATGCATATAAATTACATTGTCAGTCCAACGTTCTGGGCTACCAATGTCACATGTACTGGGGCTGCAACTACCCTCCCCCTCTTCTCCCCAGTGTTTCAAGTTGACAAGTAGAAGTGGTAACGGTAGTTGGAGTAACCCTTTAAGAACGTTGTTTTTTGCAGGTCTAATGCTTCTCTTAGACTTTACTAGCATTTTTTTCAACTTTACAGTTAAGTTTATGGTAATATAATAAAGAAGACCTGGTGTTTCTTTTGCTCTTTCAACTGTTTAAATTTTTAACACCTCCACCTGTTATATTAAGGGTTAGTACACAGGGTGTGCCTCATTCATCTGGAGCAAAACCATACAGCCCAGGTTTTGTTGTACGTTGATGCCAGAAGGGAATTTCACACAATATATAGTGACCGTTTTATGTTTTTTGTTTTTTTTAAATTCTTTATTTTGACGTGCAGTAAAATATCACAATAACATGGATATGACCGGTATAATAGTAATGCAAGACACGTTTTCATACATGTTTAAATACGATTAATAGCACTTTAAAAGTGAGCTAAGTAGTAAATGACTGCACTTTTTTGTATAAGTAAATCGGTCAATGTTTTAAAACTCAGGAATCGATACGGAGGAAAAAACAAAACAAGAGATATTGAGCAATATGTTGCTATCAATTCCCTAATCTGAGGTGAACATAAAGAAAAAAGGTTGCTCACCAGTTTAGAGAAGGCAAAACACCATGTAGTGGGAAAATAAAATGTTAAATAGAGGTGTTTCAGTAAGTTGGAACACTAATGGGAGTTCAAGCAATCCAGAGATATCAGATACTAGAGTAAGGCAAAATATTAACTAAGACCTCTAACTGACTGAATCTCACCCCACTGGCATTAATATGTATGCTGTTCACCCTATACTAATGCTTCGCCTACGATTGTTTGAGAGTCCCAGTGATCCAGTACTACGTTGGCCTCTTGTCTTCTTGAGAGCCTGTATGCGGTTGCTCGTGGCTCGGTGACCAATGTCCCGGTGTGGTTAAGGGGGATTGGTTCTCCCTCGGGGGGGTGCAGAATGTGCACCAGGGTACAACTCCTCACAGCTCTCCGCTTAGGATTGTGGTGGTCTGCACTGGGTCACCATGTCTTCCAGGAAGGCACAGGGAGGTCAGGCAGGTCTTCCCTGCTGGTGCCGGTAACGTGGTGTGTGGATCTTGTGCCTAGCGATGTGGCTCGTTGAGTATCAAAGGATGTGTATTGCTCTGTCTTCGCTCCACCTGTTGCCCTTGTATTTCAGCCAGAAGTTGGCATAGATTCAGTCCATATGCCTTATAGTTGTCTCCATCATGGTTTTTGAGATGGAGGTGTGTGGTGAGACTGCCATTTTAACTGCGCCTGTTAGAAAGGCCTCAGTGTACCACAATACTTGCTGGGTTACCAATGCACTACTTGTGGGAATTAAAAGCCAGTGAGCAGGTGCTGGGATGACCCTCACCGGCAGGGGACACACACAAGGATCCCTTCCACCTCTCCGTGCCCCAGCATGATTGTGACAAGACCAATCTCGCCACTGTGCATTGGAGGAGCCTGGTTGCCTGCCTGCTGCCTTTAGACTATGGCCCCATGTTTTAACGCTTGATTTTCCCCTGCGAAGACACGAAAGCCGGGTCATTCGATGCTTGCCCTGTTTGAGCGGTGATACCCCAGATAGCTATGCCATGGAGCCCATTCGTATAATGAAAGACTTTGGCTCCATGGCAATTGAACTGTATGTGTGTGCTCTGAGCGCCATTCAGTAATAATGTGCGCTCAGATCTGAGCTATCTGGGGATATGTTGAATGTATCTGTTTTGTGCAATGGCTGCACAGTTATATATTTTTATGTATTTTATTGTCTTTTGCTGCCATGTGTTCAATGGAGTTTTGCTCTGTCCTTGGAGATAATTGGATTACTTCCCAATTATCTCCAGGATAGAAGACTCTGTGGAACTGGTTTTGGGCAGAAAAGCCATGCTTCATTTGGTCACAAAGGACTTTGATCTATCTTTTGAACCAATGGACCAATATGGATGATTTTGACATGTTTGTATTTGGAGTATGCATGGTATTGCGTGGTTTCCTGTTCCCCAGAAGTCTCCTTGTTACTGTTTTGTTCCTGACTCTGGCCTTGTTCCTGACTTCGCTGCTCTCCGTTCTCCTGATCCTGGCTTGTCTGACTACCCGCTCTGGTGACTGACCCCTGCTTGCCTCCTGGACTTTGCTTTTGGTTATTTCTTTATTTGTTATTTATTAATAAAGGTGTTTTTGCATCTAGTTCTGCCTCTGTCTGGTTCCTGGTCCCTAACAAGGTGTTGCTGCTGGGGGTATTACTCCTGTTTGCATTTTGGTGCCATCCGACTGTGTCAGAAAATGTGTCTTCCCAGGAGGTGGACAACGTTGGTATTCCTTCTTTTTTTTTTTTTTTATTATTATTTCTTTATTTAAATTTTAGAACAGAGACCTGTATCACCTATGCAATTTTTAAAAATCAAACAAGTATGGAGTGACATTTTTGGTATTCTCTCCAGTATAACTAACACCATAATTCCACTATTGATTTGTTATAGCTAGAAAATGGCGTCAAAATGATACAATAAAGATAGAGAATGTAATTAATCAGATGAATAATCAAGCCCAAACGGAAAAAGGATACTTCACTGCCCAATTTAATTATGGAAACCAAGTACGGAAAAAGTGTCTCTTAAAATATCCAATTTGATACCTGCCCTGACACTATTACTTCATCCTTAAAGGACCACTATAGTGCCAGGAAAACATACTCGTTTTCCTGGCACTATAGTGCCCTGAGGGTGCCCCCACCCTCAGGGACCCCCTCCCGCCCGGCTCTGGAAGGGGAAAGGGGTAAAACTTACCTTTTTCCAGCGCTGGGCGGAGAGCTCTCCTCCTCCGATCCTCCTCTTCTCCTCCCGTCGGCTGAATGCGCACGCGCGGCAAGAGCTGCGCGCGCATTCAGCCGGTCACATAGGAAAGCATTTACAATGCTTTCCTATGGACGCTGGCGTGCTCTCACTGTGAAAATCACAGTGAGAAGCACGCAAGCGCCTCTAGTGGCTGTCGATGAGACAGCCACTAGAGGAAATAGGGGAAGGCTTAACCCATTCATAAACATAGCAGTTTTTCTGAAACTGCTATGTTTATGAAAAAATGGGTTAACCCTAGCTGGATCTGGCGCCCAGACCACTTCATTAAGCTGAAGTGGCCTGGGTGCCTAGAGTGGTCCTTTAAATATATGAAAGGAAATTAAGTTGGCCTGCTCATCATGTCGCGCTCACATGTTTGTTTGTTAATGTAGTATATGTAGTTTTTGTGGTTTATGTAGTCTTCTGTGCGAGACATGCATTACATACATATGCTTGTGTATATATAATATTATATATATAGAAAGTGGAAAGACCGGCACTCAAGGAGTTTTAACAGCTTTTACTGTGTAAAGATAAATCAACGTTACAGCTCCACTAGGGAGCTTTCATCAGGACATACTCTGTATGTCCTGATGAAAGCTCCCTAGTGGAGCTGTAACGTTGATTTATCTTTACACAGTAAAAGCTGTTAAAACTCCTTGAGTGCCGGTCTTTCCACTTTCTACAATTGAGCTACCAGAGCACCAGGTAAAATATATATTTTTATTGGAGTGCAGGAGTTTGACATATTTTTTAATATTATATAATGTAATTCAACCATATTTAAACAGTTAGTGAGTGATCTTATTGACCCCGACCAGACCAGACTCTGGCACCATTTATCCATTTTTCTATATTTAGTTGAACTTCCAATTCTCTTTGCCAACTCTCATAAGGTTTTAGGCTATGTGTTTTATCCAAAACTTCTAGAAATCTATACCACCTAGGCATTTCTTTTTTCACAACGGCATTATTCAAAATGCCTAGAATATTCTGATCCGGTTTGTTACTTTTGCAATTATAAATGTGCCTTTTTAAATAATGCCACATTCTAAATGAATTAAAATATTCAGACTCTTTAAATTCATATTCGTTAAGGATCTATATCGGGGTTTTAATTCTCTCCTCAGACATAACATTGCTTATTTTATAAGATGTAAAATTCTTACCAATTATCGAGCTTCAAATGCAGAATTTTATTCTTAAAGGACCACTCTAGGCACCCAGACCACTTCAGCTTAATGAAGTGGTCTGGGTGCCAGGTCCTTCTAGGGTTAACCCATTTTTTCATAAACATAGCAGTTTCAGAGAAACTGCTATGTTTATGAATGGGTTAAGCCTTCCCCCTATTTCCTCTAGTGGCTGTCTCATTGACAGCCACTAGAGGCGCTTGCGTGCTTCTCACCGTGATTTTCACAGTGAGAGCACGCCAGCGTCCATAGGAAAGCATTGTAAATGCTTTCCTATGCGACGGGCTGAATGCGCGCGCAGCTCTTGCCGCGCGTGCGCATTCAGCCCAGGAGGAGGAACGGAGGAGGAGAGGAGGTAGAGAGCTCTCCGCCCAGCGCTGGAAAAAGGTAAGTTTTTAACCCTTTCCCCTTTCCAGAGCCGGGCGGGAGGGGGTCCCTGAGGGTGGGGGCACCCTCAGGGCACTATAGTGCCAGGAAAACGAGTATGTTTTCCTGGCACTATAGTGGTCCTTTAAGAATATCCAGAGGAGCAGAGGGCAGAATATTATCTTTCATCCAAAATTCAATACAATTTTTAGTCACCATTTTTAGTCCAAGATGGATCCATATGGCGCATTCCAAGTTAGTCATCCCCGCAAGTTCTTGTTTTATATAAAACCAATTTGTCCTTCCTTATTATACATTGAAGCTTAGATGAATAGCACAACATACTCTCTTTTCTGCATATCGTTCTAGGCTAGGCACATTTAGCCCCCCCCACCCCTCCTTTTCTGTAGCTAGAGCAGAGAATTTGTCTCTATACTCTGGTTTTCTTATAGTTCCATATAAATGTGTTAACCTTTATCAGAAATGCTTTAATCCAGCGTAAAGGTAATTTCAGTGGAATCATTCTCAATAAACACAACCATTTAGGGATTATATATGATCTAATCATGTTTATCCTACCCATCCATGAGATAAGCAACCCTTTCTACTTCCCCAGTTGTCTATTCATTTCATCAAAAAGAGGTGAGTAATTCACTTCGACTATTGATTGTATATTCTTTGGCATTTTAATCCCCAAATATGTGATCTCCTCCATATCCCATTGGAATTACCCGATCTTAATCCTTTTTAAATATGTATATTATTTCTTATTCTTGCTGCAAAGGGCTCTAATGTTAAAATATCAAGCAAGGGGGCAACCCTCGGAATGATAGAGAGATATAGATAGAGAGATATATATATATATATATATATATATTCTCATTCTGATCTAAACCCTTGTGCGATAACTCTCGCAGTTGGTTTGGTTTATAAGGCCCTGACAGAGCCAGTAAATAACTCTTCTCCAAATCCTCCAAACAGCCTGTGGTGGCGGTACTGCATAATATGCACATTTGATAATACATTTCAGCGCATTGTGGAACCTCTCTTGGATAGGTATGATAGGGCATTTTGCTGTGGGGCGTGGAGGCAAGCCGCTGGGTGGCGTAGCAATTAAAGCAGTCTGTCTGGGCTGGGCTAAAGTGTAGACTGAGCGTCAATTAGGTGCCTGCATATATATGCGCCAGTATACTGGGTGTGACTTGAAATCTTGGGGTAACCTCCCGACTATGCAATCGGGGGTAGCCTTGCAGGTTAGGTACGCATGGTTTAGTCGCACATCTGACCATTATAGTAATGTGTAAAAACAAAACAATTGTATAAGATTTGTGTATTAACAGGTCTAGTCTGCCCCATGACTATAGCTCCAATGTAGGTCATTGGTGTCCTGTTGTTTGGTGAACCATACCAGAGCAGATCTAGGTAGCCCAAATAGAGATAGGGTTTTGCTGAATTTAATAGCATTGTAGGGCTAAACCACCTCCTGCATATGTGTTGGAGCGGTAGTAAGGCATGATCTAAGTAGGGACCATCGTCAGGGGGTGGGAACAATGTTGACAGCAGGTGTAAATCAAGGTGGTAGAGGCATAAATGGGCAGGTCTTTATGTTGACTAAAGTAGTTAAGGTAGAGATGTTCAGTCTCCTGCATGGGGGTATAGATTGCTGAAGTGCGGTTAAACATGTGTAGCGGAATACCTATCTGTTATAACAATATGACATTGGTAACATCGAATTGGAAACATTGTGCCCACGCAGGGGTGGTGATGCTTAAACAGTTCGCGGTTAAGGTTGCGGCTTTGACCCATCAGAACTCTAGTGACTGCCTGGGCAGGGTTTGGTATCTCATTGTCCCTGTCATCTTTGAAACAGGTATTGTCCTATGAGTATGGGTGGTTACGCTTGTTGGTGGTGCCCTGACTCTGGCACGAGTCTGGTTATTGTCACTGACGTAATGTTATGTGTGATTGGAGGGTGTGTATATTTGGGGTGTGTGGCCGACCAATGTCTGTGGCTCTGTGTCTCACGGGTGGGGGCTGGTGGATAGGTGGGAGATGTAGGGATCCTCCGCCTCCATCCACGGTATGCTGCAGTCAGTCTGGGTCTGTGTGAGGGTACCTGGTCGGGTCCCGGGCTTGAAAAGGGAAGGGGGGAGGGGACGAGAGGGTGGGGGTGAGAGAGAGGCAGCGGAAGCGAGGGGGGTGGGGGGCAGATCAGGTTGATCTCATGCGAACAGCGTCCCCAGTCGCTGCTCCAGTACCCCCTGCGCTGGGGGCCTATAGGTGGTGTCCGCCTGATCCTGTTTCGGTTATTCTCTGGTTGTTCAGGCAGTGGTTAGGAGTTGCACGAACTCATTCGAGGAGATAAGTCTCAGCCAGTAAAACCAGCGCTTTGTGTACTTTTCTTTAGCGTGCACCGTGGTCGCCTTCAGGTCTTACAATCTCCTTTTAACTTCCATCTCTTGATTTGATTTGCGGGGTGCATGGCTGTCTCCAATAGACGGGAATGATAGCTTTCATCACATTGAGGAGTCTAGGGATTACAGATCGTTTGTACGCCGGTGTAGGCATCGTTGTTTGGTGAAGTAGAAAAGGGGCCGGGGTCTGTGGTAAAACTTCATCCGTTACCTCCCGGATCACTTGGCCAATTTTGACCCAAAACGTTCGGATAAGGGTGCAGTCCCACCACTGGTGGAGGAAAGTACCTCTCTCCTCTCTGTAGCACCAGCAGGTGTCTGGTGCTGTGTTGTCGCATGCGTGTAGGGTGGCAGGGGTTATGTACCATCTTGTAAAGACTTTGTATGCATTTTCCTGTAGCCTAGCGGACCCCAGAGTTTTTTGGACATGCATGATGATCTTGTCCCAGTCAGCGTCGGAGAGTGTTTCGTCCAGATCCTCTTCCCACCGTCTGATGCAGCGTGGTGCAAGAAGGTAGCGACCCGTGGCCAGTGAGGCATATATCAGGGATATCGCCTTGGATAGTGTCGCGTCCTGTATGCAAAAGAATTCGAACTCCGTGCTGTCCTGAATTAGGCTGGGACGTTGGGAATCGAGCGTGCGTGCTGAGTTGTTTTGTTCCCTTGCCATAGTTTATAGAAATGTTTGTTCCGGGAAGAGGGCGGTTGTCAGTCTAATGGCAAATGGGGTTGTTAGTACATCTGCCATTCGGGGTAGTGCGGTGCCGTGTAGCCAGCGTGAGAGGGGTCTCTGGTCTCCCGCTGGGAAGTCCGGATTACCCTTTAAGGGGAGAAAGGGGCTGGGGTCCGTTGTAAGGTAGTATTTGGGGCAGTACTGGTGCCAGATGCGGAGTGTGGCTTTCACAAATGGGTTGGTATGGTGTATGCGCTTGCTCGTCTCCCTCGGGTCCACGGCAGCGCCTTGAGGTTTCTGTTAGTGCTGTTCACTTCCAGTTGCACCCAAGGTTTGTCTCGTGCGGTCACCGACCAGCTGATTATTCTCATAAAGTGTGCTGCCAGGTAGTATTTCCTAAAGTCTATGAGGGCTAGGCCCTCTTTAAGTTTGGGTAGTGTCAGTTGGGAGTGGGGTATGCAAGGGGATTTGCCCTTCCACACAAACTTGCGGACTGCTGCTTGGATAGTGGTGAAGAAGCTCTTCGGTGCCAGGATTGGGATGGTTTGGAAGATGAAGAGGAGTTTGGGGAGTAGGGTCATTTTGACCGCGTTTATACGCCCAAGCCAGGAGAGATAATGTGAACTTCAGGTGTGGAGTTCCTCCAGTGCTGTTTTGAGGAGAGGGGCGAAGTTGTGGGTATAGAGGTCCGCCGGGTTCGGCGTGAGCCAGATTCCTAGGTAATGTAGACGGGTCATGTTCCAACGGAATGGGAAGCTATGTCAGAGCGACTGTCGTTGTGCTCCTCCGATTCCAAGATCTAGGATTTCAGATTTGGTGCAGTCTGGTTCTTTTGTATTGATATTGGACAGATCTTCTTTAAGCGTTCTGCCAATATGGCCAAATATACTTTTGTATTTATGTTAATCAGTGATATAGGTCTATAGTTTTGTAGGGTCTTTTCCTTCTTTTGGTATAGGTAAGATATCACCATTTTGTTTGGAAAAGATCCAAAATCTCTGACTTCATTAAAAGTATCCATCAAATATGGGGACAGAATGTTCCCATGTGTTTTTTATAAAACTCTGCTAGGAAACCATCAGGGACTGTTGCCTTCTGTGGTTTTAATGCTCTAATTGCCTTGATGACTTCTAAGTTATCAATAGGGGCTTCCAAGCAATTAGCCTGTTCTCTAGACAATTTCTTTTTTTTTAATTTAGATTCTTCTTCTAGATATTGTTTTATTTGTTCCCTTTCTTCTATGAATGAGACACATGTAGGGGCTTGGAGGGGGATGAGATACATGGAGGTGCTTGGGGGCAGTGTGACATATGGAGGGTCTTGAGGGGAAGAAATTAGATACTTGGAAGGTATGGTGGAAATGAGAAACATGGAAGGGCTGGGACACACACAAAGAGACAGATGGGTTGGGTAAGGGTTAAAAGAGACAGACATGGGCACAGAGGGGCTATTGGGAGAAAGATACATAGAGCGGGTGCTGAAGGGGAGAAAGATACACAAAAAGGACTAGAGGGGAAGAGTCACAGAGAGAGGATGGGGAAGGGCAAAAAGAGATACAAAGTTGCTGAGGGAGGGGATGAGACACAGATGCTGGTGAAGGTGCGAAGGAGACACACAGGGGCTGCGATAGATGGGGACACACACGACTGGAGGGGAGGAAATGAAACGGGGGGGGGATAAGCTATACTAAAGGGGAGTGTAAGATAAAACTTATACAAGTTTGGTAAGAAACATGAAGGCAGTAAGAAATTCAAAAGGGTGACACATGTGAAGATGCATTTTTTTTTATTTTTTTTTATTTTTTTTGGAGGAAAATGCATCTTTGCCTGTGTAGGCAAATACTTGCACCGGCCCTGCCTGCCATTTGTGAAAGTAGATGTTCCAGGGTCTCAAGTGGTCCATATTATGTCTTAGTGTGCTGCCATTTTATTGACCGTTTATGTCAAATTTTGTGTTGTTTTTTTTCTTTTTTTTGTGTGTGCATTTTTACATGCTCATTACAATTTAACTGGCCATTTCTGAAAACAGATATGTGCCACTGTTATCAACCCCCCTGACTTATGCTCCGCTCTTCTGAACAAATCAATACCCCCAATGTATGCCATAAAAGAGACCTGGCTATTGCCGTTTTTACAATAAGAATATTTCATTGATGAATTTGATGGGCTCATTCAACATTTTGGGGCATTGTAGCAGTTTCAGAGTTGAAATCACCTCAGAAAAATGATAATAAAAGAAGACAACACGGGATATGTCATATGGTATATTTTTAAGGCTTATTACACAATCATTTTAGCACCAATTTTTTTTCAGGTTTTATAGTATTATTTATACATTTTATTTTTTTACATACACATTGCAAAGACAAATTGAAGATAGGTCTCAATGGGTACCCTCACATTATATATTTTAAACTTTGTTGCGATGCCATTTTTTTCCCCTTTTTTTTTTCTCTTTCAAAGTTTGTTGTATTCATTTTCATTTTTACATATATGTTGTATTTTTTTTTTTAAATTAATTTTATTACAATGGGACAAGAGATTTTAAAAAATTGTTTTAACTATAATCAACATCTCCTGAGTACAATGCCCCATATGCATACCTTTACATTTTTTTTATACCTTTGCAAAGCAACAATTTTAGTCCCAGCTAAATCTTTAATCCTGAACCAAACCCTTTTCTGAATAAAACTCCAATCCCATAATCCCATATCCAACCCAAATCTAATAATAAACCTAACCTTAATCCTAACCCATACCTTAACCTTGAATCCAACCTTATAAATAATGTTAGAATGATTCACTTGCTGATATCAGCAAAGGAATTCTCTTGCTGGCTCTAATCGTCCAAACCGTAATCTGAAACCGAATCCCAATCCTAAACTGAATACTAAACCAAGTATTTATTTTAAACCTGATCTTAAGCCATAATTTAATCCTGATCCAAAAGGTTTCCCTCTGCTAATATCAGTAGTGATATTACCGGTAGCAAAGGGAATTTTAAACAGAATGGTATGTTGCTGCCATCTACTGGCTATTTTCAGTATGACAGCTTTATATCTTTAACCTTGAATGCAGTATGCCAAATGTAATGTGATCAGTGCTGGGCAACTGACAAAGCTCAGCACTGATCAAGATGCCATTGGGGCATGGAGGGAGACTCTCCATGGTCTATTTAGACCCTAGTGGTCTTCCAATCACCGGATCCAGTAAGAGAATAATTGTGGCTGAATTTGAGAGAAGGCAAAGGGGAGTTTAACTTACTTGAATTTGCCCCGTCGCCGTTTTATTTCGGCTGGTCCTCTTCTGCTCTATGCACGAGTGTGCAGCAGAGGCCTCTATAGGATCCCGTGAGATCCTCAATAGATAAAACCAATTTCTTACAGCCATCACTGGTGACACTGGGGTATTTACACTTCCACTTCTAAATGATGCCAGCTCCGCCCAGTGTCTAGAAGCCTCAGGTGTAAGAAAAATACTGGGACTTTGTCTCAGTAAATCTTTTGACTGGGTTTGCTGCTTTTCGTCTTCCTTTTATTCATATATTTGTTTTGTTTTTTAAGTATATGACTTATAAATTCACAAAAATTTACTTCTTCTCAGGCATTAAATATTTGACTAACTCAAAAGAGGTGACATACTTGATAACTACCTAATTGATTCCTGCGTATAATCATCTTTTAGGAATTACTTTACATTGGGCGTAGAGTTGCTTGTTCGCATGAGTCATACCTCACCTCTCGGGAGACTCTAATTATTAAATTTACATTGAGGTGTTTCATTTTTTATTTTTTTCCCTGCTTACACTTACACACAGCTAATAATTTGCAAATATATTTTAGTAAAAAACAAAACAATTAAACGATTTTAAAAGGCATATTTAAATTGATATATACAGATTATCTCTTGTGTACTTACCCAATTGCAGCTGTTTTCATATCATGATATTATTGGTTTATATCCCATGTTGTATGTAATACTGGAATTTAACCTCTTGTCATTTTAATGCGATACATAATGTGTTAAAAAGGCACACGAAAAAAATAGAGAACACAAAATTGAGACTACCTTTTGAGCGTTCTGCACAGGAAATCCTTCCAAGGATTTTCAACTGATGCAGGGAGTCTGCCAAGACCAGGAGATAAATGGAAACCGTTTAACCAATCCTGGCACTTCCATTATGCTCAAAGAGAGAGAGAGAACTGAACATATTCCATAAACACGATGACCATGAACAAACCAGTGGGCAGCTCTTTTTTTTTTTTTGTAGTGCAGAAATATACAAACAGGCTTTGGGTTCCCCAACAGCATACCACAAGCAAACCCTCATGCAGAACATGTGGGAAAATTGAGAAAACATTGCACCACTGAACTGTGATGTCTAAGTAATAAAACTAAGATATGTGAAGCAAAAGAGCTCCCTAGGTGAATAACAGATATTGCTTAGCTTTGTAGAGATAAGACATATGCAAAGGATACTTTTCATACACAGTGAGTGCTATCACTTATAGGAAGAACAATCGTGCTAAAGATGCCTTATGTATTACCTCAGGTTTATAAGACAACTATACTGCACTATACCACGATTATAGAGAGTAGCTGAGTGCTAAAACAAAGGTAATAAAGAAAGAAAAAGAGTTGCTTGGCTTATGTGGTTTTTAAAAAAAAAAAAAAAAACATACTACACTATATATGACATACTACACTATATATTTCCCCTTTTTTTTTCTTCCTCTCCCTGCTTTTATATATATATATATTATTAATGGAGGACTCACCACCATGCTAGTGCTGGGTGGTAGCATGGTGGTGAGTCCTCCATCAAAATCAGCCGACTCCCATAAGTGGCAGAATTGCTTCACACCTAGATAAGACTTGTAACCGGTATCGGGAGCCCCTCCAGCCCCAGGCCTGGGTGAGGGCCGGCATCAAAAGTCCAATTCTATTCCCTTCTGAGGGTGGTCGGAGGATTGGGATAAAGGTTGCCGCAGTATGCGGTTAATCTTCTGTTATTGTGGACAATATGAGGCATTCAAAGACCCTCGTGGCTTTCAGCCAAGGAAGGCAAGCAATAGGGTGCACAGGCTTCCTCACAATCCTCTTGCCATGCTCTTCTCTCCAGTCTCCCCTCACTTGTTGAGCCTAAGTGGCTATATTACATAACCCAAAAGCGCTGGAAGTTCAGGTCGTTCGGCCTCAGGGATTCCGCAGCAAAGTCACGTGGAGCCCTCGGAATGGTACTCGTGTCTTGTGAGTGTGTCCACCATATTGGATCTTGGTTCACGGCAACTCTTGCAATGTGGTAAGGGTTAAAGGAACAGCTTAATCAGTTCTGAGGGGACCGGGTTATCCCCAAGTGTGTAGGGGGTCCGTGTCTTAAACCAAAGCACGAGGAGATCGGCTGTCCTCCCCTCAGCTCAGTACCTAAGTCACATTGGTTAGCTTGCCCGAGACCCCCTGGCCTCGGATGTTTGTACAGATGGACGTGGTAACCACTTAATCGGTTTAATACCCACAATTCTGTGATAGGTTCAGGTGCTCAAGCATTCCACATCTGGCCAGCTTGCAGGTCAGGCTTTGCCCCCCTTGTTCAAAAGAGGTAAACTCAATCAAGCGACAACATGCAGTGATCACTCTTTACATTTACTTCACTCTGAAGAGGGGTATCTTTAGGCACTCTGTACATTGAATCTTGTAGGGAATTGGCTATACAGAAGACCTTTTGTCTTCAAAGAACAGGAAGATGAATGTGGGCATGTAATCCCCATACCTAGATGTCTAATGTTTAAGAAAATGCATTTTCGCCTGTGTAGCCAAAAACTCTTGCACCGGCCCTGGATGCAAGGGTGTCAGGAGATTTACTGAAAAGTATGCATTACAAGTGCACACCCAGAGGCACTAATACATATCAAGTTTTGTTTACGTAATCATGAGCTATTCTGACCAATTTCCTTTTTGAAGGTGTTTTAACAGACCAGAAGGATGGTATCTGGTGCTTTTGCTTTTCTCTAGATGGACTTTGTATTGTGTTTTGTGTTTCAACTGTGAAATGACTTGCTGAATGGATAATAAAAAAAAACACTGCACCTGGCTGGAACGCAAATTAGATTTGCTGAAAAGATTGTGTTTGTTAATGGAGCTTTTCATCCATTCAGCTGAAACACACTTACAATCTTTTATATATATTTTTTGTTCTTGTCCCCCGCTCCCCAGTACATCTGTCTTCATTTTCATACTTTGTTTGTATATTCTTTTTAGTATTTTTTTCAGTAAGCATGTTGCCAATGACTATATCACTTGTAGAATACAAGTTTGCTCTTGATCTAATGCAAACGTGACACCAATGAAAATATAGTCTGAACATTTTGTCACATTGCTTATTAGAAAAAGGCAGTGCTATTGAAAGAGAAACATTTTATATGCTACATCAAAAAAAAAAAAAAAAAAACACATCGATTTGGAAGGAAATGCTTTTATGTTCAGAACCCTTTGATTTTTACTAGTACTGAAAAACATCTGAACAACATCTCTAAATCTTACATTTACTGAATCACGGCTTCTTAGATCTCTGTTTATAGAAACAAAAAACATGGTGTCATGTTTGACATCGAGTTGATGTACACAAATGTTTTGTTTTGTTTTTTAGCATAATTTCTTGCACTGGTTAGACAGACACTGTCAATGTCCAAGAACAGGATATTTATATGCATGTGGCCAGTGAGTAAGAATGGCATATATAAATATTGTTTATTTCAATAGGCAAATCATTTTTTCAAAACCAATTCCAACTTAACTACTTAACTAGCCATATCGAGTGGAAGTGCCACTTGCATGTTACTGATATCAATTGCTCTTGTGTAACTGAAGAGGTGACTGGACTAGAAGCTCACAGGGGACCCAGTGTAAGTGTTAAAAATGGTTTCACTCTTAACTGGGCGATTGCACAAGGAGATTCCTGGAACCATAATCACTACAACTTACTGTAGACTTACACAAACTCTTTTAAATGTTATTTGGGAAAGACGTTTTTGATTTAGGTCTTTAATATTTTTTTTCCTTCTTTTCACCTTCTAGATTATTGGAAATTTAAACGTACTTCTGGAGAGAGCTCTTGACGTTAGTCAATCTAAGTGTATATTTTTTCAGCGTGTGGAGCCTGCCCCCACACACTTTACCTGCCAAACACGGCCTTTACCTGTGTTTTCCGGTGTTTCCCGTGCGATCCTTCCTGCGGGAGCGCCTCGTGGGCCACTCCAGAATTTACTCAGCGTTCAGTGGCTCCAATGGTGAAAATGACAAGGTCCAAAACTTTTCAAGCATACTTACCATCGTGCCACAGAACATACAGCTGTATCCACTGCAGAGCACATCTTGCAAATCACGATGAGCTCATCTCAAAGGTAAGATGCATTTTACAGTCCTATTATTAATGTCTTGTGCTTTCTGTATTTGTCACCTGTATATGAGTACAAACCTACACATGCAATAAATGGAAATGCAGAGTACTGATCTTTTGGGGTTTCAATCTATTCCACAAATGTTGTAGTTGTTCTGATATGCAGGAAACGAAATTGTTGGATTTTGTATTCTGCTATTTGGGAACAATTGTTGTCATTGTTCCTGCAGTATTTTGCACTTACCAGCTTATGCAGGAGGAATACTTGTCTTTAAAAAAAAAAAAAAAAGCAAGGGAAACCAGAGACTCAAGGCAGGGATCAAAACACAAATATAATGTTTAAAAGGAGCTTGAACTTGATAAGGAGGACCGTAGCAGGCTACTGAGCATGAAATGGATGGGAAATTGAAGAGCAGGCTTAAACAGGGGACTTGTTAATTGCTGTTAATGTATGCGGGTGATAAAATCAAGCTGTTGCAATAATTTCTTTTCAGATTAAAAGTATTTAACATATTCACACGTTTTTAAATAGTTAATGTGAATAGATATTACAATTTCATTATTGAGTCTTTTTTTTTTTTTTTTTCTCTCACAAATCTTTTCCATTTATTGAATCACTGCAAAATAGTCCCATACTTTGGAAGAAGATAAGAGCATTATAAAAATTCTGCAACATTTCCTGGAGCAAATACTTCTAGAGGGACATGCTTCTGTCTGCATTCCCAGCTGTCCTAGCACTACTGCTTTCCCTGGGGTCAGTCTAATCTGCAGCACTATGAGCTCACTCTGAAATTTGATTGGACGCCTTCTACAGCATAGAACTCTCCAACCATTTTAAGGAACAGATTTCTCTAGGGCCCGAAGCTATATCTTTCCCCTTAAGCTTGGAGCCTACTCTTAAGCAGTTAACACCTTGCATTATTAACATTTAATAGATTTGTAGATTCTGCAGCACAAATTCCCAATTTAATTATTTGAAGACTTCACAACTCTGCCAAGGTGGCTTTGGCTACATATCCGGAGCTTCCTGGCAGAGTCTACGCCCCCACCCTCAAGCCTCTGTATAGCCTTGATCAAAACTGAACAAAATTATCATAACTTTAAACATTCCATACTTGTACAATCCCCTTGCCCAACCCAAAAATAATAATAAAATGACCTATATTTTTTTTTATTTGTAAAACACATTTGAAAATACTTTAGTTTGGAAATCCTTAATATTTGTATAGTTTTTAGTTTATAATCACTGGTCAAGAATCCAGTATTTATTTGCAAAGACTTGTCAAAAAGGGCAGGCAATACCTTTCTGTCGGTGGGTATGCTTGACATATTGATGACCTGTCTGTTATGTGCCTGCATTAATGTCAAATAATCAATTGTGTAATGTATTTAATGTTGTTTTTTTAGCAAGTCAATTGAAAACTATAATTCTACTTTTTCATTTATAGGCATAGCACATGTACTTTTGTTCAGCACTTTTATAGAGTTTAAATGGACACTTTGGGCACCCAGACCACTTCAAAGAAAAAACCTAAATGTTCAAATCTCACTAGAAAATAAATGTCTATTAAAGTGCTTGTTTTGGGTGTAGTATCCTTAATGTCTTTAGTGGTCCAACCGTTGAGCTTGTATGGAAAACAGAAAGCAAGGAAAATAAATGGTACAGTATGTCCAAGTTCATATGAATAAGATAAACAAATATGTGAAGTCAACTCACATTTAAAAGAGCTATAGCTCTGGTGTGAAGAGCTTACAGCGGTATAATCCCCACTGTAAAGGATATGTGGTGGGAGTCCTCCAGGGGGATGGTGTCAAACACTCAGGAGAAGTATATATAAAAACATCTAATAGTGCTCTCAGTAAGTTAAGATATGCAATAAACATAGAATAAAAAGGTACTCACAAGTAAAGTGCAGGCCAACTGCACTTTGATATCAGCGTTGGTGGTATGATCCCCACCTCAGGAAATACTTGGAATTCTACGAAGATAAAAGGTAGCCAGGTAAAAAAAAATTCCAATTGAAAATGTGTATTAAAAAGATAATTGACACAGAGTTGTAACCAAAAAATCCTTTATTAAATAAAATACACAATTAAAATAACCATAACACGTTTCGTCTTATCAGACTTTTTCAAATGGTATTCTGCTTGCCGCTTTATGTCTTCCTTCCTTCCTTCTTAAATCTTATTTTCTCTAACTCCAAAAAAGACTCCCAAAAATGTGACCAGTCTGAGCAGATCCTTAGATGTGCCGACTTGGATTAGTTTTTTCTGATATTGTGTTGTAGTGATTTTTTATTTATTTATTTATTATTTTTTTATAATATAATTATTTTTATTTAGTTCTGCAGGCTTATCTACACCTTTCACTCTTCTGCTATTTATGACACCTGAAACCCCTCTCATCCCACTCTGCTTCACTAACAACATACTGATAATGATCAGTATTACTTCAGACCTGAGGAAGAGAGGATCCCTCTCAAAAGCTTGTCTTTTAAGTATTATGTTGGTCCAATAAAAAAGTTTAATTGCTTACTGAAATACTCTATCTTGGCATGTTATATAATTTAAAAAAAAAAAATTTAATACAGATTTTTTTTTTTTCCCTTCCCTTTCTATCAATGCTACATGATCCATCAAGAAATTTTCTTCTTTTGGCTAATACAGATGCGTGTGTGTAAACAGGGGTCTGCACTCACCTGAACATGCATAAAAGATCCATCCACTAAACAGCAACTTCAAAGTTCAGAGATTGTTTTAGTTTTTTGTGTTTTAAAACCCACCTAATCTAGGCAGAAATAATGAGGGGTTTAGTTACAGTGTATGATCATACATTGCATAAGCCTGCTGTGGCGGTGCTCCCTTTACGCTGGCTGGGTACCTCCGCCAGGGACCGCTTCCTAGCTGGGGCCGGATAGGGGACTATCTCTATCCACTCACAGGGACTGAACGACACATAGCCCTGAGAGCTCTTAGTCCTTACAAGGACTTTCCTCTCTGCCTCCTCCACGAGCTGGAGCAAGCTGGTTCAGTGATTAGCCTGGGTCTCCCCACAGCAGGTCTCCATTCTATTCAGCACAAGTCTCTCAGGCTGGAGGGGGATGGTTTACATAGCCATCTCCCACTTTGGGAGATGACTAACAGTATAACAATTACATACAGTAAGACACATCACATACATTGGGTAAAACTTAGGGGGCTCTGCGCCCCAGGAAGGAAATTGGGTACACACATAAATGGGGCACACACATTCACCCCCGGTGGATATCTCGACTTAGGTAGCACCGGATAGAGAGAGTGCTCTTTGGGCTGCCACTAGCCTGGACTCGTAGCTCCCAGGTAGGGGGCCTTGCTGACAGTCCGGCCACAGGCATAAGGCTCCTGGATCTCCCCCGGACAGTAATTGGACTCCTTTAGGAGTAGATGAGGTTATATCCAGCACAGGACCTGAGAAAAATTCAGGCAAGCAAGTGGGGACATGTGGACATGGTACTCAGTTACGGCGTTCCGTCACACCTGCCATAACTTCAGTGTACCCCATTTTTGGCAGGTACTACTCTAACAACCTAAAATATTTCCATCTGGGGCTCTCTGAAATACAAGACTAAATAGGGCCCTACACGGGTGCAAAACCAAGGTTCACCACCCTCCGCCTCCACCCCCCCTGTCACAGGTGCTTAATTTCAGGGCCCTATTTAGCCTTGTACTGCTGAGAGCCCCAGATGGAATTTTTTTCACCCAAGTAAGTGGGTTATTCTCATAAGAGCAGACATTAGGTTATTCGAGTAGGACCTGACAAAAAATGGGGTACATTGACGTTGTGGCAGGCTTATGCAATGTATGATCTTATACTGTAACTTAACCCCCATTATTTTTTCCTAAATTAGGTGTTTAAAAAAACAACAAAAACAGCAGAGTGATCCTGGAACATTTTAGGGTGATAATTTCACCCCAGACCTGAAAGGAGGTAATTGCAATTCTCTACACTCCAGTAAGCAATTCAATAGTTCGGTGAGGGAACTGGGAAAAACATCTCCCTGAGAAATAATCGTTTTGCTTGATCAAACTCTGTGTCAGCTATACATATTTAGAATGTAAATGTGCTTAACACGCAAGCACAGGGATAGCCTAACACGCACGCACAGGGATAGCCCATAGGCGATGCCAGTAATAGAACACACCCTGAGGGAGGGAATTTCACGGGTGCTAATACAGAGGCTTTGTGGAGATATAGACTGCTTGGTTTTGTTTTCTGCAAGGAATGAACAATTCAGATACTTATTGCTTTTACAACTATCATTTTTGTTTTTCTCGTGTTCCTTTTTTTATTTTTTTTTATTCTTAAGAGTATGATAGTCCAAGAAACAGAAAATAAAGTTCAAAGTAATTGATTTCCACCTGCACTTTATAGTCACTTTATAAATTTGTCCACCTTCTAAATTACAGCAGTGATTCATTCCTTACTTTGAGTCTTGTGGTTAACTTTTTATTAAAGTGTAAAGCTTCCATGCAGACGGTATATCCACTAAATTGGGAACTGGAGAAAACGGACAAGAGAATTGCAGATTTTTTTTTTACCAAAACAGCTAAGCTGGATAATACGTTTGCATTAAATGTGTGAGATAGAATACAGCTTTTAAGATGAGAAGACTGCTGTCATTACCAGTCAGATGATTCTATGAGGTGTAAGTTGTTTTTTTTTTTCTCCCATCAACGATTTATTTTTATTTTTTTATTATGGTCTGATTCTCACTAATTCCAGTTTACTTATAAAAAAACACACCCTGCTATCTATCCAACTATCACCTTTCTCTTATTGTAAAACTTGGACTACAGGAAGATATCACAATTTGTATGTCTCCATTGATACTTATTTTGTTGTGCACATGTATCTCTTACTATCTTATCAAATATAAAAAAAAAAAATTGGGGTAAAAAACAAAACAAAACGAAACCTCCTTCTATGACGTCTTCTGGCTTGTTGGAGGAAATCGGACATCTTGTGTAATTGTAAATCTATTTTATACTTGTTTGGACAATTTTGTTTTCCTAATTATTTGTCTTTTGATGATTAATTTAGGTTGATTTTTATTTTTTTTATTTTTTTTTTTATCCTTATTTGCGTTTGTGATCATTATTTTCTTTTATTTTTTTTTATTTTTTATTATTATTATTCTGGCACTGCAAGAGCAGACAGTAATCCAATTTTGGTTTCAAGTCTCTGCGTTTACATATTTTTTGTATTTTCAGTGGAAATTCTGTATTAAGCTGGAATATATTTGAAATATATATATTTTTTTTTTTTTTTACCCTGCCTAATCTGGATATGATATTGTAATATTTACATCAAAAGCCTTTCAAATAGATATTTCCCCATTTATTTATTTATTTTATACATGTATAACCTGAAGACTGTCAAGTGTTCAGTCAAGTTTCACAGCCTTTGTCCGCTTGGTCACTGGCTATACTCCCCTCCTTACAGCTTTGTGTCCCTTCCAGAAGGGACACGTCACTGATACTGTGTTGATTCTCACACAATCATCAATACAGGTCCTTCAATTTACTTGCATGCCCAATGAAGGGCAGAGCATGGGATTCCTGCTGCCATCATCCCGGCAGGACTGGCACAATGTTGGAAAGGCAAGTGACACTGGACGTGAGACCTGAAATCGATGTGCAAGGGGCTATAGGGAGGCTGTGGGCAGGACCATGAAAAATTACAGATCCACTTTAAGCAGAAAATATGAAAATTTTTGTCGTTTACTTACCCCAAGACTAATCCAAGGTCTTATTTTACTTGTTATTGTTTCAGTTTCTAAATTCATCATGCATAATTTCAATGAGGTACTAATTTATTCCAAGTTTTATTAGTATATCATAAAAAAAAGTACAATAGAAGATAGTGCAAGTGGGTAGTGATTTATGTCAGTGTATTGTGTTTTTAAAAAGTGTTTCTCTAATAATTTTTTGTTTAAAATAGAAAAATGTCCTATTCGCATTATTCTATTGGCACCCCCCACACACAAAAAAATCAAGGCGCCTTTAAAAAAAAATAAAAAATTAAAGTAGTCAAAGAAAAGCCGATTTATAGCCGTAGGAGCAGTGACCCTGAAACCAAAAAAAACTTACACAATTGGTTTAAATTTCTTCTAAGTTTGGCCATGTGGGCTAGTAATCTCCAGGGCCTGCTGCCCCACCTAAAGAAGTGTTATGTCTGAACATCAAGTCTGGGTTGTGCCTGGTTAGTCTAAAAAGTTGTGAGTGTTTGTTTCTTTTCGTGAAGCTGCGAGATTCAGTGATTGAAGTGTGGTCTGAGAGTGAAACATTTATTTATTAATTGTTAAAATATTATCAAATCTTAGCATTATGGAAGCCGTCATCTAATCAATAACACACAAAATACTAAACACCCACTTTTTATTTCCTGAGCCTTTTCAATTTCACCTTCTCTTACATCATTTTTATATTGGTTCTTTTTTTATGCAGTTGCTATGGACACCCAGAGACTGCATGCGTAAGTATGACACAGATAACCATCAAATTCTAAATTGAAAATGTTCACCTATAAGATTAGATAGGATTTTTATTTATTTAATTTTTTTGTTTTTAGAGAACCCATTTACATGACTTCTTATTTTTAAAGGAACACTATAGTGACAGGAATACAAAGCTGTATTCCTGTCACTATAGCTGTGAAAACCTAGTTAAGGTTCCTGGTTTACTCTCCTTTTTTCCAGTGCCACGCAGGTTCGTCGCAGTTGGCCCCTCCCCTGCTCCGCCTCTATAGCTAAGATTATCAGTCTTGATAATTGCAGCCAATCCAATGCCTTCCCACAGGAAAGAATTGGGAGGCTATTGTGCATGCGCAGCAAAACACTGCGCTGCGCCAATCAGCATCTCCTCAAAGAAATGCACTAACACAATGCATTTCTATGAGGAACGTTCAACTCTTTAAAGCAGGGCATGGAGACACTGAACATCAGTGCTGTGCATTATGCAGCTTTGACCCAGGAAGCATCTCAAGTGGCCATCTGAGTGCTGCCTAGTTACACGTCTAGTGGCAGTCAATGTAAACACTGCATTGTCTCTGAAAAGGCGGGGTTTATATTGTCTCTGAAAAGGCAGTGTTTATATTCAAATTCCTGCAGGAACAGACTATACACACACCAGAACAACTACATTAACTGATTATAGTGTCCCTTTAATAATGCTTATGTAACCAGTATGCAAGCAACATGTAATCACTGTAAATTGTGTTTTTGGCCCCAGATATATTTTGACTTATACTTAGATTCTAAAGTAGCAGCAGCCATCCTACAATTTTTTTACAGATATTTTATAGATATTTTCTTTTCTTAACTGTAAGTTAGACAAAAAAGCAGTATGAAAGATTACTTGTAAACATTGTATTGAAATGAAAGTAACAATTTTACTGTAGCAGTATATTAATTTGCCATTGATAACATTACAAGGTGAATGCACCAAAAGGTGCCTCAGAGCCACAGGGCAGCAAGGTGTTTTAATCACTTAATTCTCTTTGTAATTGGGCTGTTAACATCACATCTAGAACTGTATCGGGGTTATTCACTAAAGACTGTAAAATGACCGAATTCCGACCTCAGTGGTAGTTCTTATATTTACAAACGCAAAAAACGTTGGAATTCAGTCGGTCCAGGTAGATTCTTAGCTGGTGTCTGGATACATGTTTTATGGATTAAAGTCGGTCCATTCTCATATTGTATCCTATAAAAAGTATAGGATTCAGAATATTTAGAGAGCACTGGATTTATTAAAATTTAGAACTGAATAAATTGGGCAGAATGTACATTTGCAAAATATCACTCGCTTTTTTGCAATTGAATAATAATTTGAGGTGCTGCTTGCCAGCTGGCATCGCTCTGACAGCCAAGTCTCCAGATAAATCTCACTTCTCTTGATAACTTGCCTTTTAGCTCTCTTACTGATATTGTTTAACTCAGTCTCTTGTGAGATCACGGTGGACAGGACAATAGGTTAACTTTTTTTTATTAGAATAGCTCTTAACCACTGACCGTGGGGGATCAGGGTGATTTATCTATCCCCCATCCATGACATGAGGAAGATAGTTTTAAACCTCCCTTATTTACCCCTTTAACCCCTTAAGGACCAAACTTCTGGAATAAAAGGGAATCATGACATGTCACACATGTCATGTGTCCTTAAGGGGTTAAGCTTTTTCTTTCTTTTCTTAAAAAAACCCAAACTATTTAATGTGGCGGATGGTTAGCAGGCACTGACCAGCCACCACATACTTAAAGGGACACTATAGTCACCAGAACAACTACAGCTTATTGAATTTTGTTCTGATGAGTAGAATCATTACCTTCAGGCTTTTTGCTGTAAACACTGTCTTTTCAGAGAAAATGCAGTGTTTACATTACAGCCTAGTGATAACTTCACTGGCCATTCCTCAGATGGCTGTTAGAGATCCTTCCTGGGTCATGGCTGCCTAAAATGCATCCAAATATTCAGTATCTCCTCCCACTTCTGATGATCTCGGCAGACTGCTTTTTTTTCAGAGGCAAACAGCACGCAAAGTTACAGCTTCAAGCTTGAATACAGTAAGATTTTTACTATATTTATGGAGGCATGAGGGGCTCAGGGGGGCTAGATGGTGGTGTTAACACTACAGGGTCAGGAATACATGTTTGAGTTCCTGACCCTATAATGATCCTGTAATTCTCATATTGCTGAGGTTTACTAAACTAGAAAGGGTTCAGATTTTTTTTTTTTAATCCTGGCCTGGATTTTAAGCGTTCAGTCCAAATTTCAGTCACTCTGAAGTGTTTTGGTCCTGCTCCAATCCAGACCAAATTCAGACCTGAATTGCAAATTCTGGACATAATTGAATAGTGCAAACAGTTTTTTGGATTTCACAATTCCAATGGCCTTGTATGCAGCAGGATGGTTTTGTCAGAATTCAGTAAGTAAACCTGTAATGTGTTATTTATTTTTAAGAAAATTGTGTCTTCCTTTCTTTAAAGAACCGCTATAGTGCCAGGAAAACAAACTCGTTTTGCTGGCACTATAGTGTTAACATGTCCCACCCTCAGGGTCCCCCTCCCGCCAGGCTGAAATGGGAGGAAGGGGTTAAAATCTTACCTTTCTCCAGCGCTGGGGACTCTCCTCCTCCTTCCAACATCATCGGCTGAATGCGCATGCGCGGCAAGAGCCACGCATTCAGTCAGTCCATAGGAAAGCATTACTCAATGCTTTACTATGGACGCTGGCGTCTTCTCACTGTGAAAATCAGTGAGAAGCGCGGAAGCGCCTCTAGCGGCTGTCAGTGAGACAGCCACTAGAGGCTGAATTAACCCACATGTAAACATAGCAGTTTTTCTGAAACTGCTATGTTTACAGCAGGCAGGGTTAACCCTAGATGGACCTGGCACCCAGACCACTTCATTAAGCTGAAGTGGTCTGGGTGCCTATAGTGGTCCTTTAAGAGTGTACAGATCACCCACCCATGTGAAAATAGCTGTTTTACCCATAATGTGCAGGTTCCCCCCAATATTTTAGTTTCATTATTTTCTGTTTTAATCAGGCTTACGGAGTTTTACAAGAGTAATTCAGAAACAAAAGCAAAGGGAAAGAAAAAGTGTCTGCAGTATTGACAAAGTTATCCACAACAATAGACACTGGGAAAACAAAGGAATACTTTCAAACTTCACTATAAAGAGATCTCCCCAACTCTAAAAGCAAAAATCCTTATTGTAGCATTTATTGGGAAGGAATGGCCTTGAATGGTCTGCTACATAGCCAGGGCACAGTTTGCTGTACAAAGTGAAACTCAGAAGAGGCAATCTCCTTGTAGTTATCATGTGAGCATAATCATGTGAGAACTACATGGATTATACTGAAATTAGCCTTAAAGTATGTCATGGTAGAGATTGTAAACAGATGAAACAAATGAATTATAGGTAGACCTATCAGAATTAACAAACATTAGGTGCTACTGGATATGAGAGGTTTAGCTACAGCAAATGTCATACAAAACACAAGTACATTCACTATCCACTATTGCTGCCTGGTCTGAAACTGTTTCGAGTGAACAGCAGCTGATTAAAATGGAAACCTTTATCAAATAAGATATGGATAATTTGCCGTTCATTCACTGGCTTCACACATGGTTATTCAGGAAATTGCAGATAAAAGGTTATTTGAATTTACACCTGTTGGATAAAACTCTAAAATTCATCTGACTTTTGTTAGGCTTCTTACTCCTTGTCTTAAATTGTTTTCTATGAGATGCTAATTTTCTTTAGATTTGTCTAAACAAATAAATATAATAATAATAATAAATAATTAGCAAAAGACTTCATAATCCAGTTCACAGCCAGGGCAAACATTGCAGATGAAGAGGCAAATAGAGATTTATCAAAGTATTGACAACTCTTTTATGTCTAGCTTGCAGCACATTTTTAGCATAATTTTATTAAATCTGTAAGTTTTTTTTTTTTTTTTTTTTGTGCTCTGTCATAAAAAAAAGAATATATTTATTTTTCCCTTTTTGTTTTTAAAATTCTTTATTTTTAAAGTGCATTGCCAATATCACATATATGCATATATATTACAAGATGTAACATCATAGAAGATTAAGATTACATGTTGACATTTCTGCACTGTTTTAAGGTAAAAAATTAAACAAAAAAAGCATACAGTGTATATGGTGAGAACTTCATGGATTATACTGAAATTAGGCGTAAAGTATGTCATGGTAGAGATTGTAAACAGATGAAACAAATTAATTAGAGGTAGACCTATCAGAATTAACAAACATTAGGTGCTACTGGATATGAGAAGTTTAGCTACAGCAAATGTCATACAAAACACAAAGTAAGCTATCTGAAAATATAAATTTACTCCTTCAGAGAGAGGGATATGGCCCCCATAGAGCTGTAGTCCATGAAAACCAAGCATGTCAAACTCAGACTAGCAAGGGCCAAATAAACAAGGTTTAAGTTTATGTGGGCCACAAAAAACAAACAAACTTAAATTTTCATAGAAACGTAGGTTTGTTTTGAAAAGTACAGTATAAACAAAAAACCACAGCACCCCCCCATATACTAAATCCCAGCACCCTCCTCTAGCCAAAGCGGATCCTCCCACTACTTCTTGACACCCTGTGAAAGTGGAGCACATCAATGTCACGTTGGAATGTGACGTGGCTTTGTGTGCCTCTGTGCACCTCTAGGTCCTCAACTGTTCAGCCGTGGCCATTGCAACCCATCCACACACACTCACTGACACAGACAGACAAACATACTTACTGACAGACACACACACACACTCTCGCTGACACACAGACACACACACACACTGACCGACACACACTTACACATCCTTGCACACACTCACATTATTGTAATTATTCCTGGGGTCCAGTGGGGATGTTCTGTCTGGAGATCTCCTTCCAGCTCCTCACTGCTCCCTCACGCGCAGTTTAATTATGCCGGGTGCCGGAATATGATGTCATATCCTGGCGCCCGGCATCACTACAGCGCCTCGCTGCATCCACCTTACTTACCCTTCCTTCCTGGCTGGGTAAATTATAGCAGAGTAGGCACCTGCAATGTGGGGAAAGCAGATGCCTACTTTGCTTGGATTTGCGTGGTTGTTCAAGTTCTCCCAAAACTGCGCACACAGGTGATCGAATGTTTTGAGGAAATGGTCCGCAAGGGAAGGTGGTTGTGTGAAAGCTTGTGAAACCATAGGCCCAGGTGCAGCATCCATCTTAGTTGGTAGCTCCCATCCCTTGGAGTCGATCATGACTTCAGTGCCTCGCTGAGGAGGCCACCAGTGCTGACTGGTACTAAGGGGGAAAGTACATGGCTCAGGCGTTTTTAAAACCAGTACAGAGGATCGGCCTCCATCCCTGCCTCCAGAATAGACGTAGGCCGCAGACATATGTATCATGGTTAATGCCCTCAAATTCCAGGCAGAAGCAAGTCAAACAATCAGCCAAATGTTCCCTCTGTGGATAAGTAAGAATAGGCTTTTTCAAGGGAGCTCTAGCCACATGCGACATGCTGGGCCGTTGTCAGGCTGTCCCACCCCCCACATTCTATCATTTTTTTTAGTATATACCTTGTTTTTCCTCCTTGACTCCATAGATTTACGCATTTTACCTCACTTTTTCTATTACAATTTCTACATAAACTGGCCGACTTTACAGAATAACATAATTTATTTTGGATACTTTAAATAAATACATTGATGATGACTTTTAACCGTCACTTCAGAACACTTTAACACATTTGTGACGGATCGCCTGGCACCCCACTGGGTACCTCCATCAATTTCTGCTTCCTAGTACTTATGAGTACCATCAGCACTGCACTGGAACACCATAACCACCATAAACCCCATGAACCGTTGCAGCTTGGTTGGGGTCTTGCCGTCCTCCACCCACCTTGGACCCAAGACCAGGATCCATCTTCCAGTGGGTAGGCCTCTCCTAGTCCAGAGAGCGTAGCAGGAACCGCTCTTACAAGAGCTTAGTGATCATTATAGCAATCCCCAGAGTGTATGTAGTTCTCCAATCCCCCAAACATGAGCCTAAACTTCATGAAGGGTAGAACAAGTCTGTTTAATGGAAGCCAAAGCTGGCTTTTTATGCAAGTTTCCCAACAAAGGTGATGCCCAGGTGGACCTTGTTAGGCACAGGGACACAAAGTGTACAAGCCAATAAAACCAATGTGACAATGAATGACACTCCCACACAATCCCTCCCCTCTGCCTGTGATATAATTTAGGCAGATACTACATTAACGTAATTATCCCCAGGCATAAAAAACACACATTTATACAAAGTCCAATACGTACCCCAAAATACAACATATCCCCATAAATGTTACATCCCCTGATAGCCCTGATCTGGGTGAACAACAAAAATCCAGATCAGATAAGGGGTTCAGAAATTTTATTGAAGTCATATTTTTGCCTAGGCGCAGATATGGTACCATGCCCAAAACAGTTCCATAGAATCGCGGCTAAGTGCCGCCGGAGGACCGACCAGGAACCACAAGGGTGTCATGCCAAAAATATTTCCAGGGCATTCGCGGCTAAGTCCCCCTGAAGTCTATTCGCGGTTTTGGTCCATGCGAACAAGATGGCCCCACCACCACGTGTTCAAATGGTGGCACTTCGACTATTCGGGAGTTCGAAGAACCATTGTTTAAAGTTCCAATAGCCATAATTGAGGTCTCTCAGCCAAAACATATTAAAGGGGCCATAGTCAAATGCTAAAAGGCTGGCAAGTAGTCCCCTCCAAGAACCAGTGGCGAAGTTGCTTTTGTCACAACATTAAAGACACAGCTTCAGTTTGTCCTTAAAGAATGGTAAACTCAACACTATCTTTAAACATATTGATCTTTTCATCACGTTTTGAGAGAAAATAGATTGTGGTAAATGAAGTATATGTAATAAAGTGAGAGAAATGCATTACTACCTTTATGGCCTTCTGCCATATACATATATCCTGGATCATACAGTGTTTTGAATGAGACTATATAGAGGTTTTCAAACACTGTCTGACCCAGGTTGTATGTAAATGGTTGAATGACCCTGTCATATACTAAAGGATGTTTTTTTTTTTTGTTTTTGTTTTTTTCATATACTTATATACAAAATAGTGTATAAAAAAATACACTATTTGTTAAATAAAGGGATAATTTGAAGAAAAAAAATAGGAAGTGTCAGTTCCCTTTTTAAAGTGGCTATAGAATCTTTATGAAATTCTCATGTTGACTGTGTTTTAATTTCACTGAAATTCCAACCCAGTCAAAAAATATACTTAAAGCAGGGACTCTTTTGTCTTAGTATTTTTCCACTGCATGACAGATGACGGAACTACCTTTTTGTAAACCTTGATATTTCCCCCTGCCGTCACCAGTGGCTGTGGGGGACACCTCTTTCTATGGAGTATACAGCGGTTCCATAGATCTGTGTTGTACTCCCACAACACTGCGGTATCGTCCATAGATCTCAATGTTGTACTCTCACATATGAGCAAGAATACAGCGCTGACTTTGGTTCCCGACAGCTGAAGCACCAGGAGCTGAAGAGGAGCTGACGGATGAGGATCACAGTGCATGCGAGTGACTGGTTCAGGTAAGTAAAACCTAATGTCACTACCCAGATGACTGACCTGCTTTAAATCTATTGGCAGTAGTAACCTTTTTAGAACCCTGAAACTAGAGACGTTCTTCTTATGTGTCCACACAATGATAACTTAGTTTACCTTTGGCACTGCAACTCTTAACGCACAAAAGCGGGAATCCTGTTTGATTTGCAAAAAAGTATTAGGAGGAGTAGTATTGCACGGTATTGCTAAACTGATATGTGGGGGAAGGTTGCTAACCATGCTGACAATATATTAGAGCTGAAAAGAGCTCTGGAAAAATCAGGAACTGCCTCTGATTTTGCTTGTGTAATATGTGTAATGAGAAGAAGAGAGAAAAACAAACAAGACAGTCCAAGTGGTGTTTGGTCAGTACTATTAACTGGGAACAGTTGTGTTAATGTAATTGTATTGTTTTGTTTTAACCATGTGAAAGTTTTACATTGAAATCACTTAATGACATTTAGCATAAACCAAAACCTTTTTTGACCTACTTATTTTTTATTTTTTTTTTAAAGTGCTGAGAATAGGTATGTTTTAAAAAAGCCTCACCCTGTTCATTTAACATTGAGGATCACCAGTAAATCCAGTTTGATTTCTTAATTTCTAACCCATTGCACACCACATTGTGAGGTCTAAAAAGCTCAGGTTGAGAAGCCCATGTACTATCACCCTCATTAACATACAACTAAATGTTTAGAACAGTCATCTTACAGAGTAGGCTACAGCCTGTGGGTACAAACGGCGTAATCCCAAATAAGATTGATTTGGTCAATTCGCTATCATAATTACATTTGGACAACTGCAATAAACCATAAAGGTTTGGAACATATCACATTACATGGCCAACATTGCACAAGTGTGATTTTTGCATTTTTTTTTTTTTGGGGGGGGGGGGGTGTTGCACTGTTTTGGTTTTTGTGACAGTGGCTTTATGCAACAGTCACGTACAGCAGTGGTTCTAATTTTATTTGGACACACTGTGCAAGCAATTTCCATTGCTAACTTCTTTCTTTTTAACCTTGAGCAGCTGCTTATACATATCAGGGGAATTCCAATCTCAAAGGAACACTTCAAGCACTGTAACCACTACAGTGCAATGTAGTGGTTATGGTGCCAGGAATACACTGGCACCCTCCTGGTAATAACAAAAAAAACGTTTTAGAACACTTTTACTTCTTCCTACCTCAGGTCCACTGGACTCTGCTCCCAGCTTCCACTAAAGCCTTCCTGAAAGCCAGAAAGGGCTCAACAAATTTCAACAGTAAATATTACACTTATCTAAGTCATAGAGTAAGCCTTCAAAATTCAGTTTCAGTTCTAAAATCCACACCACCGACTGATAGAAGTAATGCAGAGACCACTTGTGCTTATCCATTATGGTGGCATTACTCTAAAGCAGGGGTTCCCAACTAGTGGTACACATACCCCCCAGGAGTACAATGTAGTGCTGCCGGATGCACGTGAAAGAAATTTGGTAATGGCGGCTTTGTACCATGAGGGGCATGAGTGTGCGCTGCATCGCTTCCTGCCAGCTCACACAGACCGAGTCATGTGGGAGATGGGAGCCATGATGGGGGGGGGGGCCGTATTGGGAGAGGAGCAAGACCCCAACTGCCTATGTATCTGCATGTGTGTCAGTAGGTGTATATGTGTTTGTACATATGTATGTGTATCTGCATGTGTGGCAGTATATGTGTCTGTATGACAGTGTGTGTACCTGTATATCTTTGTATCTGTGAGTATGTCATTCTTTGTATTTGTGTATCTGCATGTGTGGCAATGTTTGTAACTGTGTGCCTGGACAGCAATATATGTGTATCTGCCTGTGTGTCAGTATGTGTTTGTATCCATCTATGTATCTGCACGTGTCAATGTATATCTGTGTGTCTGTGCATCTGCATGTGTATCAGTGTTTTGTTTATATCTGTGTCTTTGTGTGATTTTGCTTGTCTGGATGTATAAAAAAATAAATAAAAAAAATTAAAAAATAGGAGAGATCCGCACTCTCATCACCTGTAGACCTCGGTGCACTGTACCTAGAGCTTGCAAACACCTAATCCATATAGTAACAGCAAAGTAGTCCAGGCAGTCAGCTGAGCTTGATAAAGATCCCTGAAGGAATCGAAACGTTGCTGTATCTGTCATGTTTTTCCGATAAATCTAGTGGGTCGCACTGCTCCTTTGATGTCATCAGATGGAGGGGATTTAATGCATATACGTGGCAACAGCCACGTTCACATTAGGCCATCCCCAAAAGAAAGCATTTATCAAATGCTTACCTAAGGGATTATGCTTGATGCTGGATGTCCTCATACAAAAATATTTTTTTTTAAATGTGTATGTATGGTTTTTTTTTTCCCCCCCCACTTTTTTTGCTGTTCTGTTGTGATTCTTCTACATTAAGAATTTACAGATAAATAAAAGATGAGGTATATGTAATAAATATTAGCAAAGGTGGTTATAAGCTATATGTCTTTCTTACATAAAAATGAAAATTAACATTAATCAAATTTAAGCAAATAAATGTAACGCAAAGCTAATGAACATGCAGGAGACAAAATCCTGATTTGTGTTTTCAGTAGTGACCTCATGGATATCCAGACATGTAGCTGCTCAGACAGATTAACAATGGAAAAGTAGAAGCTCTTCCTTTCAATGCCCTTGCTTTTTACCTAAATGGTCTAATCTGCTTATGCTGCTTGGCAGCACGTTCCATCTTATTAATTATGAATGATGACAAGTATGTCAGCAGTTGTATTTTAAGGGTTTTATTGAACACCTGAAAATACATCTCTATTCTTATCTCTTGATACCTGCTAACTCATAAGCCTTTTTAAAAAACATAGTCCTGTTATCTGTTTCCATGATCCCTCACCTCCCATCCTCCAGTTTGCACTGCCAGGCTAATGTGCTGAAGGGATTTCTAATTTATACATTTAAAAAAAAAAATAATAATAATAAGTTTTATTTTTTTTTTATGGCTTTTATCACATGTACTTATGGAGCTCGAATTGTATACTTGTATAAATCAATTACTAGGTGCTAAGCATGAATGCAACTGCTTGATACCTTTTCAATGGCCTGTGAAGGAAAACAGTGCTGAATGATTTAGAATAATATGGTGTGTATGTGTATATATGAGGTACATTGGCATTGTGCAGGTTTATACAATTTATGATCATAAAAACAAAACCCAGCAATTCTATGAGTTTTAAAATTGACATTTAGTGAATAAGTGAGTGTGCTAGACCCTGTATGATTTATACCTATTTTTACTAATTGGTGCATTCAGTTTTTTCAGCCTTGCCCATTTCTAATCTGTGCGCATAGCCATTAAATAAATCAAATCCAGCCATTACATATCCATAGTTAAACACTGATGGTACAATGGCAGTAGCAAAGAGCTTAAAGGGACACTGTTGGCATAACATAGATCATAACAGAGATCATGGTCCTGCAGTTTCACTACTCCATTATCTGCCATAGTTTATACAGCCCCACTCTACTCACACATCACTACTTGCTCAGTCTTGCTAAACACTTCCTGTAAAGAGAGATCTAATGTTTCAACTTCCTTTATTGCACAGTCTGCTTAATTTAGAATTTATCTCCTGCTATATCAATAGGTGTCTTGACCCTGCAGGAGCCTCCTGCATGTGATTAAAGTTCAATTTACAGAAAGAAAGACTTCTAAAGCAAGTTAACATCTGAAAATAAACCATTTTCATGTGAGTCACAGACATAGGGGGTGTGGCTAGGACTGCATAAACAGAAACAAAAGGGATTTGACACCTAAATGGCAGAGAATTGAGCAGTGAAACTGCAGGAGCATGATCTATAAACATAAACTTCTTCATTAAGCCAAAGTTGTTTTGCTGCCTATAGTATCCCTTTAATGACTTGAAACATGGCATAGTCATAGAATACCACTTTTTGCCTTCTACATATCCTTCAGTCAGTTGTGCTATTTGTGGAGTGGACGTGTGTAGGAGCAAAATGCCATGCCACAAAATGTTACCACCGTGGTACAGACGTTTGTGTGTTTCTCTTTTTTCTTTTAAAGAGAAAACAAGTGTAGGCTTGTGCAGACTATACCTATTCTGTAATGTAAGGCTACTAGAAAAGAAGAAAAATGTATAACTAAAATGCTGAGTTCTTCTATCTTAGTGTAAAGACCAAGCTTTAAATTTCTTTACTCTCTTGGCTGAGCATACTTTGCTGACTAAAAAAAGTCAAATTAATCATCATATTACAAGTAATGGTATCCTAAAAATAGCTGCTCCCACAGTCTTTATTTTGGTAAATTTCCAAGTGTAAATCTTAAAGAGAGAGCCAGTATTTACTTAGCAAAACTAGCTCCTGCCAACAAAGAAACTCTTCTGTTAAGATCTGGGGCCAGAAGAAGAAATATTTCGGCAGTGCTAAACTGACACATTAACACACATACAGACACTCTGTCAGTGTGTGTGTGTTTGTGTGTGTGTGCATTGTGCGTGTATGTATGTGCATGTATCAGACATACATTCAGAACCTGTATCTTACTGCCCCCTAAACCCAAGCTCCTCTCCGTTAATGCATAAGTCAACTAACACATTATCTATCCTACCAATAATGATGGACTGTCACTGCAAGCACTAGGGGTGGGTTACCGCTCATCTATGTGCAAACTTGGTTGACTTTGGCAGGGGTAATGGGGGAGTATATAGTCTACATTATCTGAGCTGCTGCAGAGAAGGTAGGCTTTAGGTGCACAAAGAGTCCTGAGGTTTGTTAAACTGCTAAAAGTGGGGGGAGGGCACCTAAAGACTGTCTGCACCATAACATTATTGCCACCATTAGCACCCTTTTAACCCTCTCACTGCCTTCAGTGTTGTACAAGAGTTTGGGTGGGGGGAGGATAATTGTTAAGCGGGTTCCAGGCGCATCCATTCCATATTTCCATATTATGTGTATATATTGAAGAAATGTTTTAATATTTAATATATTGGTTTGTATTATATATATATAATTTTTTTTTTTTCTCTGCAATACCAGCACAGGCCAGTAGAGGTCACTGTGTATGGAGAGAGGCAGGGATAGGAAGTTACAGCATCTCCCTGCCTCTCTCTACTCACTGATCCATGGGGGAGCAGCTACATAGCACAGAGGGTCCAGACAGCAGCTCCCAACCTGCAGAGACAGACTACAGCTCATTTATATGAAGGACATATGGGGATACTGAGACACTAGGGGACACAGACACTAGGGGATGCGTGAGGACACTGAGACACTAGAGGACACTTAGAACTAGGGCACACTGGGAAACATGGAGACAGACATAGGGACACTGTCACACATGGGGACACTGTGAGACATAGGTAGATGCATTGGTACAATGTCTCCCAGTGTCCCCATGTCTCCCAGCCAGTGTCTTAGTGTCCCCATGGCTCCCAGTGTCCCCAAATGTCTGTGTCCCCATGTCTCCCAGCATCCCTATGTCTCCCAGCCAGTGTCCCTAGTGTCTGTGTCCCCATGTCTGAGTGTCTGTCCCTATGTCTGTGTCCCTAGTGTCCCCATGTCTCCCAGTGTCCCCATGCCTGTCCACAAGTGCCCCATGTCTCCCAGTGTCCCCAAGTGTCTGTGTCCCCATACCTCCCAGCCAGTGTCCCTAGTGTCTCAGTGTACCCATGTCTCCCAGTGACCCCATGTCTCCCAGTGCATGTGTCCCCATGTCTTTGTGTCCCTAGTGTCTGTGACCCCATTTTCCCAGTGTCCCCAAATGTCTGTCTCCCAGTGCCCCCATGTCTGTATCCACTAGTTTCCCAGTGTCCCCATGTTTCCCAGTGTCCCCATGTCTCCCAGTGTCCACGGGTCTCTCAGTTTCCCCTAGTATCCTAGTGACACGGGACACACTGAGACATGGGGACACTGGGAGAAATGGGGACACAGACACTGGGAGACTAGGGGACTGGGCGACATGGGGACACTGACACTGTGATACATAGGGACACTGATGCCAGGCTGGCCTTCCAATTCTTTAGACAGATGTTCACCACTTTTGGCAGTTCTGGTCACGTGATTTGCATCAGTGGCCCACCATTTTACCCCTCCCATTGACTTCCTGTTTCACTGGACACTGCTGTTAGGGGGTATGGATTTACTTGAAAGATGAAAGCATAAATTAGATAAAGAGATTAGCATAGAGTATGTGTTTTCTTATAGCTGCATCCTTTGAGTTTTCCTCCAACACCACCTCCATCAGATACATGACGATTGAGAGGTATGACTGTTTTAGTGTTTTTGGTCGATAAGATTCTGTAATTAGGCCCATCATAATTGTCAGCACCAGACCCACTGGGCTCTTAATCTGGCCCTGAATAAATCAAGCCATTTCCTGACATCTATAGATCAATATAAGAAAGAATTGCCAACACTGTCATTATACCACTATTTCTGGCTTGTAAATAAAGATATATATTATATATATGGAGATGGGCTGTCAGCCACATGAAGAGTTTATTCTGCAATAAGATTTAAAACACAAATGCTGATTAAAATAATAAACTTCTTCTCAGGGTTAGTGTCAGAAAACTACAAAGAAATATATTTAAATCAAAAAATGTTTATTTAGATCTCTTCAGACATACCAGTACAAGCACATGCATACCTCTACAAATTCACTGCACAAACATCATTATCATATAGTTTGTGTCATAGAACTCTACAGCAACAAATCGCCTATCCGTGCGACCTCCTTTCACAAACACTGGGGTTAAGGTAAAAATAAGAGGTTGAAGAGCTGTTTTTGAATATTCTGTCCTCTGTAGCTTACTGACGAACACATTTAATTACACTTTTTATTACAGTGGGTCTCTTTAATACGTTAATACACATTGCACATTACAATGGAGCTTTGTAATGTGTCCATACATACTGCACATCACTGTGGAACAACTGTGTAGGGCATTCATAAGCACTGCACATTACCAAGGCGCTCCCACAGCCACATTCCCCTCATCCGTTAAACTCTGCCACTCAGTCATTTGTGCTTCACCTTTATTCCCATGTACACCCGTTTTTAGTGGCACAACCATTTTGCATTTCTTCACCAAGGGGCGAAAAAATAAAAATCCAAAGCCTTTGCCACCATTGAGTCAATATCCTACAACATACTATTCAACATTGTATGACATGGTCAGTACTAAAAAGAATATACAAAAGAAAAACATGATGAGGACCCCAACATGTATATGTATCCTGAGAACATTGCATGTTCCTTGAGCCTATAAGGCTATCTATACGTGCCACGAAATATACCATCTTACAAAGTAATGTCTATTTGGAAGTGATTTCAGTATGCCTCCAGATTTAGATAAATTGTGCAAATTTACACATACATGCTTTTATTTTCTCTATTATCAAAATAAGGTGAACAAATATAAATAGCATAAGGTATTTTAAATTGATCATGGGAGTAATTCTGTCATTCAATGTAATAATGTTATGTTGGTTTTAAGGCTAATGAAAAAGGCACAGCAAAAAAATTACAGCTTGTGGAAATGACAATAAAAGTTAAGCAGGGCTCTTAGTCATTCGATAGTTTCCTATTTTTACCCCAGAATACTATCTCTTTCTCTCTCTCTGCAATTTTTATACTTGTTATAAGATCGGTTTTATTTCCATTAGTGCTTACATTCCTGTTTTGTTTTGGAAACTTTTGACTGAACAGTGTGAGGCTGTCATATGAAAAATTTTAAGATTAGGGACTCTGCATATAGTATCTAAACTTGAACAGCACTCATAGTCAGATTGTTAAACTTGGATATGGAAATTTAGAATCTGGAGATTCAGCAAATTAAAGAAAATATCAGACGTGGAAGCAGGGTTATTTTAGTAGTTTTTTTTTATTTTTTTGATAATGACAAAACCAACCCTTTTTAGCAAACTGCCTTGTTTTAAAATGCAATTGTTTTTCTTACTGACTTTAAATTATTGTATTGCTCGAGGAAAATGTTCAGTTGATGCACTGAATTTAGTTCTGAATTAAGTCTGCTAAGAAACGTAGCCATTGTCCATTTGTGCAATTTCTTAATCTGAGGGAGATTGTGAATAGGGTTCCAATGAATGCATTGAAGAAGAATGCACTTTGTGTTTCTGTAACACAACACTAAACCCATAAGATTGGTTTGGTACCCTGCAATGTAAAATGCTACATGTATATATTTCACTTGAAGTGTGCAAAAATGAAATATGCATACTAACATTTTGTGCCAAGTTAAGTATTAATGGAAACTTATAACTCTGAAAACAGCCTTGACCGAGCAATTTGATGTTGTATTAACTATAAAAATTGTATCAAGGGGCGGTGCCGATGCAAATGGCAGCATTCTGCTAGAGCTCCACACCAGCAGGACCTCATTAAGCTAACAAAAGCAGCAGTTCCCCCTATTTTTACCCCCAAACGATCGCCAAGCCGCCCATCACGACGAACGAACACACCGACATGGGAGGCAGCAGAAAATCTAAACAGAGCTCCGCGGTAGCGCCGATCTTTCGCAATCGCAGGGAGGGAGACCCGCCACGTGCGGACGAGAGCCAAGATTACGACTCAGATTCTGCGGCCGGCGACATGAACCACCAAACCTATGCAACTCCCATCACCAGGGATGACCTTCATACCCTCCTGCAGGATATTAAACTGAACATGGCAGCAGAATTTAACAAGCATTTGGGCCCCAATAAAGGCAGGCCTTAGTGACCTCGTGCAGTGCACAAACCTCATGGAGGAGAGGTTGGACCACACCACAGACAGGTCCGACGCAATAAGTCTTGGTGTAACAACATCAGGCTAAGGGGAATCCCTGAATCCATTGAAATGGACACCCTTTCCTCCACCCTATGAGAGACATTCTGCAGAGGCACCGCCTGCGGAACTACTCCTGGATAGGGCCCACAGGATGTTGCGGGCCCCATCTATGAACATGGCTCAGCCGTAAGATGTATTTGTCCGGCTGCACTACTTCTATGTCAAGGAAGCAATAATGAGAGCTGCCCAGGACTCTCCACTCATAATTGAAGGACATCAACTCCAATTTTTCAAGACCTTGCCCCCAGCACTTTACGCAAGAGAAGGGAGTTACGTCCCCTTACTCCGGAATTAACTCGACGACGGATCCCCTACTCCTGGGGACACCCATTTAAACTAACAGTACGCAGGAACTATCAAATGCATACGCTTCATGACATTGCTTACGCCGGAGCATTTGACGGACGACTTGGCTTACCCTGCATCGACACCAACGCTGCCAGACCACCCACCAGGGCTCCGAGAGGGCCTCTATCCAGGAGCGATGAAGCAGGGCCGACTGGCGAGCCACTTGCACCTCCTCGGGACTGACCTAGTCAAGCACACCTGCACGCATGCTAAACCAGGGGCTCATGTCTCCACCCTGAGCTCCAAGCACCATTCATACCCACTTGCATGGACACCTGATGATCCACCTATCCAGAACACTTGCTGACCCGAACACTCATGGCAGCCCACCTGGAATGCACCACAATAAGCTAAGATATACAAGTCTTCTTTCCTAGCTCTGACATATCTCTTGATTATCCATGTTGCATATGTTCTGTTTAGCACCATTATAGGCATAAGCTCCAGCCCATTACCTCTAATCCACCTGCAGCTCACTTCCCCCAACTGACCACCACATGGGGTGATAGCAGGGCCATCACCAAAGACCTAAACATAGCCTGACCCAAGCAAAGAACACAGTCACTAAACCCATCCCCCCCCCCTCAGGTCATTCATGGTCCCACCCCAGAGCATTGAAGCCCGAGGAGAGCACAGGGCCCGTGACTCCTCGGAGCACGCTGGGCCTCCCCCTGCCCCGTTGCCAAGAGGGGGGTGGGATGGAGCGGGGTGACGCCGACTAGTAACTTCCCTCTTTATCCCTACCCTAAACAAACCACCTACCCCTACCCAGGCCCCTCGACTTTCTCCCTACAACCTCGCCGCCCCATCCTGCCCCTCCCCTTACCTTATCCCCTAAATTGCGAACTGCACTCCGGAACGCACACTAGGACAACCACCCCGGCACTAACACTACTACCATGCCCCTCACCATTAATGCCAAGGGACTGAATACACCCACTAAAAGACACGGACTGCTACACTGTGCTCACAGACAACACATAGACCTCTTACTACTCCAAGAAACACACTTCACATCAAGTCGCTCATTCCCTCTTACTAACCGATACTATAAACAGAGCTTCCTCGCAAACTCCCTCGATACTAAGACAAAAAGGGTAGCAATCATACTGAAATCAACATGCCCTCAACTGACATCACATACGCCGCAGACCCCAAAGACGCTATGTAACAGTGGGGAAAAAATAGGTCACATGGATTATGCCTTCTGCTCGGTCTATTCGCCGACTGTCCTGGATGGCAACAACTGGCAACCCACCTTCAGGCATACTCCAACAAACACATCATCATAGGTGGAGAATGCAACGCAGTACATTTACCTGCGATGTTCACTTTGCCCAATTCCTGGCCGCACAAACTCTGATAGACATATGGAGAGCACCAACACCCCTCAAAACGAGACTTCACTTTCTACTCGCATCCACTCTTTTAGCTTTAGCACTTGCTTTATATCATTTAGGTGGCACTATGAGCACTTATTATTTAAGCTTTATTGATGTTCTAATAGGGACAGTCGGTTCAGATGGGCACCAGCCTTTTGCGGTGCTGAGGTACATTAGGGATAGACTTCTCAAGGTCTTTGATCACTATTCCCTAGGTCTACCATAAGCTTCTATTTAGTGGTGTGTGTTGGGCTTTAGCTTTTTCGTCCACAACGGACCGCTTATAAATAAGATACTTACCATAGCCAGCACACACTTTTATGTCTATTTGACCTTTGGGATTGTGACTGGGTCAATAAAGGATCATAGCCCTCCCTACAATTCTAAGACTATTGTGATATGCTAAGCAGCCTTGATTCCTTATGTGTGCGTCTAATTCTCCAATAATTTGCTGCACTCGCTGTATACTTAGCTACCTCTGCTATTGAGGCACTCTCTCCGACCAAGAGGAGACTGATAGGGATAATCCTTAGGGGATATACTATACCCCCATTTTTGTTTCTTCCCTTACCTGTACACCAATACTTTGGTGTCTGTTTTTTATCCCCTAGTGGACATTTTTGGTAGGCCCAGTCCTCCGTATTTTTTTTTTTATGTTTTAATTTCTAGTTTAAATAAAGGTAGGATCTTCTTCCCTTTGTAACATATTTCCTATTGTACATACATCCATTATCTCCTCTACTGTGCTCTCCCTCATGGGTCCCTGATCTCCTGGGTAACTCATTGAGATTTTTTAATTCTATTTTTGTATATTTAAGAGTTAAGCCCTATCATTTAGAGAGCACAGTTTAGGCGACCATTCTCCTTTTTGATTCAGGGGTCACCACTTTATCATTATGTCTTTGTTATGACACAACCAAAGCCCTCATGTGGCTTAAACAGAAGTATTATGAAAAAGGAAACAAAGCGGACTCAATGCTAGACCGCAGGCTCAAAAAACGCAGGGAAACCAAACAAATCACCTCAATACAAACAAGGGATGGATCTCTCAGCTACACCCCTGAGTGCATAGGCAAAACATTTAAACACTACTTCGACGCCCTATACAACCATTCTCCGCACCTACAACGAGAATCTGTAGTCCATCAGACCCTCATTGATAACCTATTTCTACGTATCACACTCCCAACCCTACGCCAAGTATCCAAACTGGCGATGGCGAACGACACCATGGTAGAAGAAATGGCAGCCGCCCTAGGGACCTGTAAACTTAATAAAAGCCCAGGCCCCAATGGCTATACCGCCCTTTATTATAAGGAATTTAGCCCCTTGTTTCTCAAACACCTATGCACAGTGTTTAATGCCTCGCTAAGAGGGGAACACTTGGCAACCGACATGACTACAGCAAACATTTGCCTGCTCCCCAAATCCAATAAAGACCACACAGAACCCGAACACTACAGACCCATATCGTTACTAAACGTGGACCGTAAAATCATGGCCAACAGACTTAACCCTTACTTGGAAGGATTGATCCATCCTGATCAGGTTGGCTTCATCCATCACAGACAGGCCTCCTACAACACATGCAGAAACTAAGACCTCATCGGGCTGGCGCTACATTGTCGAATACCTATAGTCGTCATATCGTTAGATGCCGAAAAGGCATTCGACCGCCTTTCTCTACTGCACCCTAGACCGCATGGGATTCTCAAAGGAATTCCTCTCCTTACTCCAAGCGACTTACCATTACCCACACAGAGCCCTCTTTCTACCCAACATCACACCACCTAGGTTTCCAATCACCAACGGCACCCAACAGGGCTGCCCACTCTCGCCCCTCTTGTTCACCCTTTCCCTGGAGCCTCTGCTCCATTAAAATGAATCTCCTCCCTAGACTCCTCTACCTCGTCCAAACTCTCACTATCTCATTCCATAGAGCAGATCTAAAAGCCCTACAATCGGCCATAGATACCTTCATATGGAAGGGCCGCAAGCCCCAAGTAAGCAGTAACACCCTCTATGTCCCCAAAAAATACGGAGGACTGGGCCTACCAAATTTCTCTCACTACAACTCAGCAGCACAATTAGTCCAGATTCAACAGTGGCACTCCCCACCACAAACTAAACGATGGGTCGACCTCAAACACATAATATTTGGATGGGACCACCCATCCCTTACATTATTCACAACTAACTGGACCTTCATCAGGTGTGCTTCCCAGTCCACCCTGTGAATTACATCACCAAGGGAGGCAGCTGCATACTCTCTGTAGGGCCAAAGTATTCTATTCATCATATGCGGAAAGGGGGCCGGTGCACCATGCAACCTGAATGGCAGTACTTTATGTTGCCATAACCCCTCGGGAGTAGAAAACGCTGTCCTTCACTTTGCTTTCTCTGTCAGGGGAACCTGCAAATACCCTATGATCACGTCCAAGGTACTCAGATACCTGACCTTACTTATTCGCTCTTGCGTTTGAGCTACACGTTCCATAGTGGCTTTATTAAGAGGAGGTTCTACCTCATTACCCAGGCACTCCAAGGGTGTCTTGTTCAGTACCAAATTCATGATCCCTTATCCCAATGCTCCCTACAGGGGGCAATCTGCAAAACCTCAGTAAGGGCAGCTTTATGCTCCTGCTGAGCGTCCCTCAGGTTCTTAACCTGTGCAGCCAGTAAACGGTTGGTGTTTTGTTGTTTAGCGGTTGCCTGTACCACAGCCTTCAGCAGGTCCTCCATTATAGCACCAAGCAGGTAACAGGCCTTTACGTTGTTAATATTGGGTAAAGGTTCCACAGGAATAGGCCTTCCGTTGTTATTAATGTAAATGAAGAAGGGCATTTTCAACACCTCCTGATTTTTATCATATGGAAGTAGAATCTAGCTTCATGGCCAAATATTAGAATATCTGTAGCATAAGTGTGAGCAGCACATTTCATTAGGATGTACACCCAGGAGTATTTTTTAGAAGGCTGTGTGTCAGAGGTTACTTTGTTTTGCGTGGGTGTGGGGTGGCTGTAAATGTTGTATCTGTGTGTGATATGTGTGAGGCTGTGTGAATATGAGAGTGATATATTTTTTGGTAGCTTTTAGTGATGTATGCGGCAGTGCGTGGTGTGTGTGTGCCCGTGCGTGAATAGTGAGTGGGGCAAGTGGGATGGGAGTGATAAGAATGGGGAGTGAAAGTTAGGCGTGGGAGTGATAGGATTGAGGATGGAAGAAATGGTTGGGAGTGATGGGAGGTTGTGGAGAAGGAGGGAAAGCAGGTTGAGGAAAATGGGAGTGATCAGAGGATTGGGAGAGAGGGCGGGATGTGACTGAAATGATAGGAGTACGGGAGGGATGGCTGGAAGTAATGGGAAAGATGGTTTGGTGTAATAGCATTAAAAGACAGAGATAGCTTTGGAATGGTAGGAAGATGGGTTGAGAGGGATAGGAGGAGAGAGGATGGAAGGGACGGGTGAAAGTGATAGGATGGAATGGGTCAGAGTCAGGGGCAGTTCTCTAATTAAGCGACTTAGGCGGCTGCCTAAGGCCTTGTGCTGACTGGGGCCTCTCGGCCACCTAAATCCCCTAAAGGCTGACTGAGCTGTTGGGTCCTTGGTCCATGACCGAGGGCCCGACATAGGAGGGGGTCCTGGAGACCTTCTCTGTATGTCGCTGGGTGTGAGGCCCCTCCATCCAGTCTGCCAATAGAGGGAGAGAGACAGCACTGCAGTCAGTCTGCAGTTCTGCCAGGTGCAGAGCTTAAGACTTAAGTGTCTCGCGATCTCCAGCCATTCAGAGCGTTGCTTGCAGCATTGGATACATAGAGTTAGTCTCTGTATTTATCGTTCAGAGGCTTGCATTGTTGCGACTCGCTGTGCCCCTGCGTTATGAGCTCTCTGACTGTAGTTATGACATAATTTGCAATAAACAAATATTAATTTGTAATTATGCTAATTGATCACGATTGTGGGGTATGGTTGCATAGCCTGGCAGTTCTGTGTACATAAATGCTGGTGTGAAGGGGTTATTGAAAACAAAACTCTAAATTTTGGTTGGGCTTAAAAAAATAAATCCATCACAATGTGTATTTCTGAGTGTGTCTGGCATTGTCTACCGGTGTATGTACCTGAGAGTGTGTGTCTGACAGTGAGTATCCTTGTGTGTGAATGTATGTTTCTGTGAGCTTGTGTATGTTTGTGTCTGGGACCGTGTATGTGTGGGGTAGCTGCTTTCGGTCTTGTGTGTACATCTCATTTTGATTAAGTTGTCATGGTGCCAAAACTGGTTCTTTAAAATAAATAAATTTGGGGGTGCATCGCTGTTCTGCTTGGTGGGAGCATGAGGGTATGCATGGGCACACCTTGTGCACATATCTGACCTACAGGCTGAAAGTAGTGAAATCTTAAAGAATGTGACTTTTTTAGGCTCTTATATACTTTAAAAATGGGACATAAAAACAAAACACATGGCTAAACTTTAAAGTTGTTGTGTAAATGGATGGGCTGTTTTTAATTTTCTGTAAGTAATTTAAAGCCGCACTGTTTTGTATTTTTGGTTTTGTTTTTAAAGCTGTTTTTACTAATGCTGCTTGTATCTTTATTATCTGCTTTTCATTGTGTCAGATCTCAATACCTGCACTCTTCCATTTGTTCCCCTATGTCCATGATGTCTTTATTTTTTTAAATAAATTTTTCAATAAAGAAAGCCATGAGAATTGTCGATTATACTAACGTAGTGTACCTATAATCTTAATTTTAATAATGACAGGAGGCAAGTATTTTGCATGACTTTCTTTACTTATGCCTCCAGCAGCACAAGTCAATCATAAAACTTTAACCAATCAGAAACAAGTATCATATCCATATAAAGCACCGTCAGGCATAGCTCTTTCTCTTTCTTTGATGCGAAACAGTCTACAATAACATCTGGAACCATAACGACAATCTTTAATAACTTTAATAACCTTAAAGGACCACTATAGGCACCCAGACCACTTCAGCTTAATGAAGTGGTCTGGGTGCCTGGTCCAGCTAGGGTTAACCCTTTTTTAAAATAAACATAGCAGTTTCAGAGAAACTGCTATGTTTTAAATAGGTTAATCCAGCCTCTAGTGGCTGTCTCTTGACAGCCGCTAGAGGCGCTTGCGTGCTTCTCACTGTGAAAATCAGTGAGAAGATGCAAGCGTCCATAGGAAAGCATTGTGAATGCTTTCCTATGAGACAGGCTGAATGCGCGCGCAGCTCCTGCCCCGCATTCAGCCGAAGAGGAGGAGAGCTCCCCGCCCGGCGCTGAAGAAAGAGGTAAGTTTAACCCCTTCCTCTCCCCAGAGCCCGGCGGGAGGGGGACTCTGAGGATGGGGGCACCCCCATGGCACTATAGTGCCAGGAAAACGAGTATGTTTTCCTGGCACTATAGTGGTCCTTTAACTCGAGCTGAAGAGTGAAGTAGTCCAGCTTGTCCATTTTCGAGGCCATAAATGAAGATTACACTGAAAAGAACAGAAACAAGTGAAAGATGGTGGAAATAAATTGTTATCCACATATTAATCCTAAATTAAATTAACAATATTCAAGAATTTATAATAAAACATATTCGAATAGTATTAAACCATATATCACATTAAAGGTTTAAGAATTTATACCTGAGCAGTAATACAATCGTTGACCATACCAGAAACATACTTGCAGCTTAATACACAGTAACATGATAAACCGAAACATAATGTAATCCCAATATCACCAGAGTTATAGGGAGGGAAACCCGGGGAGGGAAAATACTTGCCTCCTGTCATTATTAAAATTAAGATTACAGGTATACTACGTTAGCATAATCTACAATATTACAACATGACAGGAGGCTTTGTATTTTGCATTTTTAATGCTGTGCCCGAAAAGCAAAGGATGCAAGTGAAGTCTGACGGAAATAAAATTGGCCTGACTGGAGACCGAAGAGATGCAGTAACCGCAACATAACATAGTAGAGTGTTCACCACACAGAGACGAGGAACCTTTTGAGAAAAAACGGACATGGCATGGATGAAGAATCCATCTCGGTCCGCCGTGACACCGTGAAGGAAATGCCTTCTGGAGATATCAGGAAACCATTCGCATACAAATAGTTTGAACGTCCGACCCCAAAAGAAGGAAACGCGACATAAAGGTAGTGTGAACTTCGCCGAGAATTAACGAAACGAAAGATCCGAATTATCTAGGCAATCCACGTAGGAAGCGGAGTACTACACCTACGTCCCATATAGAGTGTATTCCGGGACTCTGGGTCCAAATTAGATAAGGGACATACCAAGGGTCCTGACTAACCAGTATGCCCTGAAGTGGAGAGTGAGCCACCGAGATCACCTATCACACCATGTTGATGGAATGGTAGAAATGACCCAATAAAAAAAGTGCGATGAAACTATAGTGATAGGTGTCGTAAAGAGATCGTAGTTCCTCTCCAAACACCAGCAACTCCAAATGTTCCATTCGGAGTTTAGCTACGTCTAGTTCCTGGAGTCCATGAGTCCCATAAGAGGTTTTTAGTAGATTGCAATATGTCCTTGACTGACCAAGATCCCCTGAAAGACTCCAGGTCACAAGTTTCAAGCTGTCCTGTAGGATCAGCGTATGAGGTTCTCCTTGTGAGTTCGTTAGGAAAAAGAAGAAACCCTGAAAGGAGCAGCAGATTGTCTTGATATAGAGCCAGTCAGTAAAGGAACCACGCTTGATTCTGCCAAGTGGCATGATGAGTATCATGGGGATCCCTGTGATATGGAGCCGATGAAGGACCCGAGCCAACCTCCATGAAGTGAAGACACAAGGTTGGAGAAATGTATCCACTGCTTCGCATTTTGGGTCCAGAAGTTAGCTGTAGTACCTCGTAGTTTGTGAGTTTGTCCGGAGGTGGAGAGATCTATGAGGAACAGTCCTTTGACTGTTCTCCACGTGGCAAAAGTGGCAGAGTTGACCAGTTGCTAAGTTCTACTATCCTGTCGGGGGGAAGAAAGATAGTCCGTTGTAAGATTGGTTATCCCTGGAAGAAATTCAGCTTGAATCGTGAAATTGCGGGGAAGGCAAAATCGGTAAATGGATCTCATTGTCTCTGTCAGGGCACAAGATTGGGCTCCGGCCAGGCGTTTAATGTATTGAACGGCCGTGATACTGCCCATGCGAATTTGGAGTCTACTTCAATCAGACATGTCCTTGGTTAGGCTGTGGATTGCAAAGGATCCCGCTATCGGTTCCAATCAATTTGTGTGAAGGACCCTGTGTGGAATTAAAGATGGATAAGATCCATATAGCGTGTGATCTCCTCCTTGCAAATGATTGGTTCACTCGCCTGGACTTTAAGAACGCATACATGACAATTTCAATCGGAGGGTCGTCTATTCATTAGTTTCATCTGGCGGGACAGACCTGAATCATCTGCTCTCCAATCGTTCACTATAACTAGGGAGGGAGGAGGGGAGTCATCCGAAATGGTAGTAGAAGGGGAACTAGGTCCTGAGGTTCCACTTGTCAGATCCGTTGCAGAGTGACCTTGCCTTCGTTCTCAGAGGGCCCGTGTTGGTGCCCTACTAGCGTCGTTTGGACATAGGTTTTTGGTTTTTAGAGGTCTCAGAACCCATAACGTTTGTGACAAGTGGCACGTCAAGGCCCGTTATATCTGGACAACCCTGTACTAGCATCTCTGAGATGGCTGTTACGACCGAAGCTGCAACTGCAGCATTTATCCTAGACTGACATTCTTGAGTTGGAGGCGAGACATTCATGATGTGTGGTATTCGAACCATCCAGCCTGCGGAAGGAAGACACAGTTGAGGTACAGAAGTACAAGTGTTAAAACACGCAACAAGCCTCCACATACAATTAGAGTTCACCCAGGGTATCAGGCAATCAAAGCCCACTGTTGGTGAGGTAGTATTGACAGGCAGCCAGAAGAGGGGTTCGCCCTCTGTGTGACCAGTATTAGCGGTGTATATGTAAATGGGGTTGCAGGCCCGTGAAATTGAAAGTCTTGAGCAGTCCCAATACCATGTTAGGGATTTACCCTTGTTAAGCCCCAATAATGTGGTGACTGTACCATTGAGGGGTTCACCCTCTATAGAATGTGTTGTATCATGGAGGTGATGTTATCACTGTATGTTTTTTGAATTGTAGTCTATAAGTGGTACCAATAAGGGGGGGTCACCCCTATTACAGTGCCTCCGTGGGTTTAGAATGCATGGGGGTTACCCAAGCGTAAAGGGGGGTCACCCCTAGAAATCCGTTTGCCACAACTTTGTGGATGAATGCATCGCTTGGGGTTCATCCCAGCATTATGGGGTCACCCCTGTAATGATGTACATAGCAATTAGTTGGTAAATGCACATATGTTAGTGGGGGGGGTCACCCCTCACCCCTCACCCCTCACCCCTATTGATAATGTCTCAGTAGGTGCACAGTCCATCTGGGGGTTCACTCCAGGCAACATACCATATGCCCTTTCCCTATAATACTGCCTCTGCAGGCGTATGCTGTCTGGGGGATCACCCCAGATCGAAGGGGGTCACCCCTGAAATAAAATTGTCGCTAGGATGTAAATTGAGCTTGGGTTTTACACCAGTTGAAAGGGGGCCCCACTTGGTATGTGCGTAATAATTATGTGTAGGGAGTGCACATATTTCAGTGGGGGGGTCACCACTGTGTATATAGCCTCAGTAGGGAAGTAGTAAGTGTGCAGATTTACAAGGGGTCCCCCTAGTATTTTATATGCACTGGAATAGCTGTAGATACATTCCCATCAAGAGGTGACAGATTTTTTGCACCTTTAAAACTGACACAGGGTAGTTTGTAATTGTAGATAACATGCTTTTACAAGCACAGCACTAATACATTATACTAGCTTTAGCAAAGTAAGTACTTTCATTTGAGAAAGCAGTAAATAAAAAAATATATAGCAAAGTAGCACAGATCATGTGAACCACACTCCCCCCACCCGCAGAACCTCCCAACCAAGCCCCAGAAAGCCAGAACGACTGCAAAAAATGTCAAGATCGCAGCATCAGCCACGATCGCGCAAGTGAGAGACTGATAGATCCCCTAGGTTAGAGAGCCAGGGGCTCAGACCAGGAGGGAAAGGCTCTGGGGATGCAAAAAACCTTACCAAAGCAATGTAAGAGGGGAGGTAAAGCCAGGGGAGGGAGTAGAAAGGGGAATAAAGAGTACAATCAAAGAATAAATCCAATTCCAGTAAAATTAAGTCAAACAACAATAAAATGTCACAGAACAAAGTACTCTGACCTGTGCCTGGCTGGAGCAGCAAATAAAGAGGAAGAGCTATGCCCGCCAGGGCTTTATATGGATATGATACTTGTTTCTGATTGGTTAAAGTAGTTTGATTGACTTGTGCTGCTGGAGGCATAAGTAAAGAAAGTTATGCAAAACACAAAGCCTCCTATCATGTTGTAAAATTAGGATGATAAGAAATGAATTAAACTAATTTAAAAGTAAAACCTGTAAAGTGACAGCGGCACAATAATTGGTTAAAAAGTAAGCCTGATTAAATAAATACCTTTCATTATTAGCACATCACATTGTATTTCACTGTTCTGTCCAGGGTTCAAAACAATCATCTGTTATATCTAGGCACTATGATCCATACCAACCTCGAACAGACATCCTCACGAAATTTTCTCTCTTTACTGGCCCAAGTTAGACAAGATCTGCAGAATTGGTCTCTCCCTCATATCATATTGGTTTGGAAGGGTAGAGGTCTTGAAAATGAATATTCTCCCACGATTTCTATATCTGCTTAAAACGCTGCCGGTCCACAAACCTCAAGATTTCTTTAGACAAATTCAGTGAACCTCCTGGAATATGTCTGGCACAACCAGAAAGCCCACGTGAGATGCAATATCCTCACAAGACCCAAAAACAGGAGAGGTTTGGAAATGCCGGATCTGGCCACGTATCATAAATTTATCCATGGATAGTTGATTGGAACATTGCATCCCCTGATAAGCTTTAGATGCAACGTGAAAACCAGTCCACTGACATCTGCATAGTGCAAGTGGTCATTCATCCTAAAGTCCTGAAACGCTATCCCACGATGCCAGCTACTGGCAGTATAGAGAAGAGTGGTGGTGGGGTCTGCCATTTCCTCACCTCTGCCCATTTCCCCTGGCAAAAACAAAGACACACTTGGTCTCCCTTATTTTCTCCACCTCATAGATGTATACACGACTGACCAACGAAGCCATATAGAGAATTGAAATATAGGTTGAGCACCTTCTCTGTTGGCATGATTTTGCTTCCACCAAATCTCACATTTTATAACTCACTTGCCTGGCCTGCCGACGTTGCTTGCCCAGCAACAAACTTTGAATCATTTTGTCTACAGACAACTCCACCCTCACAAGTGATCTCCCTTCTATACTCAAACACGATCTCCCCTTCCATATTATACGAGACACTGGGAACCCAACCTAAAACACTCATTTGTCTTGGAAGAATAGTTCAACGTATTGACGCTAACACAAAAAAAGAGCAACAGGTGTCAGGAATCTGTTTTTAAACTTCTCACACATTGGCACAAAACCTCTGATAAAAAAGCCAGGTAGGCGCATGATCAGGGTCCTGAATGTTGGTGATGTTGGAGGGAGCTCAGCTCATTGTTCCATTTATGGTGGGATTCTTCTCAGATACAACCCATTTGGAAACAGGTACACGCTGTTATATCCACTCTCACAGACAAACCCATGGAGTTTTGGAGGCAGAGTTCCGCACCCACGGTCAGACATTGGATTACAGAGTGGAAGATACATGTTCTATAGAGGAATTCATTGGCTCACCCCCCTCCCGCCCTGTTGTTTTCTTTTGTTCTCTCTCTCTCTTATACCACCTTTCTTATTCCATACAATCGACCCCCCCTCACCATTATTTTTACTTCATACATACAATTCTTGTATAAGTACAAACCCCAAAACAAAAATTCTCAATATATTTTAAAAAAGGTGTGTGTGTGTGTGTGTGTGTGTGTGTATGTATGTATATGTGTGTGTGTGTGTGTGTATATATGTGTGTGTGTATATATATATATATATGTGTGTGTGTGTGTGTGTGTGTGTGTGTGTGTGTGTGTGTGTATATATATATATAATACACAAGAGCCAGCCCCCTCTTATATATATATATATATATATATATATATATATATATATATATATATATATATATATATACAGACACAAAAATAGATAGCTTGGCACTCACCCTGTCTCTCATTAAATAAATCTTGGTGCAATCCCACGTTATAGAATATATATAGAGAAATAAGAGACGCACCCTCAGGACTTTACTATAAATCCATTGGTATTTATTAAATAAATAAAAAGGTTACATCATCTGACCGACGTTTCGACCCTACAGGGTCTTCCGGTTTCGTCTAATCATTGAGCGACTCTAGCAGTGATTGTAGTTCTTTCCGGTTGCAACAACCGTATAGCAGGTAATGTTCAATACTTGCCAGGGTACACTCAATCTTGTCCTGAGGGAGTTTAGCCTGCATGTGTATCGTGTCTAGTTGGATCCCCAAAAATTGCATGTTGGTATCTGGACCCAAACTCTTGTGAGGGGTGACAGGGATAGTGCGAGATTCAAACAAAGCCAACATGTGTTTCAAACTACTGGGGGAGAGTGTGTTATTCTCAATCGTGAGGAAATCGTCCAGATAGTGAATAACCGAAGGGCACTTACACACATTCAGTAACAACCAACACAAAGCTTCTGCAAACGTGTCAAAAATACGTGGGCTGCTTTTGGAGCCAAAAGTGAGACGGGTGAAGAAATAATACATCCCCTGCCATTTAATGCTGTGTAGATGCCATAGGAAAGTGTGCATGGGTAGTAATTTAAAAGCGTTTACCACGTCAGTTTTGCTTAGCCATGCCCCTGTGCCAGCTTGAAGAATGGCCCCAATGGCATGGTCGATAGTGGCGTAGTGTAGTGAAAATTCTTTGGAAGGTATGAGTGTGTTAAGGCTGGGAACAGTGGAGGAATGTGGTGCAGATTGTAGCGGAGGCCTGGTATTTCACAGGTTAACTCCACCAAGATCCCAGTGAGGCAGGATCCCAGGAACAAGTGATGAAAAATCCCATGAATAAATCCCATGAAGCAATAATTCCAATAAGCAAGGCAATCCAAGAATATCCCCATACAGATCCCAATGGCTGGACGACACACAGCATCAGGAGCAGAACTGACTTTTATTACACACAACCTCCTTTTAAGCATTTCTCCCATGCAAGGGAGGGATTCACATTCATTAGGACAGTACCCAATGGCATAGTAGTTACCTCCCACCCATCTCTTCCCCTTAGTATGACACCTAATCCCATTATACAAGACACAGTTTTCCCCAAGTTCTGGATGTACCCCAAGATTAGCAGGTCCACCCATACCAACATATCCAAAATTCACCCAGATCAGACCAGGGGTTCGGGAGCTAGGTGTCTGTTCGGGAGGTAAAATACATAGAAATACATGCCATCCACGATTAAACAGTCATTCGCCTGAATGCCCTTGTTTGGTACTCCAAATTCACCGAACGGGGTGCTGATTCGTCTTCCCGTTCGGGAGTTTTGGAGATCTGGAGGTGTCAGGAAAAGAATGCATGAACAGCTGAATCATACGAAATGAGTGCATACACTAAGTGTCGTTCGAATACCGAAAAAGATATATATAGTAGAATGCACGAAGTGAAACATGCGAAGCATAGGTGGATATGTGTACTAGAATTAGCCGAACGGCCTGAGTGGTTGAAATACATGACAGAAAACCAAACGCTCAGTATAAACGAATGGAGCCCCGCCGTGAAAGGTAGCAATGTTTGCGGCTGTTGCTTTATGGCGGGGCCAGACTTTCGGTTGAACCCGGTGTTGGAGCTGAGAACGGTCTGCGCGGACGCCAGCAACGGGTAGCCGAGCCAGGGAAGCACCGGACCAGGAGACCACGAGGAAGACAGGTAAGAAAAAAGTAAACGTTTCAGACTCGCCAGACCAGCAACGGTAAGGTGGGAGTGGATTGGCAGAGGGGGGAACCAAGCCCCTCCCACAACTACAGGCCAAGCCTTCAAATATATAAAATTAACCCCTGCACTCCAACCAAAATTCTTTTTACATACCCGGTGCTCTGGTTGCTCAATAATATAAAATGAAAAAATACCAGCACTCCAAGGATTTTCAATAAGGCATCTTCTTTATTCTGAGAAATACATCAACGTTTCAGCTCCCCTAAGGAGCTTTCATCAGGACATATATATATTATTTACTTTCCCCACAATACAGTTTCTATTGACCAACTTTAAAATTATACTTTTCATGGGTAGTTAAGGTTATGTTTAGATGCATTTCTGGGGAAGGGGGGGCCTTGACCGCCATGATGAACCGATGCTTGGAAAGAGGGCTACTCACCTAAATTGCCCTAATTTTTCCAAAAATATCGATACTACTGTGCAAACAACTTCTGAAGCTATCTAGCCGTGTATGGGAAACCTTGGATCCCTGTCGGTGCATTTATACAACTCGCTGCAGTGGAGCTCCGATCCTATGTAATTGTAACCTAGTGTGGTCCTGACTGTGAGTGGCGGCCGACCTCCTCAGTTGAATTCCGCAGGCTGAACTGCGGCAGAGCCCCATATTTTCCACACCACCCCCTTGGACCAGTGGGTATTAACCTAGTCCTCACCTATACGCTGGTTCACTCTACTCAGGCAGCAGTATACTGAATGTTTAGCCTCAAGATGGCTTCCATAGGGGTTAGTGGCAGATCTGCTAGAGAGATGGAGGGGAGACCTTCTGTTTAAAATGTAACCATGTATGTGCACAATTCTGGCTCCTTATCCAGACCAGGGCAACACAAGGCAACTAACCAGCTGAACTGGTGATCCCTTGAGATGCTGACAAGGTGCAGAAGGGGCTTCTCCCTGAACACAGTCCACAAACCAGAGAGAACCTCTCTCAACAGGGTCCAGAGTCCTGCCCAAAATTCTGCCATGATTACATGGATCAGTGGACTCTGTGCCATTTCAAATAGTTTACACTGCTGCACATTAGATTTATTTTATTCCATTTTACATATCCGTGCCTGATGCTGTTGCACATATTCTGGGTATACTATAAATCTCTACATGAATTCTAGAGCTCCTGCTGAGTGGAAGGTTTTCACCTTTTATTCGTCTGCGCGAGATATGACTAAATACTATTCGCTATCCTTGTGGTGTTTTTTTTGAGGGTGTGGGGGGTCACATCCTGTATTATTATTATTATTATTATTATTATTATCATCATCATTATTTTATTATTATTTATAAAGCACCAGCAAATTCGGTAGCACTGTACTGTACTAACACACGTAATTGTAATCAGATATGAACCAAGGGGTTAAGAGCCCTGCTCAGCATTGTTAGCTATATTACTTGCTAGTTTAATTATTTTTCCCATGGAACACTTTGACATAATGTATCAACATCGTTTTTTTGTATGTGCCGTTGTTGTATCTGTGTGTCAATGTGTATCTGTGTGTGCATGTATCTTGTACACAGATATACACACACTGGCACACAGACACACATAACTTGATACACAGATGCACACACTCAGATATACACATTGACACAGTGTCAAATATACACACTGACATACACACACATACACACACGGAGGCACATACAAACACACCGATATACTCTGGCACACACATGCTGACATACACACACACTCAGATACACACAGTGACACATACACAAACCTTGACACACAGATACACACACAGACACACATACAAACACATGCACTCTTGCTGACAAGCACACATACACACTCACTGACAAAACACATACATACACTCACTGACAAAACACATACATACACTCACTGACATACACACAGCCAATGACAAACACACATACACACTCACTGACAAACACACATACAAACTCCTTAACAGACACACACACACGATTTATTTAATCTTTTTAAATTTCACAAAAACCAGCCTCCCTGCCTTTGGGAGTGCTGGCATGGAGTCTCTATTTCCCTGGGGTCCAGTGGGGCTGCTGGGCTGAGTAACTGGCGTGTGGGCGGCGAGGGAGCAGTGATTTTCCTGCTCAGCTCCCTCGCGCGTCTTAGTGGAGCTGGAGTGACGTCATATTCCAGGTCCGGCATCACTGCTGTGCGCTCAAGGGAGCTGAGTAGGGCAGAGTGCTCCCTCGCCGACTGCCTCAATTATCGCAGGGGCCATTTTGTTTCCCGAAATTTTGACGGAACCACATTTTGTTCTCGCAAAACCCAATTGGGAAACACTGCTCTATTGCAAGGATAAGCAACCTTTTAGTAGTACTGTGCCAAAACAAGATTATTTTGAAGTCCCTTGGCATGCTGGTCCTATTAATTTTTTTTCTATTTATTTTTTAAATGTTGTCATATTCTGCTTGTGTTTATGGTTGCTGAAGTTGCTTTGTAGCGTTGTATTTGTCCGTATGTAGAGTGGAATATTGTATATGTTCATAAGTAGTTTGTTTTATTGTGTATGATATCTATGAATGTGGGCTATGTATGGAGACTGCTTGTGAAATTGTGTGAATGATATGTCACTTGATATCTGGGGTTGCTGGTGGTATTGCATGTGAGAGGCTGCTTGTGGAATTGTGTGCGTGTATGTTGATTGTCAGTGGTGTTGTGTTTGTGGGGACTATACGTGGGCTGTTTGTATTAATTTTATAAGGGGAAGCTTCTTCTGCAGCTCTGTGTATATCTAGCAGTGTGGTTGGCTTCCCTTGAGTCCAGTGGGGACCGGGGTGGCCAGTTACAGGTCAAAGGCAGAAGCTGCGATAGCTGCTGCGGGCTGTTCTACTCCAGTGCGGATACCCGTTCACAAGTGCTCAGAGGAAGTTTTTTAAATTAACTTCTCTAAGTGCTGCAATGCGTTGAGGATTGTCCCTCACCATCTGCTATCACTGCTCAGTTTGCACTAGCAGATATCTGAAGTCCCACTGGGACTCCGGATAGACGAGAGCATGTTTGGCTCTGGGAGCCTGCCATAGGTTGCTGACCCCTGCTCTGTTGTATAATCATAGTTTAATTCAAGTTATATCTAGTTTCTTATGCTTATTATTCATGTATCACGCGCATCAATGTTTTCCTATGGGGATTCCGGCGATGCTGGAGTCCTCATGCATGGCGTGAGAACGTCCAGCGTTGTTTAGGCGACCAAAAGTCTGATAAGAAGCCAGAAGTCCTTCTAGTGGCTGTCTGGTAGACAGCCACTAGAGGAGGACTTAACCCTGCAAGGTAATGATTGCAGGTTATAAAAAGGGTTAAGGGTGATGGGAGTTTGCACCCAGACCACTTCAATGTACTGAAGTCTGGGTGCCTACAGTGTCCCTTTAATATTTTGTAAATGTAAAGACCAGTATTCTGAGCAAATGCTGCCTCTTTAGTTTAGCTCCACTGAGCTAACCAAACCAGGAAGTAACAAGACCTGTTGTCTAATTGCAAGCCAGTAGCAGTGTTACCAGGTTAATTTATATAAATGTCAAGTACTATTAAAATCTGGAATTTTTGCAAAATCTAAAAGACACACTTTTCACACTCAACACTTTTCAGGAGTTTTCTTGTCTGGAGTTTCATTTTAACTCTTGAGGTGGACATTAGATGAATTTCAAAGTGCCTCTAATCACGTGGATATATCTGAAGTACAGTTAATTTGGCACCCCTGCATTAAAACACCAAGATTGCATGCAAACACAATCCTGAACTGAAACACCATTACTTTAAATACACCCCTGCATTCAAATGCACACACACTACACAAACACATCCCTACATTCAAATGGCAACAGTACACACAAACACAAAACTGTGTTTAAATGGCAAAATACACACAAATCCGCCTTAAAATTTTTTTTTTTATTGTTTTAATGAATTGCATTTGATATTATGTGAAGTTGTTCTTCGTTAGTGCTCTTTTTCTTGTTTGTGCATGCGTGTGTGTGTATATAAATTTTTTTGCATTCGGCCCTATTTAAGTGGGCAGTTTGGCCTTCCAGAACAAATTAATTTAACACCCCTGCTCTAAGGGAATTTTTAAAAAAATACTCAAATATTGGTTTACATTGCAGGGTTAAAACTACAGGGCCGCTTCACCCAGACCACTTCTTTGAGATGAAGTGGTCCGGGTGACTTTAGTGGTCCTTTTCAGATGTCACGAGTAAATATTCTTGGCTAATTGGATCACTTTTATTAAAATATTGCTAAACGGTTACTGTCCATTTTCAATAACAATCATGATGTAGACATCCAAAGATGTTTAGGGACAGTGTAATGTTGCAAAATACACACTGGGCATGCTAAAATAATCTATTGCCTGAGAAAATATCCACATATCTAGGAAGTAATTAAGAATCATTCAATTTAAAAACTATATAGATGCAGTTTCTATGTTAACTATAAAGTGGCAGGAAATCTTTAGCCATGACTAGCCCACCTGTTTCTTTTTCGTCGGATATGTGTAGTGCTGCAAAGTGCTGCAGTATACAAATGCCAATAGTAATAAAAATTGTACAGCACTCTGTAGTGTCATTCCTTAAAAGGCATGAATGAAACAACTGTGCAAATTAGTAAAAAAAAAAGTAGTGAAAGCTACTTTTTATCCCATATATTGGTTGTCCGTATCTTCCCCCTGTTTTTTCGCGTGTTTTGCCCCGGTTATTTCGTGTGGTTCTTCTTTGGCCATTCGGGAGACTTCATATGAACTGAATCCATTTGTCTCCCGAACAAGGACCACCCCTGTATCCCATTAGAACGTGAACACCAACCACCTAAGTGCGAAACCGCAAGGGAAACAATTAATGAGTGCTTCTCCTGGGTGGCCGCCATTTTGTATAATTGAACATGTGGCTTGGAGAATAGCAGCCGTCTTGTCTCCCGAACGAGGGCAGCATTACTTGGTCGTCGAGTGCTTGAAACTATTTTCGGCTTGGCACTCGCATGAACACTGGTAAACTGTCGACCGGTGCCCGTTCCTGTTCCTAACCACTTACATGAACGGCGTTCGGGAGATATAAAGTACTGAACAGGGAGAGCATTCGTATCGTGAAAACACAGGTTTTCGCACAGGAACCTCATGAACAGAGACCGGCCAGGGCACCTATTCTCCTGGAAGTATTTTCCGCTACCACCTTGTGTCTGGCATTCAAATCTTCCACACAATGCCATTCCCATTCTACCAAACCGAGTGATTCTTGGATATGTTGGTCACTTAGATCGGGGCTATCAGGGAATATACTTTTTGTGGGGTTCCTATGCATGGTTGAGGGATTTTTGGGGTACGGGATATTTTTGGGATTTTTTGTACCTGGGAGATAATTTAAAATGGAGGAATTTACTCAGGCAATTATCTCTCAGGCACAAGGGATCCTGGGATTAAAACCCTTGCCTGTGAGACCCCTTGCATGTGAGATGGCATAAAAGCCGTGTATGTGTTAATAAAATTCAGTTTTACCCCAAGAGCTGAGTGTCGTTCAGTTGCTGGGGATGAGGTGGAGGTTTCTTGGTTATTTTTGCTGTGCCTGACTTTTCCATTGGATTGTTTTACTTGTTCCTGAGTGTAATTTGGAGTAACCAGCTGAGGAGAGTCTCTGCTAGGACAAGGGCTCAGTTACAGGGATATTGGCAAATTGCAACACTTATGAGCAACAAAATAAAGCGAGACTACTTGCACCATAGCCTATGAAAGGAGCACAAATATTTAAGGTACATGGTGCATCCTTTCAAATGAGGGGTGTTTTATTACAGCTCCCATATTTCTCAGTAAGCCATAGACTGGCAGATCAATGTAGTAAAATGTGCCTAAAACATCTGGGGCACAGTTTGAAACCCCTATTTTATAAATGTTTTCTTCATTCAACTGAATTGAATTATTGGTAAATTAAACGGTTATTAACCTACTTGATTTGAACTGTTGCACATTTTCAGTTTGTGTTTTGTAAGTTTGATTAACTATATCCACACAAATCGTATTAGTTTTTTTTTTTATCTATTAATATTTATCTTTTTTCTATTTGCAGTCATTTCAAGGCAGTCAAGGTCGAGCATATCTATTCAATTCTGTGTGAGTATTGCTTTTTTTGTAGCCATATTTTGCATTCAGCAATGAAAACTTTATTTTCGGCTGCACGGAATATCAGTTTTCAGTGGTTTTCTTACAAATGTTAGCTAAGGCTATATGAGAGTAGCAGCTCTGTTCCTTGAGCTATCAATATGACTCAGCCAAAATGTTCAGTGAATGCAGAATTACAGCCACGAAATTCAGAAAGAGCAATTCTTTAATCTACTGGTATTTGTACATGACCTCTGGATCACTCTGAAAAGACAGCTATTTAAGAAGGCAGCATAATGACCTGAATGTGTGAACGTGGAAATTGTATAAGTGCCTTGTGTTCACAGTTGCACAGAGGTGTATTCGCTCCATGATTCTTGCATTCATACTGGAGGTGATTATTCATTAATGTCCCAACAGTCATCACCTATGAATTCATTCATGCGAACCTGGATATAACATAAGTGTGCTTTCTCAACACTGTGTACCAGATCTTTTGCCAACTGAGAATTTGCTGTCTTCATAAAACATTCCATAAACCACATCTGAGTGCAACTAGCTTGGTAGACTTTGGAGACTTGCCTTAACACAGCTTTGAACTTTTTTTTTTTTTTTACGGTCACCCTATAGCTAAGATTCTTTGATTTGTAAAATAGACTGATATATTGTAATGTATTTCAGTACTGCATGGGTAAGGTATCATACACATTCCACTGGATGACTTATAATATCGGTATATGTCTTTACAAATTCTAGCCATTCCACTTATCGTGGAACTGAATTAGGAGCAATTAATCTGTCTTTTGCTGCCAAGGAATGGGCTACTAATTAACATACAAATGCCACAAGTTCTTTGCTAATATATATATATATTATTTTTTTTTGGAGGGGTGTAATCTAGCCTTTTGGCTTTACGTAGTACTTGTCACTGCAATCCTTTTATTAAGACCGTAACATACAACTTTTCAGGGACTATTCTGTCTATTGTCAAGTCATCATATAAAGATTGTGCAACCATTAGGAAGGGAACATCCCATGATTTGAACAGGTGTGACTACCAAGTGAAGATTCACATGACACCGTATCTATGGTAACACTATTACACCATGGTCATCTGACCCTTTGTTGGTCATGTGATCTATCTAATAAAAGCAAAGTAAACACAGAGTATATTATTTGCAAAATAGTGCATAATGTCATGAACAGTACAATGTAATATATTAAAATTAAAAACACAAATATAAATATAAGCCTTGGCGGATCTACAGAAAAGTATACACGCGGATAAAGCCACGACATTACAGGCTTGGTTGGCCGCATGGTCTCCCTGGAGGCCTCATCAAACAATAAAGACACAAAGATCACTGCCCTGGAGAGAACGGTGCAAGCATTGCAACAACAAAAGCTCTCTGAACACAAGTATGCGGCTCTTGAGGATGAGAGGTGACACAACAACCTGAAAATTAGAGGCATACCAGAGGATGTACCAGCCGCAGAACCTCTACACTTGCTGCGGAGGCTCCTGGAGGCCATACTGACCCCAAAACAAGCCAAGCTAATCACACCAAAAGGCATATTCCGCGTCCAGAAACCACAGAAGGCACCAGAGGCTAGTGGTACGCTTTTGTAGCCAGAGAGACAAGGCTGCGGTACAGACAACCCTCAAAGGGACTTCTCCTTATACATTCAAGAGCATGTCCCTCTCCTTTTATGCCGACCTATCGGGAAGCACACAACAGTGGCGAAGAACCCTTCAACTATTTACCAAAATACTCCGGGACCGGGATCACTTGCAAATGGCGTTCCGCTCGCACTCTATTGATCTCACAAAGGGACTCCTCCTTTGCCATCCGCGATCTACATGAAGCAACAGGCCTTATGTGACCCTTTGGCCTCCCACTGGACTCTCTGCAACAGTCCGGACCACAGCAAACCGCCACTACCTCAGCCAGATGGAATCTGGCGAATTTCGTCCCTGGGAGGGTCAACACGGATGCCTAAGCAGCAGCTACATCCTGAGCCCGTACAGGCAGATCAGACCAAGCATACACACCGCAGTTAGGACGTTTATAACCATGTTTATTTGTTCCCTCTACTTTAGTTTTATATGTTACACAACTTAAATGCTTGATGTGTGCCCTACGGGGCAGTGATACTACACGTCCCCCTCTCAGGTGAGTTGACCATTCATCCATCACTTCTCTCCCCACCTCGCCTCACGGCAAGCATGCTCTTAGATGAAATGGTCCGACTGGACCAAGAGGCGTAAAACCACACTCCGCAAAACCCTTCCATCCTGGTCCCAAGGCCCTTACTCCTTAGGTAACAGGTTTTCTTTTTACTCACTATTCTACCAGCCTGCGCACGCAGTACCCACATTTCCTACCATCGGGATTAAGCAGAAGGCAGGCTTGCCATCCAGGAATGCATAAGCACATGCACTATGCCGTAGCTGTAACTTTCCCACCCGACAATTATACACCTGATTAACTGTACATGCTTATAATAGAGATGTTATGTTGTTATTTTTTTAAGCTGTTCTATGGTTGGTACACTCACAAGTTTCACACTGGGCAGGGTACGATACTGTAGCACTCCAGGCAACCGAGACCAGTGATTCCAAAGTTATTTTAGACTAAATCTCTAAAACTATTCCAGGTGGACATACCATTACAAACCGTGTGTCATCACTAGCTTAATCCATGTTAGATTGTTGGGCCTATGGATGGACACACCATGCCCTACTACGTCATTTTTATATCTAAAAAAAAGTGCAAATCTATTTTCTGGATGATGTATGGTCATATCCTGAAATTGACCTTTTACTATGTTCATGCAAGCCTGTCTATTTAACATGCACTGCAAAATAAAGAATTCAAAAATCAAATATAAATATCTGGAATTCCATATGAAAATACAATATTCTAAAATGGTACTATATGGTAATACGTACTCTTAATACGGAATATGTTTCAAACTAAAATACAAAAACATTTTCAAGCGAACATACAAAATGTCACCACCAAATAGTAGAGCCCCAAAGCCACTGAGTAGGCTCTCTGATTCCAGATGAAGGCGCTATAATACAATAAATAATCTAATAAGTAAAAAAATTTTTACAAAATCATTCAAATTACAAAAAATAGAAGAATCTAATTCCCTATACTTCTCCAGGGCTCAGCTGATTGGCTTTGATCGTCTGCTGATTGAGACAATCAGTAGCTCCCTTTTCGCAAAACAACTTTAGAAACATACATCCGTTTCTCAAGCTATCTTTTATAAATATGCTGCTACTGATTGGCTTACAGCGTCCTAGTTAGTTAAAGGCTTCAGTTTTGAACATTTTCAGAAAGCAGATGTTGGAGGGAGCAGAGCAAAACTGGAGAGGAGACTTTGGGTTAGACAATTCGGCAACGGTTTGGGCTAGACAATTCGGCAACCTCCTGGCAACATAACGTTATTTTGATGGCTTTATTATGGTGCGTAGAATGTTCCTTTTTATGTATCATTTAAAATAAAAAAATAAAAAAAACAGGGCAGCTGTAGTGGGATTTTGGAATTACCAGTGACTAGAAAAAGTAACAGAGCTGTTTTAATACTTATGTCATTAGCATTTGCTTAGTAAATCACTTGTGAGATCTGTATGATAATAAGAAGCCCCTGTAGCAGAGTCAACAGTGCAACCTTGTGCTGCTGAATAGATGGGTTTGTAACAAGATATTGTCTTTCTCATAAGAAGCAATAATGGCATTCTCTTCCAATAAACATAAAGAAGAGTTGCTCCCCATACTACATACATAACACCCTCTGTTGACAAGTAAAGAGTACATATATTTGACAATCATTCCAATGGCTGGTAAAAATGCCAAATATAATATATACGGTATCTCACAAAAGTGAGTACACCCCTCACATTTTTGTGAATATTTTATTATATCTTTTCATGTGAAAAGAACTGAAGAAATAAGAACTGACACTCTGCATCAGTGTAAAGTAGTAAGTGTATAGCCTGTATAACAGTGTAAATTTGCTGTCCCCTCAAAATAACTAAACACACAGCCATTAATGTCTAAACCATTGGCAACAAAAGTGTGTAAACCATTATTTTCCAGCAGTGCCTTAACCCTCATGGGCATGGAATTCACCAGAGCTTCACAAGTTGCCACTGGAGTCCTCTTCCACTCCTCCATGACGACATAACGGAGCTGGTGGATGTTAGAGACCGTGCGCACTACACTATTGGATCGTCTTTGTTGTTTATATTTTCCATGTTCATCTCTGAATCAAGACTCCTCTAAAGATTAGAAGATTCAGTCTCTTATTGGACTTTCTACTTCCAAATACTTACCGGAACCTGAAAGAGAAATATACCAAGTACTGTCACTATCATCCACTTATTTGAACTTTTTAAAGTATATCAAGAATTTGGACTATTTTCTTTTATATATATTTGTTATATATATTTATTAAATCCCCTTTTCTTTATACATATTATCCTTCTTTTACGTTTAAAGTGTTTTCCATATTTATCCCTTTTTCATTTGATATTCATGTAGCGCAACCTATTATTCTTGTTTTTGTCATTTCTCTTTTGAGGACTTCAGAGGGAACCTCATACTTATAGGCTGCAGCTTCCCACTTGACCACATCACACAGCGCTGATCCACTTTCTACCCATAGACATCGATGGACTGACATACTACACTGGCCCTGTTATTTTACCATGTGATCTGGACAGATTAACTACAATGCTACATTGTGTGTACAACTCCCTTTCACTATACTTTTTTTTTTTTTTTTCTTAAGTCTTTATTTTGGTAGTGCATTATTCAGTACATGAGTTAACATAAAAATGTTATTGGGTTGCAGTATAAGGTGTCACAAGTAATAGCATTGTAGATGTTAGGATTGCTGCACTTTTTTTTGACAAGAATTATTAACGACATAGTTGTGTTCAGTGCTTGAGAAGGGAAACGAGTATACCGCCATATGCTGCTTGCTAACTATGATTACATGAGTCAAACTGGGCAATGCCACGAGGAGCCCCACACAGCGTGCCAGTGGATAGGTAATCTAAGACATAGATGGACATATATTCAAGATGAGGTTGCTTATACAGGGAGTGCAGAATTATTAGGCAAATGAGTATTTTGACCACATCATCCTCTTTATGCATGTTGTCTTACTCCAAGCTGTATAGGCTCGAAGCCTACTACCAATTAAGCATATTAGGTGATGTGCATCTCTGTAATGAGAAGGGGTGTGGTCTAATGACATCAACACCCTATATCAGGTGTGCATAATTATTAGGCAACTTCCTTTCCTTGGCAAAATGGGTCAAAAGAAGGACTTGACAGGCTCAGAAAAGTCAAAAATAGTGAGATATCTTGCAGAGGGATGCAGCACTCTTAAAATTGCAAAGCTTCTGAAGCGTGATCATCAAACAATCAAGCGTTTCATTCAAAATAGTCAACAGGGTCGCAAGAAGCGTGTGGAAAACCAAGGCGCAAAATAACTGCCTATGAACTGAGAAAAGTCAAGCGTGCAGCTGCCACGATGCCACTTGCCACCAGTTTGGCCATATTTCAGAGCTGCAACATCACTGGAGTGCCCAAAAGCACAAGGTGTGCAATACTCAGAGACATGGCCAAGGTAAGAAAGGCTGAAAGACGACCACCACTGAACAAGACACACAAGCTGAAACGCCAAGACTGGGCCAAGAAATATCTCAAGACTGATTTTTCTAAGGTTTTATGGACTGATGAAATGAGAGTGAGTCTTGATGGGCCAGATGGATGGGCCCGTGGCTGGATTGGTAAAGGGCAGAGAGCTCCAGTCCCACTCAGACGCCAGCAAGGTGGAGGTGGAGTACTGGTTTGGGCTGGTATCATCAAAGATGAGCTTGTGGGGCCTTTTCGGGTTGAGGATGGAGTCAAGCTCAACTCCCAGTCCTACTGCCAGTTCCTGGAAGACAACTTCTTCAAGCAGTGGTACAGGAAGAAGTCTGCATCCTTCAAGAAAAACATGATTTTCAGGCAGGACAATGCTCCATCACACGCTTCCAAGTACTCCACAGCGTGGCTGGCAAGAAAAGGTATAAAAGAAGAAAATCTAATGACATGGCCTCCTTGTTCACCTGATCTGAACCCCATTGAGAACCTGTGGTCCATCATCAAATGTGAGATTTACAAGGAGGGAAAACAGTACACCTCTGAACAGTGTCTGGGAGGCTGTGGTTGCTGCTGCACGCAATGTTGATGGTGAACAGATCAAAACACTGACAGAATCCATGGATGGTAGGCTTTTGAGTGTCCTTGCAAAGAAAGGTGGCTATATTGGTCACTGACTTGTTTTTGTTTTGTTTTTGAATGTCAGAAATGTATATTTGTGAATGTTGAGATGTTATATTGGTTTCACTGGTAATAATAAATAATTGAAATGGGTATATTTGTTTTTTGTTAAGTTGCCTAATAATTATGCACAGTAATAGTCACCTGCACACACAGATATCCCCCTAACATAGCTATAACTAAAAACTACTTCCAAAAATATTCAGCTTTGATATTAATGAGTTTTTTGGGTTCATTGAGAACATGGTTGTTGTTCATTAATAAAATTAATCCTCAAAAATACAACTTGCCTAATAATTCTGCACTCCCTGTATATGACATAGACTAGTAGTTAGACTAGCAGTTAGGGAAAAGCCTAATTGATATTGCGGTATAACATGCTGTAGTAAATATCAGTAAGTGAAACCTCCGTTGCCAGGCCTGTCCATATGTATGCCACAGTCTGTAGAGTGCTGCAGTGTCAGTCTATTTTATGGTAATTTGTCTGAGGTTGGGATCAGCCATCCCCAGTGGGTGATGAGGCAGGAGGGACCGTGCATGAGGGTCTCGAAATATAGGTAAGTGGCCTCTTCAATCAACCTTTCTCCAGACCCGACCTCAGGGATTCTGAATGGATTAGACTTCCGTGGGCTCCGTTCGCCGTCTCTGCTCTCCAGCTCCAGCCCTAGCCCACTCTTCATGCGACCTGAAGGCAGTATCGTGTGCGGGCTTGTTAGGTAGGGGCGATGTTCAGCAGACTGTTTCTGTCCGCAGGCAGGCGTAGTTGTGTTGTCTTGTGCAGGTCGTAATGCCGCCATTTTGGTGGTCAGGCGCGTGGTGCACAACTCCAGGTAGGCTTGGTGTTAGGCCTTTTTGGGGCAGTAATTCCCTCCGATGGGGACAGGGATAACTCCCCCCCCATCCATGGGGGGGAGGCGAGGCGCATCGCTAGGCTGTTGCGTGGTAGCCAGGTTCACAAACAGGACGGTGGCCGGCCGTCCCGCTCTCTACCCTCTTAGGCCACGGTCCCCAAAGTCTCATTTCGCTCGCAGGGGGCTCCAAGACTCCCGTTTTCGGGGACCGCGGTGGCTCCAGCTTCTGCCCGGATACATGAGACGGCTTTTGGTCACCCAGATTGCTGTAATTCTTGAGTTGTATGCCACAGGGGACCAAGTGTGTCAGGAGCCTCTCCGGCCTGCGACCGGTCAGCATGGCGGTTGGGCCCCCCTATACTTTTTAAAACAAAAATATGCACGTTGGAAAGCTATTCAAAGAGTATTTACAGTATTTGAGGTAATACCTATACAAATAGAACAAAGCTACATTTCATCGTGGACTTGAGCTGTTTGTATTGGAAAAAGCCAGAACTACCACACAATCAAGTAAGAGTAGACTGAATGTCCAACATACACACAAATCAGGTGATCAAATATCCATGGGAAAAAAATATATATAAAATGTAATATATGTTATACCTCTAAAGGTGCCTATTTGGGGCTACAGTCGTTCTTTCCTACCCTGGTTTCCCTTTCCTTTTGGGCTTGTAATATTTATGGCTGTATGATGGTGCCGTTGAACTTCTGGATAAATACTTTAGACATCGGTGGAGTTTCTCAGACAGATTTTATGACCATGAAGTGTGGGGCAGTTGTGTCAAACAAAACAGTTCTGTACGTTCTTATGTATGTTGACTTTACAGATATTTATTTATGACACGTACATGTACCATTCCTCCCTCAGTTGATGGCTGGCACCAACATTTACTGTATCATCATAAATTCTCAAACCGTGGGTATTGACCAGGATTTATTTCCTAAACGTTGAAGTTATTTAGCAGGATATAGAGTGAATAATTAAAGTTGGACTGTCAGTTCTCTGGAAATTATACCATTGAACCAGCATTGAAGATAATGTATAACTTGTGTTAAAGGGTTACTTCAATCACTATGACACTTCAGCAATATGAAGTGGTAATGGTACCTGGAGTCTATATGTCGCAGTTTTATTGCAACAGTTTTTTCGCAATAAACAGCTGCACGTTGACAGTTTAATCCCCTTTCTGCCAGAAGGTTCTTCGGGGCATCTTTAGCCAACCTGCAAGGTCTAGGTTGACTAATGTCAATTCTGTGCATATCTCTATGTAGAGCTGTATCCATTGGCTACAGCGGTAGCAGACACTCTAAGCCAACGAATAGCTTATGGGATCAGCATCCCATATCATATCAGATCTGGAGGAGGATGCACAGAGGACTATCTGTTACCAAGAAATGGCTCTATGGTACTCCAAAAAAAAACAAACCTTAAACCTTTTTTTTGCACAATACTCTTTTTTTGATATTGAAATGTATATTAAATATTTAGCAGTTGCATGTGAGGAGTAGAGTGAAATATTGTTCTTCTCTTCCTCTCCTATCAGAATTCAAAATTTCCACTATTCTGCTCTGTTATGTATTGTAGGCAATTAGAAACAAAAAGATCAGCCTATGTGTTTATACTTAATTGTGCGATTCCTATGACTTATCCTAACCCCATTCGCTACTGTTGAGAAAGTAAAACTGCTAGTAGTAACTTAAGAAATAAACAGTGCTGCTATTTGTATTTGGGAGGAGGAGGGACAGTGAGAAGGAGAGTCCTGGCGCCCTTGAAAATCAGGTGATATTGTTTACGGTTAATAACATTTAGCAACATGAAAACATGGGAGCAGAATGATTGCAAAAATGAAAATGATGAAAAGCAGAAAACCGAAAGGTGTGGAGTGCAAAAAAAAAGAGCTATACTAACGCATGTCTTTAACCCCTTAAGGACCAAACTTCTGGAATAAAAGGAAATCATGACATGTCACACATGTCATGTGTCCTTAAGGGTTAAGGCTCCTGCTTAGAGACTTTTCTGTAGGTCATCAGCGTGTCTCAATAAGAAGCATTGGATTGGACCTTAGATCATCCAGATTGATGATCTTTATTGAGGAACGGTGACTGCAGCATGTAGACTGGGATGGCGTTGGATTATCGGTATGTTTACCAGTATAAATGCTAAGTAATTAATAAGCTAACATTTAAAGTCTGCTTTAGCGGATATGAGTATATCCTCTCACTTGGCACTTTTTTGCTTCTCGTGTAATAATTGAAATTTTAGGAATCAATAAAAAGGTAATGTTTAGTAATGTTTAATTGTGTCTCTCTGCAGTGTTAACGTTGGTTGTGGTCCTGCAGAAGAACGTGTTTTACTCACTGGGCTTCATGCGGTAGCAGATATCTACTGTGAAAACTGCAAAACAACACTGGGCTGGAAATATGTAAGTATTTTCTCGACAGCATGCGCCAGTAGTATGAAAGCACAACTTTTACAGTGCATTTAAAATTAATATACCCGGTGCGATACTTGCTAGTATACCCCACCCCTCCCCACCACCTGATAGAGGTGAAAAAGATATGCCAACATCATGTACATGTAAAATGGGCTTTCATTCATTTCTCGATGAAGTGCCTCCTCTTCTTTTGTAAGTCCTAAATTTTGTAAATCATGCCATTCTAGCTTTCGTATCTAGATCAGTGCTAAATCCGCTCTTCAGTAAATCGAACAGTTCCAACTGAGCTAATAAAAAACTGTCCTTTGTTCATTTTAAAAATATGAACTTTTGTTTTCAGGAGGCAGTTGAGGTTTGCTTTTGTTTTAGTTTCTCCAGCAAACTATAGTGCAATCGGCAGAATAGCAAATATTTGGCTCATCGAAAGCCTTGATTTTAGTTTTAATCAATAACTCAGTTTTTTCCTTTTATTTTTCTATTAGGAACATGCATTTGAAAGCAGCCAGAAGTATAAAGAAGGAAAATACATAATTGAATTAGCTCACATGATCAAGGATAATGGGTGGGATTGAAAGCAATATCCCTGTATGAAGAGAAATCTCAGAAGAACATCCAGCTGAACGTTATATCCTTAGAATGAGCGAGTAACTGAGTGCTTGGTTTCATATGAATCAGAGGCTGTGCCGCATGGAGCATCCTCTCACCCTTAATACATCATTCTTGGTGAATGGCCTCTCAATTTCTGACACTCTGTCTATTTGCTTTGTATCCCTTTTGTGAGTTGCCCTTGGCCTCGTCCCGCTCTTTGTAGAGTTGGTTAAAGGAAAGCATTAAGAGCCTCTCAGCCCAGTCACTTCTTTTACTGTTAGAGTTGATTTCAAGCCGTGCATACGATGGCACAGAAAAAGTGACTCATGGGGGGGTGGGGGTCATGTGGAAAAGAAAAAAAGGAAGGAGACGTAACCAATAAGTAGTCAGGGTTGAATGTCAAATGAATGTCCTGCAATCAAAGGTTTTTTCCTGAAGGAGGAAAATTCTCTGCTGCTTTCTTTCAGGAAATGGCTGGAAATGACAGAAGCAATGTAGGTTAGGAATGTCTACCTTGCAGATACCAAAAATCCATACATTTAAATAAGTACATTGACCACATCCACCCAATACTGCTGCAGTCAGGTTAAATCAAATATTACCACATGGTACTTTGTTTCATTCTCTAAAATTAGCCTCTGTGCTAAAGATTGAATCACCTAGTCACTGATTCTAGATCTTGCCTATGTACCTTTTCAAGAAAGAAGACTAGATCACAAATATTTTTTATTTTCATATTTAAAATATTTGTGGGGTATTTTTTTGCTTTGTTTTTTTTCTCCCCACTTACTGCATCTTGCACCTAGCACATCATACTGAATGTTTGTACATAACTGACTAACATAGTCATAGCTTAATTACGAAGGGAAATCCAAAATGAATTTATGTAAGAACATTACAGATTGTACCAAGTACAATTAATGAACATCCATTACTAGCGCTGTATCTGTTCATGCTGTGATGCTGCTTACGTACGATACACCAGTAGTGAATATTCAGATGTCTGTTCTTAATTTAGAGCATTATCACAGAAACCTATATGATGGGAAAAATTATCCATATTTTGAAATAGAGCACAAAAAGTGCATTTGCGGTTTTGGTTTAAATTGGTAGATTAGTAATCTCCTTTTCCTTTTTTTTTCTCCATAATTTGTATTTTAGATTTCTACACAAAATATTTTTAGTTCCTTTCAGTTGGAGTATTAATGCATGTTTTTTGTTGTGTTTTTTCCCCCCAATGTTGCTGTAGATTTTTTATTAAATCCTATCGTTCCAATCAGTTGAGTAGTAAGAGGAATGTATAATGGATTGGTCATTTGTTGATAAGGAAATGTCATTTTAGAGAGAGGAAGACCAGTGGCCAAAATCTGGCTCCCTGCATACTAAGCAAAATCCATGAATTGGTGGGCTCTTGGCCAATAGCTTCCTCTCATCTAAATATATTTTCCACAGCCATGCTTTTGATATTAAGGAAGACATGTGGCAAATTGTAACATGAGATTGGAGATGTTTGGAGGGTGTATAGTGGAACTTATTCACGGAAGGCATGCGTTCAGGCATATTCCCCATATCTGCCAGGCTATTTAGATTGTGATTATTCAGAATATGGGTACCTTGCATTTTAGGTCTAAGCTTTGTATTTATAACTCTTCGTGTTTCAAAGTTTGCAGAGCTCTGTGGCATCCAAAAAGTTCATCTTAAAGTTTATTGTTCATTAGTTCCGGAGTACACAATCATTAATTATCCCATTATTTTTATTCAAAGCAAGATATTTATTTTTTTATACTAATTTCTTCTTGGAAATTAGAATACTTGGTCATAATTTTTTCCAGTAGTGTGTGTTTATGATATATGTGTTGGAGCTATGATGCGATATATAATGTCTCAGAGCATTCAAGATTGCTTTTTAAAATCTTGTTCTCGTCCTCTCCATTCATTGTTGTGGTGTAATTTTTTTTACTTTTTTTTTTTTTAAATAGAATCCAAGATCTGCTCATTTACCAAGGGAAAGACATTGGCAAAGCTTGTATTTCATCACTTATCATTGATATTTGCCACTATTTTTATTTTATTTTTTTACATTTTTATAGATCCATAATTATATTTCACATTATGCGCTATTGAATTTCCTTTCAGATTCAAAACTATAGAAATGTGATAACACTGAGATTAGCTCTTTGCTGAGTCCCATGAGAAAGCAAGGAATATCTTCAGAATTTAGAGTTGCAATAGTGCGGTCTTGTGTTCTTGCTAAATAGCGTGGAAATGATTTTGGTTTATTTATGAATCCTAATGTTATTTGTTACTTGTGTATTTTAGGATTTCCTTGTCTGTCTGCTGGTGGTGGTTTAGTAGTATGCTTTACATGAGAGCAATTGGCTTGCATATTTTTTTTTTTTTTTTTATTCCATCCACATTTATTAATGTAATGGTAGGCCACCGAAAACAGGTGCTGGTTATTTTAATTTTCTCCTGACCATGGAAAAATATCTGCATTGCTCACACAAAAAAATAAAATAAAAATTACAATAAGAGAGTGAGAACAGACTCTCTCTATGGAACATGATCTCTCTGCCACACTCCCAGAATATCATACATTTGATATGCAAAGCAGTGCAGATGGAATGCCATGTTTACATTTTTAATCAATATATATATATATATATATATATATATATATATATATATATATATATATATATATATATATATCCTGCATTCCATTACATTTTGAGATTGCACTCTGAGCGAAGAGTCCAGTGCAGACTGTGTCCTTTAGAGGTCAATACATTCTCAATGGTTAGGTTAAATTGCTAATGCTTCCATGCCTTTAGATCAAAGATTCCCTAATTCAAATGAAATATGGTGAGCAATGATTAAAATCTGAGTGACGTGTTATGTGTACTTATATGCACATACCCACATGGCAGTCTGGGAGTGTTTATGCGATATCATCTTCCTAACATTGCTATGCTCAAAATATGTTTTTAGATTGGTGCATGGTAGTACCTCCAAGCATTTGGGCCGAAAATCTTACTGCTTTTATATGGAATCATGATTTAGCAAGGTCCAATAAGTCTTAATCATCTGCAGGGTAATTTAGAAATCAAATTTACTTTTAAAAATCAATGAGGCTATACACATAAGAAATATTTTCTAATTCACATAGGGACATATTTTGGCAACAATCTGCAGAAAAATGATGTGCTGCATTGAAACACTATCCCTTGATATTTACCTACTTTGTTATGAATGTATAGGTTTATTTGATCACCAGTGTGAATATGGTAGACATGCTGGTGCCAAAATGAGTCCCTGATAGAGCATGAAGATAAAGGGGAGGTATCTACTCTTATGCAAATCAGTGACTGTTATAGAACTGTCTTAATGTTCATCCATTCTTGTTTCATTTGTCAGTGGACCAACCAGACAATGTTAGCCTACTGTAGGATCTCATGTACGCTGAAGTTTTGCAGTTCGGCGCAGGCTTTCCTGGCGGTGAAACCATTAAGCTAGCTATTTAGAGTTCACTTTATTTTTAATATATGTGATATATATATATAATGTATATATTCTATGTATCACATATTTCAAAAGGAGGCTAGGTTGTCAAAGATTAGCCTGTATTTATATTTATTATAGACTTCTTCAAAGCTTTATTTCCAAAGGCATTTCATAGACTTACAGGAATTATGGTTGGCATCTGCTTCTTGAGCGCTTAAATTTACTCTCACTTTAATTATTTTAAAATAATTGTGTTTTTTTGAATGTTTTATGTCCTAATGCTGTTTCATTCCTCATTTAATGTGGGTTTCCTTACCAAAGTTAGGTTCGAAGGAGTCCCTTTACAAAGCTTTAGTGAGATGGCAATTCTTACTCTATCGTTCTGTTACGTGTTGCTGCAGACACCGTGCTATACACAGATAACAACCGTGGCTAGCACTCAAACCATAGCTAGTTTAAAAAAATCCATGTGCTTTAACTGTTTATTTCATGCTTATCACAGGAGGAAAACTGAGCAGGCCTCCCTTTGGTTAAAGGTTCACTAGACAAAATAGCCTTTTAGGTAACTTGATATTATTGTAATTAAAATGCGCACATCTTGTAGAAAGGGGCATGCCCTGTAAATTATGATACTGTACCAGCTTTTAAAGATGTAGTTTGAATTTTGAGGAAGGAATAAAGAATATTAGAGGCCCTGATCTCCAATGCTGGCAGTTTCAACAGTCCATCATGATTAAGGAAACAAACATTGTTTCTTGGTCAAAGTGCTGAATTTAGTCATCTTTTTTAGTTTTTGATAATTCTAACCAGACAAGTAGAATCCCTTTTACCAGAATCTATAGATTCCTAAATGGTGATCTTAACCTCACTGTAGGCTTTGATATATGTTTTGATTGAAATGCATATACACTATTGACAGAGCCCAGTGCATCTTTATCAAACCTTAGATTGTTGCTTGTTTGACAATTCCATTCCATCACTTGATAAAGAATCTTATCTAATATAGTATATCGATTCATTCATGTACTTTAAAATTCAAATCATTTCATTTCATAATTGCAGAGCATAAAAGCGGAGGGGGTAAAACATTTTTGTTTACTATGAGATTACCTTCATACCTGCATTTGTATTTTTGAAAAGGATCGAAATACCAGTTTACATTACTGTAAGTAGAACTCTGGTCAGATGTTTATCCTGCTACAGAACCGTGGGAGGAAATTATACAATAGAGACGTCAGAGTTCTAGTGAATAATTCAGGAGACCTCATCCAATCACCCAGACTGTGGCTTCCCCAAAAGTAATAAGTTTTTACTATTCAGTAATTCAATGTATAATTTGGTATTACTGTCCTTTTCAAGGGGAGTGTGTACTGGACCATTACATGTTCTATTAATACAGAGGAGTGTGGCAAACATTATTGATCCTGTTAAACAGCCTGATCCAAGTCGACCTTCAATGAATTTCTTTGTGGACGAATGT